TAGATTTTAATATAATCTAATGATTTAAAAGAAGATAATAAAATGAAATCATCTTAATTGGATTCGATGATCAGTAAAAACAAATGACAATCATCATCTTCTTACAACTGTCAATCGATTGATTAAACTTTAAGATAGTAAATTGTTATAATAGTAATTTATTTAAATGATCAACGGATTAATTTCAACCTGATTCATTGACAATTAAACAGAAAATCTTACCAATCAATACTAAATGGCTAATTTAGTAATGATAATCATGGTAAGAAAATGACAATTTATTTAATCATCACCAATGTCACATTTTGATTAACCTCGATATTTAGAAATGAACAGAATTTAATAAGCGAATCAAGTAAATGGATAGAAAATAAAATCTATTAATCAATCAATTGTTACATTGATAATAAGCTTAAATTATATTTTTTTCTTTCTCTATCCCTTGGAACAACAATCATACTCTAATCACCGATTGTCATCATGTTGTAGGCGGGATAATGTTCACACGAGGAGGTGGTTAATTACGTTCTAAATCATGATCCAACCTCCATTCAGCTTAATTCACCATTAATATTCATCATTCCTTCAGGTTCCACCTTGGTGATTACAATCACTCCACCTCTAACTTATTGTTGTCTATTTTCACCTACTTTGAATACTGTTCAGGTAATAGAGATGCAGATTCAAACCTTTTCAATCTTTGATTGAATAAATTATTTCCTATCAATAGTAAACTAATTGACGATGATAATCTCAATGTTTATATATTAAGAAAATGATAACCTTCATTCATCTATTGATAATCAGCAAGATAATCATGATGATAATATTGATAGGAATTCACATTTGATGATGGTTGAAATTTACTTTCAAGAAAAACTAATTTTCCATTTCTAATTTATTACAATTAATATTTACCATTGACAACGGTTACATTTAGTTTCAATTCAATTCAACAATCAAATTGGTTAGCAAATTTGATTCCAGGCCTAATTCAAGGCTTGATTACTACGAGTTGAACAACTTTAATTGCGACTTCATTTTGTTATTCCCATCAAATTGTCCGATGGGGATGAAATTTACTACATGAATGGTCATCGTAACTGGACATTGATTTGTATCCATTTCGTTAGCATTTCGTTTGGTTGTTTGTTTGCTTTTGTTTTTATTATTATTTTCGACTTCAAGTGCTACGAACTAAAGTGACCTGGGGTTCGATTAAATTCAATGAACTTCCAATCAACGTACATATAAAAAGCTACACAAGGAAATGTTTATCAGTTAATTCAATTGTAGAAATTAAATTTTCCTGGCAAATTGTTTTGTTTTTATTACTATTCAACCTGATAATTAAAGTTCATTTCTCAGAAATCAGATCCGATTAACATTTATCTTAATCCTAAATCATTTCCAATAAAAAAAATTCACTTAAAATGTCAACCATTTTTACATAATAATGAACATAATTAAATTATTAATCTTCAGTTAGTCATTGATCTAATTGCTTAAATTTAATCAACCTGTCAACACTGATAACTGGTAAATTATATATTGAAATGGATTAGCAAGGTAAATGATTTAAGATTAACAATTTAATCAGTAGTAAAAATAAAAGTTGATTACCATGAGACCTTTTTGTTTTTGTTACATTTTAATATCAAAATAAAATCATCATTAACACTGAGCTGCTAATTACATGAAGAAAACATGATAACTATTATTATTATTTCATGAGATTATTCATATTCCAAGGTTATGAGGTCAGGTTCGGTTAAAGTTGAAAATTAAGGCCAAGATTAATTAGAAGGAGCGGTCGGCAAGATAATCAACGAGAATGTGACATTACAATCGTTCTGATGGCAATACGATAATTACGATGCAAGAGAAAGAAAGAAAGAGAGAGAGAGAGAGAAGGTCAAATCTGATCTTGAACTTGGGTCTTGAGCCGCAAGGCTTGAAATAATATTAGAGGTCAAATAAAAATCGTTTTCAATACCAATATAAATATTCAATTTCCAATTGAATTGGAAATTGATTTACCCTGACTGTTTGTGTATACTGATTATCATGATAAGTTCAAGAAGAGACCAAAATTCACGGTTGAAAGGGATATAAGTGAAAGTGAATCTTAATGCTAATCATAAAGAGAGAGAAATTTAATCGTCATGATGATGATTAAAATTCACTCTCTCTCTCTCTCTCTCTCTCTCTCTCTCTCATGTTCCCTCCTCTTTGCTTCACTTAATTTCACCACAACCTTTAACCACCATCAGCACCACAATAAACTCATTATCCACCATTTGGAATCGTGGTTAGAAATGTTTTACTCTTAAAACGATGATGCCTGGAGCGAGGAATCACATTTCAAGTGCATTAGCACATCACGCAATCAGATTGACCTATTCTGGTGAAAATGAGAAAAGTATTTATTCAAGTTGACCTGATCAACGATTTAAATTAATAATAAACACGATGGAAACTAACGAAAGTAAAGAGAAATTAAAATTTTCGAAAGTTTAAATTATTCTTACCCTCGAATTAAACTTCTGCACCAATACATGGATTCTATTAATTTTCTATTATTAAGATAATAATAATATCGAATTATTTTTTGCCTTTTCGTCACAACGAACTTTCGAGTTACGATAAACTTTTACGATCTCGAACTTTTTTCATTAGAACTTTTTTTTCTCTCTTTCTAGTTCGTTCATCGTTGATATTATTACGTAGTTGAATGGTTAACTTTTTAATTGTTGTATGTAAAATGGAAATAAAAAATTTAATTCTCACTATTTGAGAAAAGAAAAATTTAAATTCATTATTAACTAACCTCTTTCCTGAGGCACTAATTACCGATAATGATCATTATTATTATCGTTAATTGTATACGAATCATAATTTTGGATCTTGTTATTAAGATGAAATCAAATTAAATTAAGTCAAATGAAAATGTTTCTTTCAAGTACAAACTACCAAGACAGTTATCGATTAGATTGGAAAATTAAATTGCCGCAATTAATATTAATAGTTAACTGTTGCCACCATCATGATGATCATCACCATGTTTACTATGATTTGACCTTTTCTTCAAATTTAATTATTACAATCAATCAACACTCTGAACATAAACAATTAATATCACTAGCAAACAATCAACAATCTGAACAACAAAATTGATGATAATTTATTGATAATCAGTTTGAATTGAATAAAATTAACCAACAAATTAAACTGATACCAACTCGTCACAATTAACATTAATTATCAACAATGATTAATATACATATTCATGTATAGTATTTGGTTAATTGTTGTCTCATGTTAAATTAACAATAACAATTTACAATCAAATTTCAATTGACTGTATTAGTTAACGCACAATTAAATTTTACCTTTAATTGTCTATCATTGGTAACAAATTAACCCACCATCAACATCACCACCACCACCACCATCATCATCATCATCATCACCTCCACAACCTCTTCATCCTCATCCTCATCCTCCTCTCAATGTCTATGTTTACTCAGGTAACTTTTTTAATTGTATTGATAATCATCTTTAATCATTTCAATCCATCCGTACAACAATCATCATTTGTAAATTGTAATAATTACAATTACCAATACATCAAGGACAATCTGAAAATATACAAAATTATTAATATTTACCAATGTATTTGTTGATTGTTTTAATCGTTGTACAAAAATTGTCAATGTTGTTGATACACTAATGATAATATCTATTATAATCTGTATTAACAATTTGAGACTTAATTGTTTGATTGGGTCAATTTTTGATATTCCTACAATCAGCTGATTAGATATGGTAAACACTGTTTACCAAAATAACATTGGTCATTAGTTAAATTGTTACCAATATCTATCAATTAAAACCCATAGGAAAAAAATGGTTTTCCGTGACGTTGACAATTAAGCCTTAAGGGTTGAGATGTTATTTAACTTACAATCAATAGTTTTGAATTCATGATTTAATGTTGATTAAAGGTCTTTGATGGTGTTTAAATTAGTTTGTTGTTGTTGTTGTTGTTGTTTGTTATTGTCGATTCCAAGAATCCAAAAAAAGTTTCTAAAAATATCTATTAACATTTACTCAGAAAAGTAACATTTGATTACAGCAATTAGTGAATCAAATTGTATCATTTAACAGTCTAATCAACATTGTAATAAACATCAACCATCCAAATAGATTGACAATTATAATGCAAGGCAAATGTAATCATTGAAACTTGATTAACCTTCGTAATAAAATAATTTAATTGTTTTCAATCAGATTTGATTGTAACAATTAATCGATGTCGATATATATTTGTGATGATATTTATTTTAATTCCGTCATAATCATCATCAAAGTTATGTTTACGTAAGAGACTCTCTGTTGACGATTGAGAAGAAAACAAGATTGTCCTGATAATCTTTTTCTAGGTAATGATGATTAGAATAATTCATGTAAGATTGATGACAAGAAAGAGTAAAAAACTATTAGCATTTACCTGTAGATAATAATAAACGATAATAAACAACGTTATTAGTTCCGAATTAGTCGAAATGAAAATAGAAAAAAAAAACGATCAGAACTTTTTTCTTTGTCATATGCAAGCGTACGGTTATTATCATGTTAATCACTTGTACGTCTTTCCAAAGTAATTTAAATATCATCTCTCTCTCTCTCTCTCTCTCTCTCTACCTGTTCTCTGCCATCATTATCGTCAGCCTATTAGCTCTCTCTCTCTCTTTCGTTCCCTCTCTCTCATCGTTATTATCGTTCTTCACATGCTCACCCAGTTTTCACTTTCGCCTCAAATCCTACCTGACAACCTTTCAAGTCTCACTATCTTGTCTCTCCCTCCATCACTCTCACTCACTCTCTCTTTCTCTCTTTACTTTTCACTTTCTCTTTCATTATCATCATTCTCTTTCTTTTTCATCTTTCAAATTCGAAGCATAACCTCCCATCATCTCTCTCTCTCTCTCTCTCTTCTCTCTCTAGACTTTCGTGAAAATTTCACTTTCTATTTCGTTATTGAACGCGATTCTATTGATTAGTTAATAACGAAAAGAACTTTTTTTTCTTCTCTTGAGTTTTTTCTCTCTAAAAAACTTTCTCCCTCTACTCTTGATATCTCTCTCTCTCTCTCTCACTCCTCTGTACCTATTCAGCCTTATCTTCATCATCACCATCATCATAAGTGGTATATTGTTCAACGATAATCAACAAGTGATCTTGTCCAACAATTAACAGAGACACTTTTGATTTGTCTCTTAATTAGAGTTAATTATTACTCGATGACCTTAATCATCTTGTCCACCATCATTACCATTATTTAAATGTTTACACCTTTTTCAATTTGATTAGTATTAGTATCTAAATCTAATCTTTAATTGTTGTTTACTAATCATATAACTCAAGACTCTCAATCAATTGACATTCACTTTCATTTAAAGTGTAAACTTTTAACGTGTTTCAATTGTTTCAATTGTCACAATCATTATTGCTATGATTTACTTGTTCACTTAAATTGTTTCAGGTATGTGCAATTAAAACACTAAATAACCAATTGGATTAATCAACAATCAACTAATTTTCTTCTTTGTCCAAATTTACAATCAAATCCCATGGACACAATTTATCATCACAATCAGTTGATTAACTTGTTCATCTAAACTTTTGGATTATTTATAATTTGGTAACAACAGAACGAGAAATCAACAATTAAAGTAAAGATGGTTCATAATCCATTTGATTGTCAACCAAATAATAGCATATCAATGCTACTGGTCAATAGTGATGCGAGTTTGGTGAGTAATTAGCTTGAAAAATTAGCGATAATTAATCATTGTTATTAACTGAATCTATTTTTTCATTCTTTTTAATTACATTTCTCTAATCAAATTGAATCCAATGGACTTTAAATCAACAGTACGAATGTTTTAACGGTGACTTTTTTGACCAAAGTGTTGACTCTAAAGAGATTTTATCAAGCTTGACCTCAAGTGTCCCAATGGCGGGATTAACCCTTGACCCTGTATCTGCATCAGTTTTAATACCAACCGATTTGAACGGAAATTATCATGGACTTGAAAACAGTGAATCAACATTAAGCTCAACCCATCAACAGCATCATCATCCATTAAACAATAACAATGAGCATCATAATCACCCCCACCACCCACAACAACAACAACAACAATCCCAACATCATATGTCTCATCATCATCATCAGCAACAACAACAACACCATCAACTTCATCACCATACACTTGCAAATTTAGCACCAAATCAAAGTCCATCAGCTAGATCATCCTCATCACCTTCATCATCAACCTCATCTTTATCTCCAGTATCATTATCCTCATCTTCATCTTCATCACTCTCACCAGCAGCAACCTCACCATCCTCTTCAACCACCACTTCATCTTCAACCTCATCATCACCATCACTTTCACCTTCATCTAAATCAACTAACACAACCAATTTAACAAATGTCTCACTACCTTTGGGCTTAATTAACACCAACAGTGATAACAATCATCTAATTATCAACAATACCAATAGTAACAGTAGCATTTCAAGTTCAAATAGTGGTAACAGTAATCAAAGTGTTAATAACAATCAACAAAATCACCATCATCATCATATGAGTGTTAATAATAACAGTGGTAATTGTAAATACACCGATTATATTGATGGTAAATTTGACGGACTCATGTCCACTTTCTGGACAATGGACATTTCAAAAAACTCTCCTTTCCTTTCTGAACTTGCCTCTGACTTGGAATCACGTTACTGGGAATCCAAGCCCCCTGACCAATGGACATCCGAAGATGTCTGGCATTGGATATTCAGTTGGGCGGGTGACCGAAACATTGACGTGGACGATGTCCAACCTTTGGCCTATGCAAACATGAACGGTCAACAATTATGTTCAATGTCCAAGATTGATTTTATCTCAATGAATCCCAAATATGGGTCACACATATACGACACCCTTAATCAACTTGTCAACTCATTCAGTAAGTTTTAATTACTTTTTTTTTTATTTTCATCTTGATAATCAAATTAAAACTTAATCAATTAACATAATTGATGTAATGGTAAAAAACAAAGTGACCAACACACAATAACAATTAATTTAATCATATTCATTGATAACCAATTAAATCTTGTTTCGTATTCACCTTTTCAACTAGCTGGTCAATTTACAATTCTAATTGTTAATCAATGTTATTAACCTTAACTACATATTATTCATGTTTATATGTACATCTATTCATATTATGATTAAGCATGTTAATTGTAAGATATACACAATTAGTTAATTGTTGTTATCTCATTGTTGTTCAATTCATCAAATGTATCATTAACTTTGTTGTTGTCTATTTGTTTTCATTTGATTGTTGTTACTTTTGTTTATGATTCATCATCATCTTGATATCATTTGAGAAACTCAATTAACATGAAGATTCTTGATGATATATCATCATGCTGAGATCACATTGATAATAAGTGAGTACCAATCATGATGATGATGATGATGGTTGCGTGCGTACGTGCTAAAAGCACGTACATTAGTTATGATAGAAGAAAAAAAAACAAGTGAAAATTTTCACTTTCCATTTGAATTCATCATTTTTAATCAGGTAACTGTTTTTAATTGTAGTTTTAAACTTGAAAAATTAACTTGATTAGATTATCATGAACTATTCTGTTAATGAACATTAGTTTTACTACTTCGATATATATCTGAACTTGAAGTTCGTAGATGAACATTTTAATATAAGCAAGTTTCCAGGTCATTCTCATCTTTCGGGTCATCTTCTTAACGATTGATATACTGTCCTTAATTTTGTTTTGATTGTTGTTGGAATTATAATTGTTACATTGAAGAGAAAAGGTAAATCATCATATTTATCCTCTTAATTTAATTTTCTCGTCTCAATTTAACTTAATTATTAGACATTATCTTTAACAATAGTTGCAACAATTAACAATCTTATATAAGTTTCATCATTTTTTTTTGTTCATTCTCATGATTAGTGATTAAAATTAAGGTTAATCTTGATTGTTGATGGTTTTTTCTTACCAATCATTTAACTATTTCTGCCCAAATGATTAGCGATTATTGTTACTCGTTAATTTTCACAATTGACTAGAGTTATTATGAATATTAATTGTTTGATAATTAAATTGATTTCAACCAATTAACATCGGAAAGAAAGAGAAAGAGAAAATATTTTCTCATTAATTGTTGATCGTACAATCACTGATTTTAATTGTTCCTCTTGATTAGTCAACCATAGGAGTTTAATTGTTTGTAGGTTGAAGATTAACTAACCATAGACACCGAGGTTTAAATCAACATTTCAATTGATCAATCTGATAGTAAATCTAATCACAATTAAAACTTTTTCTCACTTCACTTTTTTTTGCTCTTCCTTTCAATCTGAAAAACACCAACAACAATTTAGCATAATTTTAAATTAGTTGTTAAATTGTTGATCAACTTTCAGTGAACAATAATAAATATCCTATTAATCCTTATTAATATCTATATCTATTACATTAATCAAGTGTATTCGTAAAGGTTAATCTGATTTAAATGGTCAACAATTTAAAACCTAAATTTACAAACATAAATAATGAATATTAATTAATTGATTGTTGAGTCTTAACTAAAAATGTTTGTTTTTTCAGGTCAAACAATTTGATTGTTGATCAAAATGTTTGATACATATTATGAACAAAGCTTAAAGTGAGATCAACTAATCAATCACAATTAACTAAATCACACAACAGACAAATGTTCACTAATGTTTAATGAAGCACAATTTAGATTATCAAAAATAATTTATCTAAACTAATATAAAACCTCCTGTTAATCATGATTAAAAATCTTACAATTTAAAGGTAATCAACATGATAAATATCAACTTTCACTTTCATTGAGCATTAAAATTAATCATTAATTTAGGCCAAACCAATTGGAACGTTGAATTAATAATATAATAATAATAATACGATTAAAAGAAAGAGAAGAAGAAAAAAAAAATTCTAATAACAACAATCAGAATACAAAACTAATCACAATTAAAGATCAACAACTAATCAAACAAAAAGATGATGACGATGATTATGATGATGATAATAATAATGATAATCTACTCCAATGATTATACAAAATTACCTTAATCTCTTAACGATGATGATGATTAGCTAAATTGTTTTACTTGTGTCCAGTTTCAAGTCTAATCAAAGTTTTGTTTTATAAATATAATAACGTACAGTTAATATTGTATGATCACAATTAACTAACGATTGGTGACCCATCTTTTTAATTTAGTAGAGGTCACCAAGTCACTGGTTACTACTGATTCTAATGGATGATCATTTTTTACCTGTTTTCTTACATTTATTATGTTTGTATGATGTTTGTTGGTAAACCTGAAATGGTTTGACCTTTACTCAAACTGACCAGGTAACTTTGATTATCCTCTCTCCGGAATTGAGGTTCATTACCACATCAAATGATGATAATGATGATGATGAGAAGAAGAAGAGAGAGAAAACAATGTTGATGATGACGATGATTCGAAAGGCGATTCAGTGAATTTTACGCAATTTCGTAATCGTTCATTTCGTTAGTGTTAGATTAACGTTAGTTTATCGTTACGAAGAGAAAGAGAAAAGTTTTTTTTTTGTTATTTTCTACTTCGAAAATGATTATCACCATTATATACACTCACGTGGTTTTTGTACATTTATCGTGCTCTTGACTTTCAGATTTTGACCTCAGGCCGAAAGTTTGCAATTTAACTTTCGGGTTATTATTTGGTTTGTAATCATTATCTGATAATCAATGTAAATGAATGAGAAAGAATAAAATTTTCTTAATTGTTTAGTTTAATATTAAATTCATCTGAATTAATCTGATTCGTTTGTTAATCATCATCAAATTGATTTCCAAAGTTAGTGTGTTAGTCGATGACGAGGTTATCAAATCATTTAATTTTAACCATTTCAAGGCTAATTCATTTATATATTAAATTAAATTCAGTTAACCCGATAGTTTGAATGTTAATTATCGTTAAACATTTAACGAGAGAAAATATCAAAATATCAACTTAATGACAATTCAATTAGCATTTTAAACATTAATTTCAAATGAACAACTATTAACTGAATAGACTCTTTAATTACTTAGACACCACCAAAATGATCAAATTAGTTTCCAATCAATTTTCACAATTTAATATTTAAATGACCAATCAAACTTTACTATTACTCAATTGTTGTTGATGATGAAAATGATAATATTAAATTGTTTATCCATAATATTGACTGTTTGTTGATGGCTAATCAACTTTTATCAATTGATTGTTACCTTTATGTTTACACGATGAGATTGGTGATTCTGAGTTTTGATTCTCAAACTTGGATGATAATTATTATTATTATATTGTCACGTGATTTAATTCAATTATCACTGCGAAAAGAAAAATTAAATATCGATCAAGGTCGATGGTTAAAATTGATAATATTATTAACCACGATTCCGGAGTTTCCAGAAGATGTTTTTACTTTTCTCGTTCTCTTGATGCTCGAAGCGATATTTCAAACTCCACACATCGGACGTTCGATTTTAGTGTTTAACGAATTTCGAAGTGAATGTTTTTAGAGGTCAAATATTATGTCGATATTTGTGTTAACCAATCGAAAGAAAAGAAAATAATGAAAGAGAAAGAGAAAGAGAAAGAGAAAGGGATGGAGGGAGGGAAGAGGGAGAAGGTCAAATCTTTTTCGAGTTATCGAACAGAACAGAACTGAACTAACCCCGAACTGTTGTGTGAGTGTACAAATTACGAACTTGACCATTTTAGTTATTACTTTTTTATTCTGAACTTGATCTGAAAACAAAACATTCACCAGCACTTTCACTACTAAACCCATTCTCGTAATCATCATCGTTACATACCTTTGATGTTTATTATCATCAATTTATCCTTAGGCTATTTTTTGCTCTGCTCAATTCTTGTAATACTAATGATGATTAATGTTGATGATGACCAATTGAAGATAATAATAAAACTGTAATTTAATTTAACTTATATATATTGTCAAATGTCCACATTGTTTGATGGTCATTATTATTGTTTTGATGACCATTTAAATGTCCGTCAAGTATTGGATCTCTTATACAAATAAAGTCTACCCTATGAAAACAATATGATACAAAATCAACAGATAACTGACCATAAAAATCAATCCTAATGGTCATTTTCAATGAAAATTCATTCTAATTCATTTAATCTAATGATACAATGTTGCAAGAGTTAAAATTTTAACATTATAAAGATGATAATGATTCTCCTAATTGTTTTACTTGAGACAATCAAGGTCACCAGAACTTTTCAAGAATCGAAGTTTGAGAAAACGACAATTCGACATCATCCTTATACTATGATAATGATTCTTAGCAGTTTCATTAAAAGAATTGATTTGTTTAGTTGTCTCATCACTGAGACTAATTCATTATTGTAAACCATTGAGCAATCGTCATCAGTGGACAATTAAAATTTCTCATCATCAGTTAAATATCATTTCGAAGTGACCTTTAATTACTTAATAACGAAAATAATTTTCAGAACTCAATGAAACTCTGGACTTTTACTCTTGGCATGAGAATCCTGCAATTCCCAATGGGTAATAATTGGCTCGATTTCAGATTAATGAGTCAACTCAATCTCCAATTGATTGAGTGAAAAATTGTTCATATTAATTGTTGATTAACTTGATAACCAGTTTGACAATTTAAAATGATTAGAAATCAATCAATTTAATTCAATTTATTATTAGAAAAAAAACTAATTCATTTCTATTTAAGTTAATTGCCAAATATCAACTGTTTTATTGATAATCGTCAATAAATAAACTGAATTTAAATTTACAGATTATCGAGTATATCAGATGACAATTAACGTTAATTAGTTAATTGTGTGGTTAAAATCAAATCAATCAAGGATAAATTTTGATTTTTTTTTCTATTGATAATCATTCAAATATCAAATCAAATCAAATCCAATCACAATTAAATTATCAACAACTAATCAATAAATTTCTAAGCAATTTAGCCTTTGAAAATGATCGTGACAATTAACACTAATTTGATAATCATCAACATCGCAATTAGTTTATCAATTTGTTCATTAATTGAACAATTTAAATATCACATTAGACATAAATAATTATTATTATTTAATATTTTATCACCTGTTGATTGTTTATCATTAATTTTAAATCAATAATCAATAGATAATCATCATCATTAGTAAATTAATTGTCTTTCATCTTAATACAACTGTGTGATTAGCTTAATTGTCTAGTAAATTGTTATCGTACAATTTGTTGATTATCAAATTGTACTCGTTAAAATCATTTTGTAGATTAACTCAAAATAAATATAAATATAAATTTCTCATTCCTTTTAATTGTAACAATTAACGTATCAAGTGAAATTAACTAATTTACATTTGGAGTGTAAATTTGATATATGATGTAGTTTAAATTAACCAAATAGTGTAACAATTAAACAAAAAAACAATTGCACTGCTATTTATTATTAGTATCTGATTAGTTAGTTGATTGTTTTTTTTGTACATTACCGTTAAGTTAATTAATCATCAATTGATGTATCAACAATTTATCATAATTAATGTTATATATTATTAATACATCAAATAATAGATTGTAATTTGAATAAACCTTTTTTTGTATCTAATTAAACTTGATTGTAATCATGATTATCCAAACATTAATCAACAACCTCCCACACAAACTGAATTAAACTAATTGTATTATATTGTTGGTGTTGTTTCAACAATCAGATTTACCAAATTGTCTCAATTAGTTAACTGTAGTTGTTTAATGGTTGCATTTTAATCATTGGGATCTCTTAATTGCTGCTCTTTGTTTCAATTTGGATGATTTATAAATTGTTAGGGTTAAGTGAAAACCTTCAAATTTACCCAATTGATTAACTGATTGAAAGGGAACCAGAAATGGAAAGAAAAATTTTCATTCTTAATCACAATTAGCATAAGTAATTAACTGTTGATGGAATTGGACAAAAAAAAAAGATGAGGTAAAGTCTTTGATTTAATTAAATTAATTTCGATCAAGATGATTAATTTAATTTAATTATATTCGGGAAACTTTTTCCTCATACAAAGATATCTTTTCATTTCTAATTAGAATTGATTGTTTATCTCAATTTTTAATTTGATTTCACCTTAAATTGATCCATATTGTTTATGTCTAATTGATTAATTAGTCTACAATTTTGTTAACCAACAATTTGATATAATAATTAAATCATAATTACCTCATATTAGGAAAATGAACTTTCAAAATTAATGATAATGAGCTTTTGATCAGCAAAAAAAACCTTAATTGTGTGTGAGTTTGATTATAATCAGGACCTTAATCATTGATAATCAAGGTATCTTACCTAATCATTGATAGGACTTCATTAATTAGTTGATTATTTGATAATCTATTGAAACTTGACCACGTTGTTGTGTCCATTTAAATTTGGTCTCAGGTCATCAACGGTTTTCCAATTGCATCATAATCTAAATTGTTAATCAATTAGTTAACTATCTTGTTAATTAACGGGGAAAAAGTTTAAATTCAAATTATGATTCCTGTTGATTAACCAATTTTCTTGATGCTGATCTGTTTTAATTGTAGTGAAGGAAAATGCTAATCATTGTTATCAACAATTTACCTTTAATAAATTGTAATCCAATGCCAATTGTTAACTGAATCAAGTTGCTAATTAGTTTATGGGTTAATCTTAATATAGTTATAGCAATTTAGTTGATTGTTATCAATTGTGATTTGTGTGACAATTATTAACCTCAGATGATCATTAGTTAAACAATCAATATGATCATTTGATTTTATCAATATCGTTTGAATGTAAATTAAATTGATTAAAGTTAGTTGATTATGATCAATGATTTATTTATATTAACGATTGTGATGATTAGTTTAAATTAACATGATTAACTGTGATTCCGTCTTTGGAGTTGAACCAAATTGTTTCCAATTGTTGGCTCACAAATTGCAAATTAATTAGTCAACAATTAGTTTATCTTAATCAATAAATATGCTAATTGTGATAATAAATATCATCCTAATCAAGTTGAAATTAAAATGCCTCAAGTTAATTGTTGTTAGTAAGAAACTTGTGATAGCAGTGATAGTCAACGTTTAATTGTTAACCATTGATTGTAGTTAACTGTTAACTCTGAACAATTAACTAATTATGAGTTGGAAAGAGAAGAAAAAAAAATTCAAGAATCAAAATTGATTAACTAATTTCTTTCTAATTGATTAATATTATGATAATCAGAATGAAGAGCAAAAGGAAAAATGATTTGGATCAACAACAATTTACTAATCAGTGTAATTAACCTTGCGTTGAATTTAAGTTTAATGATCAACAATGAATTAAATTCACATTTAATTCAATTGGAAACATAAACTTTTAATTAACTTGATTTTTTTGTTGTTTTTCGAGGCAAAATTTAAATTTCGTTCTGACGTCAAAATCGTTGGGATTTCGTTTCAAGTATAATTTGATAAATTTACTTCCTAGTTGATTAAGAATATCAATAGTAATCAATTAGATCAAAACTAATTATGTTTCCGGGTTTTGTAATAACCTTAATGAAGACACTTAATCATATTGACAATTAATCAACGATTGATGATTGGGAAAAGTAATACAACCAATTGAAGGATAAAACCGTTAACTGTATTGTCGTCACTTAGTCAATTTTTATATCGACAATTAACAAATTGCTCTTTGATTAACATAGTATATTTAGCTAATTCAATTAATCTCAATAAAATGATTAATCCTTGTCTCGTATTTTTGATTACTTTTGTCTTCTACAATTACATCTAATTTTACAATTAACGGTTTAATTTTCGCAATAATCAAACTCGTAAATTTAAAATACTTTAATTACTTTAATTTAGTTACGATATTTATTAGAAATTGTGATCTAAATTAATAATAACAAACGTCATAGGGTTTTAATTACTTTTGATCAACATCGATGAAATTGTTTATCATTGACACGTCAATACAATTAACCTTCACAATCTAATTAAATTGTCACGAAAAAAACAAAACAATTTAATCTTCTTATTTGATCTGATTCGATATGAGAAATAATGTATTAATTTAATATCTACAATTAGACAATTTGATTGTCCAATATCTTAAAATAGTTTCAACGATTAACAATTGATTAGTTGGTAATTTACCAAAGCGAGATTGTAAATGATTAACTTACACTAAACTGACAAGTTAATTGTTGTCAATTGTTTCTATTTTTAATTTATACGGATTAAATTGTCTTAGAGAAGTACTTAATAAACAAATTAACTTAATCATTAGACATAAACAAAACACAATCTAATCTGATTAACTATCAACAATCAACAACAAAACACACATAATATAACAACAATTTGATACGGAATTGATTGTTGATTTAATGATTTTCTTTACCATTTGTAACTTTGAATACAATTTAACAAAACAATCATTTCAATCAGAATCTACAATTAGTTTTAATTTTTCAACAATTACGATTTTAATTTTAATTTTACTTTTCAGTGAATTACTTATAATATTAAATTATAGTTAATATATAATTATAATAACAATCGTAATCATTTTGTGTGTCCAGATTATTGTTGTTGTTGTTGTTGTTGTATTTAAGTTAGTTAGTTGATTGTTATTAATTTGATGAAGGGAAAAAAAGTTAATCACAATCAAATATTAAGATTGTTTTACCCTTGAGTACAATTCACCTTGGATAATAATGATTGTGATGATGATCATGTTGATGATGATGATGATGATGATGATGATAACAATGACAACTAATCAACAATCAACTTTAATCTTGTCAGAGGAATATATCAATTAACGGACAATTAAGAGACTAAAAAAGGATACAATTTACTGATTGTTGATAAATAATGATAATAAAACTACTGCTACTTGATATTAAATTACCATAGGTAATTTACCAATTGATTAATTAATTGTGATAATGTTTGACCTAATGATATTAATCAGTGATTGTCTTAAATTACAATCAAACAGAAATGTCAACAATTTACTAAATGATTACAATCAAATCTAATATATGAATCTACAATCGAGTCAATTTTTGCTGTTGATTGTTTTGGTCAAGATTTGATCAAGGTTGGTCAAGCAATTAAATATTGTCAACCTTTTTTTTTATCCATTATTTGATTAGTTAATAACAATTGAATTTATTTCTGTCATAATTTAAGTCCATTTGACAATCAAATCAAAGTCATTTTTACAAGTTAATTGTCATCATTAATTTTTTGTTGTTTGTTGCTGTTTCCATTTTCATTGTTATCTTTACAATTTCATAATGATAATTATTTAATTGTTTCATCTTCATGGTCAAATTAGAGCAGATTCTAGATTTTAATTGATTGATGTCCAGTTTGTAATTGGGTTAAAATTTACTTTGGGTCAGTTTCAAATTCAAGGTAAACTTGAAGGAGTGACCAGTGTGGTGATTGAATGTGAATCTAATGATATTGGAATTGCAATTGAGGTAAAATTGTTAACAATCAGATTAACTTGATGGTCATTGGTGTTTAAAAGGACGATGACCAATTGCTGGGAGGGGTCAATGAAAGTGGCACAAGAGATGCCCATTGAATTACCCTGGATATTATGACCGATATAAACTGAATTGGGAGGGATGAATTTTGAAAAGTGTCCAAGTGCATAAAACATTGGATTACGATAATAAGTGTCCATCTTTGGGTCAACCAGTATCGATGAATCAAACTTGCCATGGTTCCATGAAGGGCCTCCGGTTAAACTGTCCGAAACAAATGTCCAGTCTATCCAGCCGGTGACATATCGTTGAAAATCTTGAATCATGTCATATGCATACTCTTCCGCTCGTGTCCAGTTTCCCAGTTGACCTTTGAATGAGATTCGTTGGTATTTTGGTTAAGGAAAACCTGAGAGCAAATTCAATGGGGTTTACCTGTGTTTGGAGCATCCTTCTTGTAGCCAGCAGTTGCTTCTGTTGACATGATGAAATAGTTTGGAAACTTATCATGAGTTGGAGATAGATATTCGTAAGGATCTTCACCATCATCATACCAATGGACTGCGATACCGGTCACGAATTTAGCCGTTTCTGGATCGGTTAAAATGACCTCAGTATATTGGGGAAGATATTGTTTCTTGTCGTCTAAGATTAGAACGTTGAGTTTATCAACTCCATAGTCTGATTCTTGGAGAATTGGACCAAGATCGAGCTTAATGAAATCTCGTAACATTTCAGGGGTCAGTCCAACATTGTTGAAGATATAAGGAGCATTCTTGACCACATTGAAAGGTTCATTGGTTGTGGTGATACCCCAGAAGTTGATTCCTTCCGATTTATAAGAATCGAGAAATCTGATGAAAAGAATATTTAAATTTTCTGAACAATCAAATTATCTAAATTATTCACCTACTTAACATGGTATTTAGCATAAGTTTTATAATATTTTCCCCCCGGAGAACCCTTGATATAACCTCCAACGATACTGTCGTTAGTTTTCATCCAGCCAGGAGGTGACCAGCAGCTTGCGAGAAGCTTAAGATGACTATTGGCTCGCAATTCTATTGCCTGTTTAATCATTGGAATCTGAGTGAAGTTTTCATGCATAAGATTCAATCCTGAGTTTTGCTTAATTCAGTAACTCACCTTTAGACTTATATCTTCAGGTGCAAGTTGAAAATCTTCAAGGTCAAAGTCATCATCATGATTATCGTCATAAGAATAAGGTCGAACGAGAAATCGGTCCCACCAATAGGAATCCGAACTAAGGAAAAATCGAGGCCAGATTTAGAAAAATAATCGACCATTATCTGCTCTCGAAGATCAATTGAGAGCTTCTCTAAATTGAATCCAGCTCCATCATTGAAAGATGAACCAAAGCCGATAATTTTCTGTCGCTGGTCATTAGGATTCAGAGTAATTTCAATAGTCCTCAAAGATTTCAACTCGTCAGTCAAAGGTAGTAAATTATTTATCTGTATTTTGGACTTATGAAAACGATAAATGTCACGTGATGATGTCCACTGATAAATAAAATCTTTTGGAACTGGTTGGATAGACTCAATTGCTGGACATTGATTCAAACTGCAAACACAGACAAATGAATCTTGACCATCAAAGTAACGACGGATACAACCATCATCTCCACCAGTGGCTAAAATTGACCTCACCAAAACAATCAACAAAACAATCAACATTAATATAACTTTGCCACCAGAAAATACAATACAAAAAAAACTGACCAACCACAATTGACCACAGTTGACTAACAATCATGAATAGTTAACTGATTCACCCAATATTATACATAATAATCAACCAATTGGATGGTAATAAATTTTTTCAGTGACAATTAAACACCAAAAGCTTACCGTTAATTTGATTAATTTACCTCAGTTTCCCAATACATACAAATTCAATCATACAAATCAATGATTCTCAAAACTTGATCAATCACAATCAACGAGAAAATAAAAAATCAATCTATAAGTTGATTGCTTAATCGTTAGAGAAAAACAAAACGAAAAAGTTTTTGCTGAACAATTAGTTTAATTACTATCCGAATGGTCAGTTTAAAACCCTCTAAGGTAAAAATTGGAAAGTCACAATCTAATTATAATTAGAAAATGCTATTAATTGAATTGATTGTTAACCCAAACTATGATTATTATCACAACAATTACATGATTAACATGATAATGATTGTTATCGTCATTACAATTACTTATCAATACTGAAGGTGAACTATTTGAAAAATTGTAATTATTCAAATTGACAATTTACTAATTTTTTTGAATGTAAATTATGTTGATTACAATCAGTTGATAATCAATAACCTTGTTTATTGATTAAATTGGTTGAGTTTTTTTTTCCTTGTACATATTATCATTGTTAACAAGTTATTGTTGTAATTATAACTAATTAAACATTATTAGGATTATTATTTAACATAATTTATATTTGAATGATTATTATTAGTTAATGATGATGAGAGCTGATGATTTACAATTAAATAATTATAATTCAATGATTAGATTACAATTGACCTGGAAACAATTTAACAATATCAACAACAATTAATCATGTGAATAGTGACATTTGATTTATATAATACAACTTGAAGTTACAATTAATTGTTAACTCAAGTTCATGATCATTGGGTCAATAATTAAGGTTAATCAGTGTTACTATTTGATTGTCCATTGATAAATTGATTGATTACTAATTAAAAAGTTTGTGAATCAATTACAATGGTCACTTTTTTTTTGTTTTCCCAACAATTTGCGACAAGAATTAAATTTAAACTCAACAGTTAACCACCTATTGAATTAAATTGTTGTAATGATCCTTGTCACATTAACCACAATTGAAAAAGGTAAATCAAGATAATCAACTAATAGGGTTAATTGTTGTTAACATTAACAATCATCATTATTAAATCATTAAGATAATTAGGATTGGAGAGAGTAAAAAATTAATCTAATCACTTGTTGTTCATATTTGACCAATACCTGAATGATAATCACAATTTAATTCATAATTGTCCTTTGATTTCTTCCTGATTGTCAACATTTGATTAATCATAATCATCATCAGAAACAACAACAATCAAATAATAAAGGAAAATCAAATCCTTGAACAATTAAACAGACAAAGAAAAAAAAAATGAAACCAAATTAAGTAAATTGCAAAAATGCCTCAGGCTATCAAATTATATATCAATTCCTATGGTGATCAGTTAAATGAGTTGATTTAACTGAATTAAAAGCGATTAACAATCAACCCAAAAATACAATAATGAAGTTGAAATTAATCTGTAAAATTATAATGCTAATCAATTGGTGTTTTTCATGGTGATCAAACATAATAGATTATCATTTAAATGGTTGATCAAAGTTAATTGTCATTTGTTAATTGTCGTTTTCCTATAAATAAATTAAATCCCTCCTGAAACAAAATGTATATTCACAATTAATAATCATTATTAAATTATCATCATTACCTTGACAGTATTAGAGCCAATTGTAAAGGGGATCAGCTTAAATTGTACACAATTTAAAAAAAAAAGTAAAACCTGACAGCCTTGATTGTGACAATTAGGAAACAATTAGTTTTAATTGCACCCAAATATTGGCACGTAGTCATCACCATAACCATGATCATTTAAATTTAGTTGAATTGTAAACAATTTGAGTAAATCACTCAATAAGATATTGATGATGATGATGAAAGAATCAGCAACAATTTAAATTGACCAATAACAATTAAGCTTCGTAAACCCTTTGATTATTGATTTAATCAATCAAATCTATTATTAAATTAACCAGCAAGTTTTGACCCCAAGTTTTTTGATTACTTGACCTTGAATTGTTCGTAATCAAAAGGCCTAAATCAAGTGAATCGATTTATAATGAGATTGTTTATGATTAACTAATGATCAACAATCAATAATGATTAACAATATTCTTCTTGGCCTCTTCTCTGGTTGATCATTTCTTTCATGATTAACTAATTTTTTTTCCTATTATAACCAATCATTTATACTAAATAATAATAATAACTTGATTACCATTATTATCAGAACATTATTAAACTTTAATAACGATAACAATTTACTTAATCATCATCACCATTGACCTGACCTCCAGTAATTTAGTATATCAGATTAACCAATACAATTAACTTTTTACTCTTTGTTTTTATTAATTGTCGCTGCTAAATTCAATTATCAAGAATCTTATTGATTGTGATCATCATAATGATTAACGATTGTTGATAATCAAGTCCTATGGTGGTGTTAATGATGATGATTAGTATTTACAACTTGATTTGCTTCCAGCAATTTACTAATTTTTTTTTCTTCTTAATTCACAATGTGAACCTTTGATTGCAATCAAGGTCAATTGTCTATTAATCATCTAAATATATGCATTTGATGGTGACGAGAAAATCAATCAATTAAACCTGAATTGCAAGTTAATCAAACAAACAATTGGCAGTTTAGTTGATTTAAATGATGACAATTTGTTTAATCGAGTTGTGATTTTTGCTTAATCTTCAACAATTAACTGATTGCTCTATTTTTGAATGTACAAATTGATTAATTATTATGATTAGTTTTTGGTAAACCTTTGATTGTCAAGATAAGTAAATCATAACAATTAACTTTCAAAGGATCGTCAAAATTTGGTCATTTAAATTGTTGGTGGTCAGTTAAAGATGACCATTGATAATAAACGACAAGAATTAATTGTGACCTAAATTGTGAAATGTTAAGTTTGGGTCAATAAAATGATGATTATGATTGTTGATAATGATTAAAAATTGATGATCATTTAGTTTTATCATTAGAAAAATTAAATTTCCAACAATTAAATGTTGACCTTGCACGTTTTTTTATTATTACAACCTTATTAATCAATGTTAATCTATCGTTGATTAATCAATATGATTGTTATCATGATTAAAGTGATGAATTGTGAAATTGATGGTTAAACAATTTCACCAATCGGAAAATTTGTTAAATTGTCATCACAACAATCAATTATTATTATTATCAATTGAACATCATCATCATTTTCAATCATCACAATTGAAAATTGTTTAAATCAGTTAACTTGGTGTTGAAATTGCCACTTAAAAGTTTTGCTAATTTCCCATAGTTAAATATTGGTTAATTGTTGCTAAATGTTTAACTGATTAACTGATAAAACAAAAGTAAACAAACAATTAAAATTGATTGAAAGTAATAAAAAAACAAAGAAGAGGGAAATAAAACAGTTAACTAATTGTAACTATCATTTAACATCTTAAAGTGATATTTTCTTCATTATCATTCAACAATCAATTTTAATTGTGACAGAAAAACAAATGATAAAAGTTGAGGATCAACTTTAAATGAACATGATAACAATTAAATGACCAGGTCAAAGTCTGGACAATATTAAATGTGACAATTAATTGTTGCATCATCTTATCAAGATACTAACTGAAAAAACAAACAAACAAACAATTAGTTAATTATCATTGAATGTAATAAATTAATTTCTTCATTAATTGCTATCATTTCAATGGTAATTGATAAATTATCTAAGGCCTAACAATAATAACAAACAATTAACAAAATCATCATTTAATTGTTGGGATAATATAATCATGATAAGTTTAACTTTTCAGCTGTTTAAATTGTTGTCCTTTCACCTTAATTACAATTAACTTTTACCTTAACTGAACAGTTTTCATTACCACGTAATCTTAACCATTCACCTACATGAATTTTTAATTTTCACGGTCTCCACAACTGAATTAACTTAATCAAGATGAATTAAGATTTGTCCTCATAACCTTAACATGCTTAAGGTCATGATGATGATGATGAAAACATTTAAATTGTTACGTTGATAATAACACATCAATTTTTGAATATTAATTTAAATCATCAAATATAATTTCAACCTTTCTGTCTTAATCCTTAATCCTTAATCTAAATGTGATTAACTTTCTCTTTCTCTTTTTAATCCATAATTAGTTTGGGATTTAATTTTTTTGGATTAAAATTAAAAGTCAATTGCTCCATTAAAGGTGACAGTATAAATAACAATAATCAAAGTTAAATTGTAGTTGATTAACTTTGATTATATGATGATGATTGATCCTCCTGGTTGATTATTAAATTGTTACCAGTTTATTGATCAAGTTCAATTACTTTTCGTAGTAAAGGTTAATTGTTGAATAATTATAATCTGAAATGAGAAAGAAAAGTTAATCAGAAACATTTTTTGGTTAGTTGATTGTTGATTGTGAAAAGAGTTGATTTGATTTGTTGTTTATCAGTTAATCATAATAACTATTAATAATATTACAGTTAACTACATAAGGAAATGTATTAATTAGAATGAGATTAATCAATAAATTGGAAATATAAACAAAACAGTTAATCAAAAGTGAAAGTTAAATGATCACTAAAATCAAGTTTGATGACAACTTTATATTGATCATTGTTGCCTAAGGCTAATTAGTCAAATAATTAACTGATAATCAATAAATTGACTAGTCCATATGATATAATAAAAGTTGAATATCTCCTAGTTGAATCCAATTGATTGTATAACTATAATTGTAATTGTAATGGATAAATCAACAACTAATCAACAAGCTAGTCAATTAAATCAGATCAACGATCAGCACAATGTATCATCAACCGATAATAACCAGCTGATTTAAAGGTCGTCAAAGGTCAATCACAATGAAAAGAGTTAACAGTTATTTAGAGTTTAATCAACCAATTGGTTGATTTTCCAACATCATTTTTCCTTATTAGTCTGTAATCGATTAATGGTTTCAAATACAATTAGATATCATTCGTCATTCTTTGTTTTAATCATCAGCCATCAATAATTTTAATTCATAATGATGAATGTAAATCAGTGTGAATGTGAATTAGTGATTAACCTTAAGGATAGAAAGAGGAAAAGATTAATTCAGTTAATAACAGATAAGATAGAAGAAAAAAGTTTGATTGTTTCATTTGAATTTGATTTAAATTATTCACCATCATAGAGATACATGTAATTGTTAGCTGTCTTTTTATTTGTAATTCAATTGAGTTACCAAATCCTGATAAATTAACAACAATTAAGTAATAGGATACCATTGGATTATTAGCTAATTGTAGTTAATTAATCATGACCAGAAACTATGCAACTAGAATTACAATTGATACTAGAGATGTTACAACAAATTATCACCCATGATCTGATTGCATGAACATGGTTAGTGTAAAATCTGGTTAAATTTACCATGAGTTTAAAACTTACTGTTGATTAACATTGAAACCAAATCTGATTAAATGTTAATAAGAGACAAAATGATTAACAACAACAAGGGTACAGAATTAAAACAATTTAGGATCGTTAAGGACATTGTTTCAGTTTTTCCCATTAACAAGATGATGGATCAACACCTATCCTTATTAACCACAGAGATTAAGGTTGTTATTATTGTTTAAGATGATAATTATTGTCCTGTTACCTGAGATATTAGGGGAAAATAATTCATATATGAGAGAGAGAGATTAAGAAAACATGTAACAAAAAATAGACAACAGATCATTAGACAAGTTTGTCTTGATCGACACCATTTTAATACTTAACAAGGTTTTTTCTTACCTGTAATGTTGTTTATCATCATCATCATCATCATTGTTATTGTATTTGATAAGCAGATTTGACTAAAAGATGATGATGATGATGATGATGATCTACACGTAGGTGAATGTTAGATGACCATGTTTACTGGGGAAAGTTTTTCCATTCACACTTACAACTCAAAGTTTGATTCTTTCTTGGTCATTTTCTTTCTGGCCCATAAGATGAATTATCCTCATCATCATCATCATTATTGATGTTGACGAACATGTTATTTGGAATATACCAAATGATATTTCGTGATTTCACATGAGAATTTATGTCTTGAAACTTTTCTTCTTCTCTGATGCCTTCAAACACTAATGGATATACGGTTTCGTTGGTGTTTCTTTGTTGATTACAAATCTAGATAAGTAAAATAATAGAAAAATTATTAGAAAAATGAAACTACGATGAAGATCATATAGAGAAAGGAAGAGAAAAGTATTACTATATTATGAATGAATGAGAAGATTATCTTATAATTATGATTATAATCCAAGCTTTAGAATCAAGAGAATTTAAAATCTCACTAATTCTGTATTTTGTCGGATATATGTCAAGATATTAAAATATTTCTCATTGATTCAGGATTTTCCCGTTCAAATCTTTTCTCTTTCTCAGTAAGATGATACATGTTACTTTGAATATATTATATATATTTTTCTCAATTGATGAAAAACTTACCATCACTTTCTTGTGAATCAATAAATTGTAATGACAATCAAAGTTTCTGGGTACATGAGTAAATGATACACACCATTTGATTAGATGATTAAGGCCAACAAGGTGTAAGAAGTAACATAAATGTACCAGAGAGAGAGAGAGAGAGAGAGAGAGCCTGAGTAACATTGAAATAACCTAAAAACAGAACCAAACAATCCTCAGGAATAATCGTCATCTTTAGTAGTCATCATGAGTTACAACTGAATAATAAATGACAAGTTTAATCCGATCCAAGATGTCACAAGGGAGAGAGACACATTTTAATCATCTTTCTAGGCCATATTCTTGATTCTCCAAATCATCTTATGGTTAATTCTCAGTCCGAACAGTAGATCTTAATCCTCCACGGAAGTTGTGTATTGACACATTGGAAATCAGACCATGTAAAGTGCACACCTAAAATAGAAAATCAGTAAAAAAAGAGAAAAACAAAAATTAATAATCAATAACAAAAAGATTATCACAGAGAACATGAAAGTTTACTTCGGATCAGCAATGCGAATCTTGTTGATTGATTTATTCTAAAAGTTACAAATTTAAACCTTTAGAATATCAATCGTGTTAATTGTCCAATTATCTTTAAATTGTGTCATCAATATTTTCTCATGAGACTTTGATATAGGAAAAATCGACTAAATTATTTTAGAAAAAGAATCTTTTTCTCCCCTCATTGAGACAAAGAGAAAGAGACAATTAAAAGGTTTCCAATAGAAAGCAAGATGATTAATTAAACGAAGAAGAAAATTGATAAATTGAAAAGAGAACAAGGAAATACTTAATTTAAGAAATTAATTTACATGTAATTAGTTTTAATTGTAAGAATCATCACAAGTTACAAATTTTAAGAGAAAAACAAACAAACAAATTAATTCGATTATTAAATTAACCGGTTAACCGATTGGTCACTTATCCGTTTCCGGTTCGATTTATTTTCGTAACCGTTACTTTGGTAATTTTCATTTTCGGTAATCAAATTTTTCCAAATTTTTTTTGTTCTTTTCTCTCAAATCTAATTAACTAAACATGAATTTTTTTTGGTTAATTGTTTGTTTTTCTTGTATTTTTTTTTCGTCCCAATTGTTGACACACCGATTTAATTGTTACCTTTGTTATTTGTAACCACCAGTTGATTATTTAAACATCTTTTAGCTATTGTGATGTTGGTTAACTAAATTTTACTATTTGAATATTAATTTTCTTTCACTTTATTTACATAATTTTAATTTCTCTTTTGCTCTTTTTTTTTGTTTATTAACAGGAAATGTAACAACACTTAACAGCCCTGGAACTGGTGATTACAATTGTTTCCCAAATTTACCAAGTTTTGATCTTCTTCGAAGCTCTTGTTTAGATCTTGATGGTCAAGGAAGTAGTCCATCATCGTCAGGAAGTGGTAAATTACCTGATATTAATTACTATTCAATTTTTGTTGACATTTAAACCTGACTTTATATCTTTCTGATGATAATATTAGTCATACATTTGTCGATTCAAAATTGGCTTGTAATTGGAATTCTTTAAATGGGTTATTAATGCTAATTTTGTTTCTCTTTTCTATTACTCTCTATCTTTTTTTTCAGAATCTGATAGAGAATCAACTAGTAGCTCTATGACAACCGTTAATGAAAGACAATCAGCCCATTTATTGGCAGCCGTTGAAAACACTGATCCTAATTTGGTATCTGCTATCCCAGGCCATACAATTGTTGATCCAGTTACTGGTTTACCCGGTAAATCAATACCAACCTTGACTACACCATTAACTGTCCCCGTTAAAAAGGTTGGCAGAAGAGGTCGACCCCCTAAGAAAGATGCTAAATCAAGAAATAGACAAGGTAATTGACATAAATCAACAGTGACTTATTCCTCCTGAAGTTAACGATATTCATTGTTTTTTTTTATTCTTCTTCTAAAAGGAAAAGGAAATGGTAAACTTTGGGAATTCATTCGAGATCTACTTTTAGACTCAGCTACAAATCCAAGTTTGATTAGATGGGAAAGACGAGAAGACGGCGTTTTCAAGTTCGTCCAATCAGATAAAGTTGCCAAACTTTGGGGCCAAAGGAAACAAAATCCTCGAATGACTTATGAGAAATTAAGTCGAGCAATGAGGTAAATTATTGTACCACCAATCGAAATCCATCGTTTACTAAAATTTCTCTCTCATTTACCCTTCAACCTTTCTTACCTTAGGTACTATTATAAGAGTCAAGTATTGTTACCCGTTTTCGGCCGACGATTGGTATATAAATTTGGTCCAAATGCTACAGGATGGAGAGCACATCCAATTGGATTGATATAAAAATCCAAGTAAAGTCTAAATTGTTTCCACAGTAAAACAAAAAGCACAAAAAGTTAATTTTTTCCATTCCAAACACAATCAACATTCAACATAATCGTATTTAAAGCAACATAGCTTTCTCATTTTTCTTTTCGAATTTTTTTCCCTCATCATCATTGTCACCTTGTTGTTACCTGTTAATTTCCTTAATCTACTTTTCTATTCTCTTTATCCATGCAATATTCATTTTCTGTTCAACTTTCTCTTGCCACCGAATCATGTCTTATCCTTTTTTCTCTCTCCATGTATTTACATATTCACTTCTTCATTCTGGATAGTTTTCAATTCTTTGCACAAAGAAAATCCTATTGGCTTCCTTTCTCCTTTCCAATCTATGTTATCCATGATTTTCCAGGTTAAAATCTCCTGAATTTCGACTGAATCATCGCCTTTTTCAGCTGATTATGGTTAAGATGAAAAAGAAAAATTTTTTTGGACATTTGAGGTCAAATCCAAGGAAAAGTTTGAATATCGTATTACCATCATCTCGTTATCCAATAATTACAAAAGAAGTTGGCATTTTTATCGTTGCATGTTAATTAACTATATCATAACAAGTAATCAATCAAGAGAATCAACTAATCAACTCCACGAGGATACAATTGTAACACTTGGCAATCAACAAGATGAACTAAATTGACAATTGACTTCATTATCAATCGTCAATTAAATTTCGCCGATCACAATTTTTCATGTACAAATCTAATTTCAATCGCAATTCAACAATTGTAATTGAAATGTGATCAATTTTTGATTATTATCTCTTTAATCATTATTGTTTTTATTGAAAAGACATTTATATCAAGAGACTGACAGATTGACCAAAATGGTCAACATCCTCGTAAAGAGCAAATTCACAATTGATTTAATCTCGTAATCATCTTAATCATCACCAACACTAAACTTTATTGTTATTTCATTCTGATTTATTGGACCAGTTTGATTTAATCATGAAAGTTTTACAAGCCGATCATCACATGTAAACAATTAGTTAATTGTTGTACAGTGAAAAATGGGATTCGTCATCCAAGACTGTTGTAAATAGACAAAAATTAATAATCATTTTTTTCACCATCATCACAATTAACGTCATCTCCAAATGGACACTTTAACTTGTTCAAGATCAACTGAATTAAAACAAATTTTGTTTACTAAATCAAATTATCATCATCATCATCATCATCCACATCATCACTTTTATCACAACAATCATCAGCTGTAGATACTTTGGTTAATCATATTCTTGATCAATTTGGTTCCTTAATTGTATCCAATTAGATTTACACTTGGAATCAACTTTAAATCAACGAAAAAATCACCAACAATTTACTGGGATAAAAAATATACTTATATATATTGACAGGATTGAAAAAATTTCCACTGTTATCATCTTAATTGTTATCATAGATTAGATATCGACCTTAATTGTCACAACAATTGTATCCAAAAGGAATCAGAATTATACTTTATATCGTTTTTACCAATGTGCTTATAACTGATTTTAATTTTGTACCTTGGAAATAATTAATTTGATTGATAATTTACTTGCGATTAATTAATGTAATCCAATCTTGAGAAACTATTCCAATCTAATCATTTTCATAATCAACCATTTTAATTGTTTTCTTTTTTTTCTAATTCAAAATTTCACTGAGTTGCCTAAAAGTGGAAGACCCAACAAACCAAACGAAAACTTAATCACCACAGTTAATTTTACGACTTCAATTTGATTCTTCTCACAAAAGTATTAACAACAAACACTAAATTGTAATCAACTCTCTTCCATTGGTGATTTAATGATCTAAATTAATTACTATTCCATGGGAAGTATAACATTATCATCAATTGTTATCCAATTTTATATAAAAAAGAAACCATTGTAACAATTAATCTCAAACGAAATGATTAAATTACTGTATATTAAATAGCGTTTTCTGTACCGAAATTACAATTGTGATCAATCAACAACTCACTAGATTAGAATGAGATCATTTTATTATTCATTTGATTGTAATACAATTAATCGTGATTCTGATTGTTAGCATCGGTGATCGGTCGTTTGAAACAGTTTTTGATTAGTTTCCAATCTCGCGATTTTAATTGTCCATAGACTGAGAATCCAAACCAAACTCCAGAAATGCTGCTGATGTAGATGAGCAGTTCGGCGATGTTTGATTTGGGATAACCTCGAATGTACAGATCGGCGTGAAGAGGTGGATCGAGACAAATTGTTGCCTGTTCCGTGGTTTCATCGAATGAGTAAAAGTCGTGCCTTGTTTGGTATTCAATATATCGACATTGTGGCGATTTGATATAATCGAGACACTGGTCAGTTATATTCTCTATGAGGTTCTCATATAAAGAATTAGTAGCAAATCGATAATTGAGTGGATATTTTCCGTCAAACTCCATAACTGTGTCGACGTGGACATAATTGTTGAGAGCTAAATGTTTATTCAAACATTTTATTAGAATTGATGATCTATCGTAATGTAAGCATCTCGACGATTGTGGCCAAGGTAAACTTTCAATTATGTTTCGATTAAAGTCCAAATTTACATAAAATAATTTATTCTTCTTCGGATGGATCGGTCGATATTTACTGAATCGTGTTTCGATGTTACTATTAGGATCAGACAAACGAATTCCAAATATTTGAAATAACTGGTGAGTGAAACATAGAATGTTACTGTTCCCCATTAGATTTTTAGTTAATCGATCAACAAATGGCCTGGACTCATTTTGGCATTTGATTCGCATGATATAACTATAACCAGTGAAATAATGATCGATTTTGCAATAGCCCAGCCTTAGAAAATCCAGTTTTCGGTATATTATTGCCAATATTTTGGGTCTAATATCAATTAGCGAGCTTTGAACATCGCCAATGGTCATAATTTCTGCCAAATATCTTTCGAATATGAAAGGTGATGGGTTCAACTGAGCACAGTTCTTCCGGTACTCTATCAATGTATTCGTATTAATATTCCGTCTTTTTGTATGAACTCGACAAATTTCACCCAATTCACTTGGTTTTCTCAGGTACAATGAGCTGATATTAATAACCGAACTCAAAGGAAAAATAATATCGATATTTGGTATTTCAATACTCTCAGGAAATTGAAAGGTTGATTCAAACAGAACTTCAAATTTAAGAAAATCAATAATTACATCGGCCAATTGGAAAGTGAAACCAATGATACAAACAAGGATCACCAGTGATTGAAAGCATCGGAAGATTAACATTCTGATTGTCCGATCGAATCAATTCTGATATAAATTCAAAGTTGATTTGCAAAACTTTATCGAAAACGAGAATATTGATTGACCATTCGGACACAAGTCAAATAATATGATTGATTATTTTTCTGCCATTAAAACTAAATTCAATTTAATCCTGTTTCTAATCAAACTGTTTGTTCACAATTTCTCTAGTTTTTTTGTACTTGTAGCAATTAAATTCTGAAGATTAATGAAACTAGTTTATTTCAATTGATTAACAAATCAATATCTTCATCACCTCAATTACCCAACAATCGCGAGGAAAAATAATGAGCAATTGATTAAAACGCATATTGCATTATGTTTATTATTAAATAATAACACGATAAATGAACAATTGGATTAATTAATTAGTTGGAAAAATTTGATAGTCAAAGTTGAATCCTCGCGATGAACCAAATTTCTTCGAGTTTGATATTATCTTCAGATTTCCATGAGATTTTATATCTTCAACTGAATTCTTAGCACAGTACCTTCGAACTGAATCATGACCTGTAACTAGATTCTTCTCTATCACTTCGAGGTAGTTGTCTTCACATGGTTCTTCAGCACCCAAGTCGAAGTCGTTAAAATGAACGAATATCGTATCATTTGGTTCCTGTCCCTTGAAACTCCACTCACAATAGTTAATTCCATAGAGATACGGATAATCAGGGCTTTTAATTGTTCCATTTCCTCTTTTATCGATAGTCATTCGACAATATTTCGTGACATAGTAATCGAATCCATCTCCACGACGATCATCTCCATCGGAATGGAATACAAGTTTACCTTTATTCTCTTTGAAAATTATCGATCCTGGTGAATTGTATCCACAGTATCGACCAATATGATTGTAAGAATTGTTTCTCCACTCATTGATATCTAGATAATCTTTAGAACAATTAACTGAATCTTCGATATCAAATCGATTTACAAAAGTCAAGTTAAGTTGATACATTGGATCGACTTCTAATATTGATTCGCAGTCTTGATTAGCTTTGTAAGGGGAAAGCTCTCGGTCGTAATAACTAGTGACTGAAGTTCTGTATTCATTACAAGAACTTTTTATTGCCTTGTAGGTCAATACGAACCCTTTTCCTGTTGTGTTCCCATCACTTTTGAATATGATTGAGATTCCGCTCTTGTAGGATCGTATGAGTGGTGGCTTATTCTTTGAGCAGTAACGACCAAGTGAAGTTATCTTTAGATCATCGATTTCGTTGATAAGCAAATTATCCTTGGAACAATCATCTTCCAATTCAAATGCTTCGAACTCCAGTTGCAATTCAAAGCCAAGATTCACAATTGTCCAAACACAAACAGTGTCAATTGGATAGTTGTTACCCGGCCAACCTGGTGTTTTTATTGTACCTTTGGATTCTTCTATTGTTCCCCCACATTGGCTAAGGTGATAAGTGGCCTTAAAACCACGATAACCTCGAGTTCGATTAAAACTAGCGTTCATTTGGCGAAAGAATACTGTTGAGATTGGAGAATTGACTGTAATCACTTTCGAACTCTTTCCACATAGTACTATGTTATGTCCATCAAGTGCTCGATTATTTAGAACAGAAACTGAAAGGGGAATACACAATAGTCAATATCGATATTTGGAATTTTTGCTTTCAGATACAAACCTTCAGAGAATGAAAGAGTTATGTTCCCAATAGAGCAAATCGAATCATTTTCAGCCGATCCAAAGACTTCGATTGTTTCAAACGATATCCAGGGTGTGATCTGTTCGGATTCTATCAGAGAAAGACGAAAATAGTAGTCAGAATTACTCAATTTTTGCCACAATGAACATAAATAACAAAGAAAATTATGAACTTTGTGTATTATGTTTTAGACGTCGTTTCGTTACCTTGGGTTTCGGATACGATTTCCCAAGCACATGAGATCCTCAAACCATCGATTGGGCGCGAAAAATTAGTCGAAATAATTGATCTGGAAGTTGCATTGATAAAACCACCACATTCTTAATGATTGAATCGATGAGATTTGTATTAGTTAGATTGATATTACTTAGAGATTATCGAGTATTTGATTGTTAGTTAGTGAATTTACCTGTTGGTTGGTCAACACGAAAATCAGCTCTAAAGCCTTGACCAGCATCCAGACCCGAATGAGTTTCAAAGTAAACAGCTAATTTATTATTCGGTGACTGAATTACACAGCTACTGGTATTTCTTTTACAGGGGAGAGTAAAATTTTCTGGTGATATTGTATAAGCATCTGAGCCAAATTCGCCAATTGATTGCATTGGATAATAATCAATTATAACTTTATCGACTGGTTTAAGATTGTAATGAGTAAAGTTAAGAGTGACTCGATTTTCAATTGGTGCGATAAAAAACCAAGAGCAATTTCCACCAGCAGGATAGATATCTGGGAATCGAGGAGTTTCAATAAATCCAGATCCACTGCCCATGAATATCCTGCTATCAAGAGCTGATTAGATGAAAAATTAAGAATCAAGATAATTTGACAAATCAAACATTTAGAATAACGATAAACTTACAACGATCATGATGCTCGAACCAAACCTGAAAACCTTTACCAGCAATCACTGAATCTGATCTGAAGATCATGAATAGTTGATTGGTATGAGTTTCTATGAATCTGTACTCGTATTCTTGTGCCCCACAAACCTTACTTACGAGTTTACCTGAGTGATCATTTTCATAGATTGCTAAGTAATCACCTGAACTACTATTGTCTTTGCAAGGTAAGTCGATTGTGTCGAATCGATAAGTCAACATGTCGCTCTTTTTTGTTGAGTAAATGTTATAACTACAGGTTAGGTTAACATCGTACGGTTTGGGATAAGATGGACTCTTAATCGAGGTGCTTTTTTTGATGATATAATTGCCACCACAAACGTGAAGATTTACTGTTGCCTTGAACGAACTCGACCCAGTCCCTCCTTTGGTAACAAAATGGATGAGCATCCGATTATCTGAAGTAACGACACTTGTTGTCCGAGCTATTGGACAGAATCGACCAATTTTAGGCGATAGTTGAGTGGAACCTTCGTAAATGTCAATATAAGTCGTATTCAGATCACATTTAACATCATCATCTGGTATTTCAAAGTCGATTCTTATAACTCTGTCGATTGGAGCTTTGATGACCCAATCACACTCAGAGTATTGAACAGGAGAATAAGGATATTGAGGAAGCTGAATTATGGCCGATGGATTTGATTGGTCGAGTTCAACTTGAAATTCGCATGGAGTTGAAACTTGTCGGTAAGACAAAGAAAATTCCTGTCAAGAGAAAAATCTACATCAATTGTCGTTCAATGATTAAACTAATGACTTACGAATTGTTCTGATGAAGGAACATAAGTTGAAATAAAAAGTTGATTCGAATTGGATATTATTTTCGTAGGTAAATTTGATCCACAATAATGTCCAATAAATCGAGAGTTAGGAGATGCACCGCCACGAATACTCAAATAACCATTAGAACAGTAGTTGTTATACGAGCCCAAGTTAAAAGATCGGAATTTAAGTTCGACTTTACGACCTTTTGGAACAATGATTTTCCATGAACAGGTTTCGAATGGTCCAAGTAAAGATGAATCAATATTACCCGTTGGTTCATAAAATGTACCACCACAAATCGGTCTCACTGTTATATTGAACCCTTTTAGTTTGGTTGATGAGCCACCATAGTTGAAGAATGAGATCAACGATTGATTACCTTCGAGAATGAACAATTTATCTTTGTTTTCACAAAGGACTCGATTGATATTCCAAGTTTTTTTATGATCAAAACTGTAATCGTAAAAAGAGACTCTATTCTTGGTACATTTTTCATCTGATTGGGACTTAATGTCCATCTCATTGATTTCGACTCGTAACTGAGTTCCAATGGGACTCGAAATGGACCAACTACAATTTACATCATTTGAATAAGAACTTGAAAACAAAGTTGCGTTTTGGTTCAGTTTGAGATTCGCAGTGTATTTACATAGATGATTAGGATCAGCACTAAATGGGAGTGAAATGTCACTATTGACCGATGTCCAACTTAATAAGAATCTAGATAAGTGGAAGTTTGGCTTGAAATGGACATAAGCAACTGAAGAAGTTGTATAAATTGGAAGGCCATCAGCACGATAACCACAAAACTGACCGAGAATCGAGCTGTTCACCGATGGACCATCATAAATTGTGACACTTGAATTAGCACATGAGCCGTTGAACGAATCATCGAGAATATCAATTTTTTCCAATTTAAACTTAATCTTGTACGAATCACTGGTTTTGATTGTCCAACTTTGATTGTTTTCCGATGAAAATAATCTTGGATAAGCAAACGATCCAATTTTACCAGAATCAGAGTTAATTTTTAGATCTTTGATTGTTTTGTATGAAGCTTTGAATCCAGAAGCTGAACCATTAGCATGAGATTTAAATCTAATCCATAAACTTGGATAATATTGAGTCGAGTTTAATTGAGGTAAATTTGATCCACAAAATCGGCCAATGAGTTTACCGGATTCATTTTCTTCTCGAATCTCCAAATGATCCAAGGCACAGAATTGATCATATTGAATATCAAATGAATGAAACTTCAAAGAGATTAAATTACCTGGGGCAAGATTAATTTTCCAAACACAAGTTCGAGAAGGAGGATAATCATTTGGATATCCTGGTGAACTAAATGTTCCTTCCCAACTATTCAGTTCATATTTACATGAATCAGAATACTGTGAGTACAAAACTTTGAACAGAACTTGACCTTTAACATAGAAATGAAACGAATTACCAAAAATGTGAGGCAGAGGGAGAGATGAGTTATTATATTGGACGATTTTTGTTGTATCATTTGATTTTCCATCTCGTAATTCAATGTAGCTTTTAGAGTTCGATTTGATGGCAAGATCGACGAAAACCAGAACTGTCTGTTTGCGTCTATCTATAGCATCGAAATGATAATGGAACGAAGCTTCATCATCCGTTGATATCGGTGGATAATTAAAATTACTCAATTCATTTGAAGTGTCATAAACATATAACATTGAGTCAAAAGTCGTTTGATAACTGGCCTTAAATCCTCGTCCATTATGTAAATTCTTGGAAAAGTAAGAAACTCTAATGTGTTTATTGAATTGAGATTTGAATGGAGTGGTTGGAAATGAATCGCCACAGAATCGAGCAGATTCAGTTCCCCATTGATCCGAAAAGCTTACATAATGGTCAGTACAATTAACTGACCAAGGAATATCCAGATCTTCAATTGTAACTGAAACGTATCTGTTTTCATATTCGGGAAATATTCACATGAACTCGGTCTAGCAAAACGATTCGGGTAACCAGGGGAAGCAAATGAACCTTTCATTGTACGAAAGGTATTCACGCAACCATAATTATTATTATGGATTTGATAAGATAATTTGAATCCTTTTCCATTGAAACGTTCATCAACTCCGAAAGATATTGTTGCTTGATTCCTTATGGTCATTAAACTAATTGGTTCATGTAGGCGACCTGAAAGGTTCAAAAGTCGATGTGATCTTGTGTTCGGTCCATCAAATATCTGCAACGAGTCATTTCTCTCGATATGATATTCGTCTATGGAGATTTTAATCGCCTGATTAGGTCTACCTGTGAGTCTCCAGAGACAATTTAATCCATTTGGATAAGAATCAGGATAATTTGGAGAAACCAATTCACCTTCACTTTCAATAATTTCACCTCCACATCCAACTAGTTTCCACTCTAATCGGAAATATGATTGATTACCAGGATTAAGATGGACAAAATTGATTTGTACTTGATTATCAGCGATTAAAATTGGGTCGAAATCTGTGTAATCAACTGATTGACAGAAGGTTTTGGTTGATTGATTGCCAATGAATGATAAGTAACTCGATGAACATGAAGAATCAGCTGATTTAAACTTCTCAATGACCAAACTTATATTGTTTCCTTTTGGTACTTTAATTGTCCAAGAGCAATTAAGACTCTTTGAGTTCTGATAGACTGGACTCTCTATTGATCCACTTATGTCTTCAATGAAATTATTACAATCAGTTTCATAATAAAATTTAAAACCTTTGAAATAATTCATTGATCCGTTTGTGATTAACTTGATTGTCAACTCATTGCCTCTTGAAGTAATCAAACTATCAGCCAGTTGCTTCTGATTACAAGCAACTAATAGTTGAGAGTCTTGATCAGTTGGTCCATCGTAAACGATTAGCACATTTCGAGTACAATTAAGAGAAGAATCTAATTCCAAATCAATTAGATTAACAACCAATCGAGATCCATCTGATGTTTTAATCTTCCAAAGACATTCACCAGAGACATTGAATGGATTAGGATAATTCGGTGAGGTCACAATTCCGTTCGGCGAATTCAAGACTTCCCCACATTGAACATTCGATTGATCATCCTCAGTATCTTCATCAGAATAAACTCGACTTGATCTAATTTTATTTTCAACACGACAAGAAGGTCCATTGAGACACGAATTACATGAACATGAATCCTGTTCTAATTTCTTTAAGAACAAATGAGAATCAACCAATTGAACTAATTAATTATTTTAAATCCAATTTTAATCTCCATTTACTCACATTAATTGATTGCGTTCTAGAAAATCTACCAACACTATCTCTAAATAAGTCCACTTTTTGCGAAAGCTTCGATGTGACATTAGTTTGTCTCGAATGAGGATTTTCATTATATTGTTGAAAACTGAATATGAAATCGTGAAATAAACGAGAAACAATCAGAATTAGAAGTGAACAGAATCAGCAATTAATTTAAGAATCTTTTTTTTCGACTTACATAAGTTTCTTCGAGTACGTTGACGATTGAACGAGGTTCGAGTAGAGCAAATTGAAAGCAAGAAGCACAATAATATTTGAAATTGAAGCCATAACTTAAGTCATGAAATAACATTAAGATTAATTCATTAGAACTTTTTCTGGGAAAAAAAATATCATTGATGAGTTGAAACTCTCTCATAAAACTTGATTATAAACTTTCAGGTTCTGGAAGAAAAGTTCATCTGAGTTTACTTATTGTTAACCTTGAAATTCAACTCGATTCTTGTAAAGATTGATTAAGATTTCTAGGAGATTCTCATACAACATTTACTAATTCATTAGAATGAGATTTTCGTTTAGCCGATGGTCAAGAACTTCAATCGATTTCAAATTTAGATTTTTAACCAATTGGAACTCTCTATGAGTTATTATTAGTATTTAAATAAATATATCGATGTTTTCTTCTTGATGGTACATCGATTTTTAGAACTGAGCTTTGAGTTTTTCTCTTGAATTTATGAGAAAATTTCCTCCTTCTCAGAGGTTTTCTTTTGCCATTCTCTTTTCACAAGGTCGTAAAAAAGTTCTCTCTTAATATCAACTGGACTTTGAGGAAATTTAATTATTCAATTTTCCATTAAAAGTTGACCGAATCCATTAAGTCAGTGGAAATTATGAATCGAAGCATCTCAAATGCTTTAGAGTACCTGTGTACCTCGTGAATTCTGAGGCACTAGAATTAAATTGCATCCCGAAAGTTGATACCAGAATTTAATTCATTAGTTAGATTGAGGACTCATAATGGAAGTTTAGAGAGGCCGAATTGTCCTCTTATGATTACCGGAAGATTGATCGTCAAACTAATGTGAACAATCCAGCTTTCCAATAGAAGCGAAATATCAATAAGAATAACTATTAAAAAAGACAATGATTGTAATTAGTTGGGGCGTTAATTTGTTTACAGTTTTTATCAACTTACAGTATTTGCTTTATATTTTCCATGGATACAATTACCAAAAGTGATACTGCCTATTGATTTACCATCATTGTGATAATTGTTTTCGTAGATCATGAGTTGTCTTTGCTGACGATTTGTATGTTGGTATTATACCTCCATCTCTTACAAAAAGACCAATTTTATCGTCATCGATGGTCAAGGGTTCACTTTGACCGCTACTGTTAAAGGCAAGTTTAGAATCAGCAAAATTGGGCATATTATTTTCTTAGAGAATTTAAAGAAAAGTCATAATCACGATCCGGAAAAAGGTAAATATAGTCTGTAGGTGCTAACTAACCTCGACCAAGTTTCGAGATAAATTCAGTGATTAATTGGATATAAACCAATATTTTCAATCGTAATTTGGATTCCCCATGATGATAATTAATCATCTCTCATTGTTTAATTGTATTAACTTAATAATATAAGTTGGATAATTGAACTTATCAACTATTATATTAAATACAATCGTTTCTACGTAATAATAGAAAGAAAATCATTGTTATCCAACCATTTTCCAAGTTTTTATCAAAAAAGATCATTTTTAGCTATAACAACAAGGAAATATGGTTAATTATGATTGATCAAGTGATTAAATCAGTATTTTTGGTGAAAAAAAATAACCAATCCAAGAGGGAAAAGTAAACAAAATATATATTGAAGTTCAATAGTCTATTGAATGTCCCAACTGATTTTCTGTGGCAAGGTAAACACAATCTAGATCAGTCATTTAATTAACACTAGAATTTTGCTTCAATTAGATTGATAACCATTTTATCCAAATTAAAAGATACTCCTGATGTAACGTTTAAAATCATCTTCGGTGAAAAACGATTTCTCTGGTTGTGGTTTTTTCTCAGGATCTTTTTTCCCATGTAATTCTTTTCTCTTTTTCAATATTTTATCGGTTAACGAACGGTCAACCTTAATCGATCTCAATTTCTCCAATTGTTTAACCGCATTTTCATCAACCTTTTTACTTTGTTTCTTCCTATATTCCTCTAGAGTTGATTTCTTAGCTAAACAGAAAAAAGACAAGAAAAAAAGACAACAATTAAAATATAATTCAAAACAATTCAATTGAATGAAAAAAAAGAGAGATACAAAAAACTATTGACTCACCTGTTGATTTTGGCTGAGATTCATCATCAGAATCGGTTAATTGTAAAGCTCTTTTGACAATAGATTTAGACATGGTGAAAATTCCAAACAAAACGATTAAATATTAATCAGTAAACAACAATTAATCAAATTGTAAAATCTTCTGAAACCAAAACAATCAAAACAAAAGTAAATGTGATTCTGTTTCCATGGAAACGATAAGTTGATTTCGAAGATGAAATCGACCAATCAGATCGCTCGAAAAAAGCGCCATCTAGTTTTCTCTTTGCGATAACAAGAGATAATCTTTTTCTCTGTTGATAAAAAGTAAACAAATATAAAAACTCAGGTGAATTAATTTAATCCACCTTCTTGTGGGATGCAAGTAATTTAAACACAATGAAACCAACATCTAACAATTTAAACACTAATTGTTTACCCTTAACTATGGATAGTAAATTAAACTGTTCGACCAATTTAAATGATTCTTCAATCTATTTATATCCAACAAGTAAAAGTGAAAAAATTGAAAACGAAACTAATTTAATTTCATCTCGTGTAATTACATTTAGACGTTTTATCTTAATTGTTACCTTGTTAAATTTTATCGCCATCTCATTTGTAACTGGTTACATTTTGTACAATGTTTGGCTTCTCGAGAAATCAATTAATCAACCTTTTGTCGATTGGGAGAAACAGGATTCATCTTTAACCAAGATTTCATTTTCTAAATCACATTTAACTGCGACCTTTCAATCACCATTGGAATCGTCAAAATCAAATTCTCAACAATGTTCCCTTCCTGATGAATCTAAATTTGATTGTAATCCTGATGATCCAGTTAATCAAGAGCGTTGTGAATCCAGAGGATGTTGTTGGGTTCCAGCTACTCGAAGTAAGTAATTTAATTAACTTATTTCGTCAGAATCAAACTTATAACGATCATTAGAAACTCTAATCATAAATCATTGGTGAATCTAAATTGTGTTCACCTTAACACAGAAAATCATTCACGGAACATTCAATTAACTATTGAACTTCAATCTAATTTGTTTACTTTTCCCTCTTTAATTGATTATTTTTTTCTCATACAAAAAAAAATACTAATTTAATCACTTGATCGTTCATAACAATTAACCATATTTCCTTGTTTTTATAGCTAAAAATTATCTTTTGGAACAAATCCTAAAAGCGATTGTATTTAATACATAACAATTGATAAGTTTGATTATCCAACTCATTATATCAAATGATTAACTTGATTAGTTAATTAGTTTAACAATGAGAGATGATCAAAGATCAATTATTATCATGGGGAATCCAAATTACGATTGAAACTATTGGTCCATTTTCAATTAATTACTGAATTTATCTCGAAACTTTATATTGTAATTAGTTTTTTTTAATTCTCTTTCCACTAATTAGGTAAACGAAATATCCCTCCATTGAATATACCCTATTGTTTTTATCCAACTGATTATAAAACTTATAAAGTTGCCGATGTTCAACAAGGTGATAATAATGCGACAATTAAATTGACAAGATTAAATGACTCTGGTTATCCAATGGACATTGACAATATCGACATTCAAGTAATTGGACTTGACAATGAACGGCTTCGAATAAGATTCTTGGATGCAGATAAAGATCGTTTTGAAGTTCCAATGCCTTTTTTCAATCTAAGTCGATCAGAGACAATTGATTCACCTCTTTACAAGATAAAAGTTAATGACGATGGAAAGTTAACAATAAGCCGATTATCAACTGGAACTGAGGTTTTTGTTGCCGATCTTTCCAAGATGATTTATTCAGATCAATTTATTCAGTTATCGGTTCAAGTTCCGTCCAAAGTTTTGTATGGTCTTGGTGAGCATAAAGCAAGTTTCAGGAAAGAATTGACTGGTTGGCATCGATACACAATGTTCGCCCGTGACATTGGTCCAACTGAGAATGTTAACCTTTATGGGTCATATCCGTTCTACATTATGCCAGAGAATGATGACCAAATGAACTCCCATGGAGTATTTTTACTCAATAGTAATGGAATGGATGTTTTAACTCAAGCCGCTCCAGCGGTTACTTGGAGGACCATCGGCGGTATCCTTGACTTTTTCATCTTCTTTGGACCAACTCCCGCTGATGTGACCAAACAAAACATCAATCTCATCGGTAAACCAGTTCTCCAACCTTATTGGTCTTTTGGATTTCACCTTTGCCGATATGGTTACGATAGTTTGGCGAAAACTAAAGAAACAATGGAAAGAAACTTAGCCGCTGGAATCCCCATCGAATCTCAATGGAATGATATTGATTACATGGATCGTTACAACGATTTCACTGTCGACTCCGTTAATTTTGCTGGTCTAGCTGAATTCGCAAAAGATTTACATGCAAAGAACATGTATTATTCAATAATTCTTGTAAGAACTTTTTCTTCCTTTTGAAAATGGAAAGTTGTTCTAAACTTTTTGTATCTACTTTAGGATCCTGGTGTCAGTGCTTCTGAGCCTAAAGGTACTTATCCACCATATGATGAAGGAGTTGTTGATGATATTTTCGTCAAAAATAGTGATGGAACCATTTTCGTTGGAAAAGTATGGAATCTTGATACAACTGTTTTCCCTGATTTTACTCATCCAAATGCATCAAACTACTGGAAGAATCAACTTCTTCACTTGAGAGAGAAGGTTGAATTTGATGGAATATGGATTGACATGAATGAGCCTTCAAACTTTTTCAATGGTCAGAAAACTGGAGGTTGTCCACAAAGCTCACTTGAGAATCCACCATATGCACCCGGTGGAACTGGTTTAACGACAAAAACACTCTGCATGACATGTAAACAACATCTTGGTTCTCATTACGATGTTCATAATCTTTATGGTTTATATGAAAACGTCGCCACTCACTCGTAAGTCGACATCCCAATTATACATGTATTAATAGTTTACCTTTAAATCCATAATTGCATTAGTTTTTATTTTGTGTGTTTCCCCTTGTTTTCAGTGCTGCTGTTGATATTTTTGGAACTCGGCCTTTCATCTTATCTCGATCTACTTTCCCATCACAAGGCCACTTTGCATCTCATTGGTCGGGAGATATTCAATCATCATGGGATCATATGAAATATTCAATCTCAAGTAAGTCAACTTTGCTAATCTTTTAACAGAAATACTAATTGTTCACTATTAATACTTCTGTTTTTGAATAGACATGTTCGAGTTCAATATTTATGGTATTCCAATGATCGGAAGTGATATCTGTGGTTTTGCTGGCAGTACTCAAGTTGAACTTTGCATGAGATGGTCAGCATTAGGTAAGATAATCGATTAACACTGATCGAAATTGTCTTAATTGTTTGTCTTTTTATTTATTATCTTGTAGGTGCCTTTTATCCCTTTTCTCGTAATCATAATGATAGAAATGCAATGGAACAAGATCCAGCCATTTTGGGAGAAAAGGTCGTCGCTGCAGCTAAATATTCACTCGATGCTCGATATAAACTGTTACCTTATCTTTATGGCTTATTTTTCAATGCTCATTCCAATGCTGAGACAGTTGTACGTCCATTGTTTTTCGAGTTCCCTCTTGATTCAAACACTTACTCTATTGAAACTGCTTTTCTTTGGGGATCATGGTTATATATTGTTCCTATTCTTGAACCAAGTACCAATCAAGTAACTGCTTATTTCCCCGCTGGAAGTTGGTACAATTTTGCCGATTCTAAACTTGCCTTTAACAGTAGCGGTCAAAGTGAAACCTTGACCATTGATGACGATAAGATTGGTCTTTTTGTAAGAGGTGGAGGTATAATACCAACATACAAATCGTCAGCAAAGACAACTCATGATCTACGAAAACAAAAATATTATCTAAACGCTTATCTTGACAATTCTGGTAATGCTGTTGGTGAAATTTATCATGACGATGGTAAATCATTAGACAGTGTCACTTCTGGTAATTATATCCATGGAAAATGTAAAGCAAATACTGTAAGTTGATAAACATTGTAAACAAATTAATGCTTCGACTAATTACAATCATTATTTTTGTTTGATTTTAAACAGTCTGGATTAGTTTGCAGCTATTTAAATATCGCTGAAATTGACGATTTCGCAATAGGAGGAGTTATGATCGCTGGACTGAGTGACCAACCTAAGAAAGTGTCCTTGAATGGTCAATACATTACAACCAATAAATACAATCAAGATAAATCTTCAATCTCTATTGATTTTAACGATAACTTTTATCCTCGACAATCATTTGCCGTCAATTTTGAATATTAATCTAATTAATGAACATGATTGATAAATTTTAACAATTTTAACATCAAAATTGATTCTTAATATCTAATCAATGTCACAAAATGTAAGCTTATTTGTTATAATCATTAATGTTAATAATGATTAGTCAATAAGTAAGTAAATTTAAACGAGCTTGAAAATCATGAAATGATTTAAAATTGATGAAATCAACATGAAAATTGTTCCTTGATTGTAAATCAAACAAATTAATTTAATACCATTTACACCTAAATAAATATAATGATTGTATTAAAAATGAATTTTCTCACTGTAACAATCAAATTTCCACTTTCAATTCAATAATAATGATCACCCTCGCAAAAATGTTTCTCAATTGATCAGAAAATCAAAATCAATAATGATTCGATAACAATACAATCAAAATGATTATTTCGATTACAATAAATGGAGAAAATTTTTCAACTTTTTTCTTTCTTCATCTTCTCTTCCGTTTTCACTTTCACATCATCCTCCTCATTTCCTTTCTCACTCTCTTCCTTCTTCGCCATCATATACCTGTAAACCAACACTTCGAACCGGTTCAAAGTCATTCAAAAAAACCGGAATTCGATTTAATCGAACAGAAGAGAAGAGAAGAAAAAAAAGTTCTTATATCGTTGAAACGTCAATAGTTATAAATAGAAAGTTTAATTAGAAAATTGGGTTGTGTCACCAGGTGGCGCTTTTCGAACGATTCATTTTCCCTTTTCAACTTGTTGAACAATTAATTGATCACTGAAAGATTTTCTTTCTATTTCATTTGTTACCTTTTCCTTAATTTAATTGTGTGTATGTATTGAGAAACAATCAGCAACCTTTACTTGTCTACCTGTGTGTAAATAGAAATACTCACATGTACCATTGGATAAATCGCAACATGTTGGGCTACATTTTACAAGAGGAACGATTGTTCAAAATTTTCAACAATTCGTTGACCAAAACGGTCTCTAAGGTGACCCTTTCCCTTGTTGGTATTTATGCTGCTGTTAAATTGGCGATGTGGCTTAGGGTCATCGTGTTGACCATCCACCGGGATCTCAGGTAAGTTGCTACCTTTTTCGCTGCTCAACTGAATGTGTGTCATGTGTGTTGAGTCATTTTCTGGCTCAAACGTTTCAATCATCTTTTCCGTTTTGTTTACACTTTTGTTTTTCTTTTTTTGTTTCCCACTGACCAGAGGTTTATACTATTTGACCAAGACAAAGATCACAATGGCTCTTCATCGTCGACGTAACATGACTGTAGCTAAATTGTTTAAGAAAACAGTAGCTGAACAAGGTGATAAAGCGATTTTCTTTTATCAAGATGAGGTTTGGACTTTTAAAAGGTTGGACTCGTTTTCCAATAAAGTGGCCAACATATTCACTGAATTAGGATTCAATCATGGAGATGAGGTTGCTCTTTTCATGGAATCAAGGCCTGAATACATTGGTATCTGGCTTGGATTGGCTAAAATGGGAATTGTAACCGCGTTAATCAACACCAATCAACGGAAAGAATCCTTAATTCATTCAATACTTACCATTGATTCAAAAGCGGTTATTTTTGGTACAGAATTGATCGATGCTATTGATGAAATTCATCCAATTCTCAAATCTCGCCGAGATTTGAAATTCTTTTCCTATGGTAATCAAGTTAAATCTAATTTTCCTCATCATGATCTCAACGAATTGTTAAAAGAGGCATCAGATGCTGATCCGATTAACATTAATTCTGGTAACTATGAAGGTAAGTCCATCTCATGTTTACTTTATTTCTACCTGATAGAAAATTTATCCTTAAGGCTTTTCAGTTTCTTTCATCATGAATTCAACGTCAAATCATGACAATTACCGATTGTAAGATTTTCCAAATCATTTCTTATTACCAGTTTAACGTCATGAGAAATCAATAGACATTTTTTTCCTCATCAACAATAGGCACTAATTCAGTTCTTATCATTTGAATCGTTGCAAAGACAATCAACTCAGAGATAATTATTTGAATTTCAGAAGAAGAAAAAAAAAATAATTCGATTAATAATAATTGATCACCAATGTGAATACCTGTCAAAGTGATTAAGTAAAACAATTTATCAACTTATATAATCTGATCAGGGGCAGTTGGTAATCAACTTAGTTTTTTAAATTTTGTTAATTGTTGCCAATTTTACCCAACCTTTTTTCTCCCCGTTAATTAAGGCTTAAAATTGATTGATTGTTGACAATTGAAGAAGATTAAAAGTAGTGAAAGTGTGGAAAAACAAATTAAAAGCAATTTGAATTGTTCGATGATCAATTTTTTCCTAAATTATCACCAATATAAGTTTAATTTAGTGAAAATGATTAGTAATAACAAAAAAAAGTTACACTCACACAATCTTAATTTACTGTTTTTAATTGTTGACTTTTAGTTACCATTTGTTGTCATCGTTACACTTGAATTTGTTGATTGTAAATCAGGTATCGACACACATCAATACCCATTCAATTGTTAATTGTTGTTTTAATTGTTGTAATACGATCACATGTAAAACTTTACTTTTTTACATGAACCGTTTTTTTCACACTCGAAACTTTTTCACCTCCTGTAAACATCAAGAACGTTGAAACTGTTTAGTTATTTGATTGCGTGACAATTTAGATTTGATTATCTTATTTACTTTCATCAGTTTGTTGGTTCATCATTCATGCATCTTTAATTAAGTTTGTTAATTGTTCCAATAGATCGTGAGTTATGTTGTAATACACAATCTCTGCAAAGTCACTCTGAATCAATATTTTCCTCCAACAATTAGCTAATCAGTGTTTCTAACAATTAGACTTATATTATAAGTCTCATATTAAGTCTATGGGAGAAAATTGAAAAGTTAAATTAATAGACTAACTGATTTGATCTTTATCGAGATGAATTAATGTTGATTAAGAACGAAACGAATTCAATTAACATCATTAAGTTTATTAACTCTAATGAAAGACACAACTTGATTATCTTAATTCAGTTTAATTTGATTCAAGTCTGTTCCATTTGAATCAATGGATAATTAAACTTCAAATCATTATCATTATCAATCAGAAAAAAGTAAAAAAAAAAGTTTAATTATCCGGAATGAAAAGTTTACCGTTACAAAGTTAATATACAAAATTTCAATTTAATTAGTGATAATTAATTGTAATAGAATCAAAAAAATAATTGTCAAGATAATTAAACAATTTAATGGTTTCATTTTCCATTTAAATTGTTGATTCATTGATTGAATTTTAGTGTAACAATTAAAATCAGACAAGTTTTGTCAATTTCAATATTTACATTGATTGTTGATCTCAATGATGATCTTTGATATTTTTCAATCAATTTCAATTGTAAACCTTTAATGATTAATTTGAAATTAATCAACTGTTCCTCTAACTGATTCTATATGACACTTGATGATTGTCGATTGATTAATCAAATTTAAATTGGTAACCTGTAATTAACGGGTTCTCGTCCATGTTTTCCCATGGCCAGAATGAGTCCACTTATATTGTCCATGATGAAAAAAAGGAAAGGTTTATCAAAAACAACTTCAATGTTATTACTTGATTGTTGATATTGTGATTTAGCATTTGGATTAGTAGATGGATTAATTGTTGTCCCTCCGCCATTTGTATTGATATTATTGATATTTGTATTGGTAAATGTTTTCGGGGTCTCCCAAATTTCAAGATAAGTTTTATGAATTATATCAGAAACATGAAGCCATTTATAATCACTGATATCATATAATTGTGCATATCCTGGTTTAAATATGTAAGCTAATCCCAGATTAGCTAATGATAGACTTAAATTACGATCACTTGTTTCAAAGTGTAATCTAGGGATCTGGAAAATTAGGATATTGATTAGTTTCCTAATTGTTGTCAATTGTTTTTATATCTAATATACATTTATCTTACCTTGACATCAACTCTTTTCACTTCTAATGAGTTGATTACATCGGATAAAACTTGAGCCGATAATCTGGTTAATAAAGTGTCTAATCCGTATGGATCAGTGGGCATCATTGCGACCAAAGTGATTAGTCCTCCTTTAAAAGGCATCTCAATTGTTGTACAATTAAGGAAACGATTGAAAGCATAACGAATTCGGACATTTCGAGCTTCCAAGATGATTGTATCATCAGAGAAAACACCAAATATATTTGATGCAGAATTTAATTGTTTGTATGTCGATGGAGATGATGAAGATGAAGGTGAGATATAATTACGTTTCCTAGATGAAGTTATATTAAGATCTAGTGATCCCTTGAAGTAAAGTGCACTCAACAATAGCAATTGAGTTGTGGGCGATTGTCTATCCGGAAGTATATCCTTAATTTTACCGGATGTCTCCTTTTCTACTATCGCGTTGATATGTTGTCGAGTCTCTTCACCATTATCGATAAAGTCCAAGGGATGAATCGCCGTCTTGTAAAACCTTTGGAGTAACATATGATACGAATAATTGATTCCAAAGTCTCGTTGAACGTAAACTTGGGACAAAAATGCAACATCATTGCCCGAATTTACCTCATTATCGGCAAGGGAAACCCGATAATCTGTTGATGATGATTGTCCATATGGATTAAGATTACGATAATGAACACTGGCCACTGGAATATTAACTCCAAGATGGGTCATCATATCATGATAAGCAAGGTTGATTTCACTTGTTTGCATACCCCACAAGTAAAGTGCGTGTCGAAGTGAGGTCGATGAGTGTCCCTGTGAACCCATGAGCATCATGGTCAATGAAGATGAGATACAAATGGGACAGAATGCCGTTGATGATTCAGATTTATCCATTGCTCGAAGTAGATCAAATCCAAATTGATTAGTTGAATAAGCTAATTTCCTCATTCCAAATGAAATGACCTGTCCAAATGAAGGTAATACCAAACCAGGATTCAGAAGAGTGACCAGAATTAGCCATCGACTGATTGTTAAACCAGTCATTTTGATTGAATCTCCAATTTATTTGAACACCAAACAAAGAATCACTTAGAACAACAATTAACTAATTCACAATGATATTGATAATAATCAATATTGAAATTGATGATTGATTGGATTGACTTTTTTTTACTTAGTAAAAACAATTAACGCGTTAATTGTGAGATTTGTTGATTTGAAACAAGAAAATTGTTATATAACTGAGATGACAATTTGTGTGTCTTGTATCTTGATTGTTGTGTAGTAAAACTGTTACAATCAAATTTAATTTCTCGATTCAAATTGTTCAATCCTCTTTCCTCTTCAACTCAATTGCAACAAACTAATTGCACTATTTAGGGTTTAACTATTGGTTATCAATGTCAATGGCAAAGTGTAAACAATTAAGGGAACATGATAAGTGAATCAAGTTAACAATTAAATTTTGTTCATGTTTAACTTTAATAATAAAGCCAATTGAATAGATTTGAAAATAATGAACTTTTTTTGATTAATCTTCCTCTTGATTATTACAAAATCTTATGTGTTAATAGTGATGGTTAATTGTATTAATTGTTACGTTAGGTCAAATGATTCCAAGTGAATCAACATACAATTTCAATTGTCTAACATTTTTTTCACCATTATTATTATCATGGTTATGGATCATAATTTTGTTGATTAAATTGTAATCATTACAATCAAAAGATCATCGAACCGTAATTGTGTGTTTCTGTTTTCATGATGAGCAGTTTTTTTGGCCTTTTCAACGGAAACGGGATGTACATTGATCACAATTAACTAATTTCAATCTAAAAATATTACAATGGTTAACGGTCAACACTTTGATAGTGATACTAAATTTAAATTGTTTGGTTGATCAAAAGGGAAAAAGGTTAATTTGATTTGGGGACAAATTGTTACGAGAAATTATTTTTAAATGGATTTACCTTTTTAATTGTTAATAGATTTGATTTGGTTCAATCTTAATGATGGATTATCATCAATTCTCATTTAATTATAAGCTAATCTAGTTCAGAGGTTCAATTAGCAATTTAAATCATCTTAATTTATAATCAAATCAGTAAGGTCTCTTTGAGGCTCCAGTGATAATTGGATAATATTTAACTGGATTAAGTTGATTCTAGAAAGAACCTCTAGAATTAATTAATTAGTTAATTAGGTCGAAATGATGATCAAGATGATCAGTTGGTTAACTTTAGAATTGAATTTAAATTAATCTTTCATTTTCTTTTGCATCTCTTTTCACCTTTCGAAAGATAAAATTTTGTACATTTACACTTCGGGCACGACGGGACTTCCTAAAGCGGCGGTCATCAAGAACTGTCGATTCATTTTCGTTGCCACTGGAATCGGAAATTCGATGGGATTTGGTTCGAATGAAATAATCTACACTTGTATTCCTCTTTATCATCTATCGGGTGGTATCATTGGATCAGGCCAGTGTCTTCTAAAGGGAAACTCAATGGCCATTAGACACAAATTTTCAGCGAAAAATTTTTGGACCGATTGTATTAAATATCGATGTACTTCCGCTCAGTATATCGGTGAGATATGTCGATATTTACTCTGTCAACCCGAATCAGCCGTTGATCGGGCTCATAATGTTAGGTCAATGTTTGGAAATGGATTGAGATTAAATATTTGGAAAGATTTTGTGAAAAGGTTCAACATTGAACGAGTTCTTGAATTTTATGGTGCAACTGAGGGCAATGCTCATGTTGGTAAGTAAATTAACGACAATTAGCTGATTATTTCCTCACTTGATTCCATTTTAATTGGATTGTTATTCTCTTAATTGTATTAATAGTTAACGTTGATCATAAAGCTGGAGCTTGTGGATTTATATCGCAAATTTTACCGGGAGTTTTGACTGACCTCTTTTATCCTGTTTCCATTATAAAGGTCGATGAAATTACCGGAGATCCGATTAGATCGGCTAATGGACTTTGTATTAGATGTCGAGCCGGTGACTCAGGTGAATTTGTTGGTAAAATAATTACCAATGATCCATCCAGAGCTTTTGATGGGTATGCTAATCAAGAGGCTTCCGATAAAAAGGTTTTACGAAATGTTTTCCGTCAAGGTGATGCTTATTTTGCCTCCGGTGATTTGGTTACTCTGGACGAGTTGGGCTACGTTTTTTTCAAAGATCGTACCGGGGACACATTCCGATGGAAGGGTGAAAATGTATCAACCACTGAGGTCGAAGCGGTTATTGGTAATCACTTAGAACATGTTGATTGTGTTGTCTACGGGGTGGAAATACCGGGCTGCGAGGGTAGAGCAGGTATGGCAGCGATTCATGATCCAGAAGATAAGATCAACTTGTCCCAATTATTGATCGAAATGAGAAAAGTATTACCAAACTATTCGATACCCATATTTGTCCGTAAATGTCAAAGCTTCACCCAAACGGGCACCTTCAAACTGCCCAAAGTGACCCTTAGAAATCAAGCCTACAATCCGACCCAAGTGTCCGATCCACTGTATTACTATGATGTTAAAAGTTGCCAATACCTTAAACTTGATGAAAAGATTTACTCACAAATTTTATCCGGTTCACTGAGATTTTGAAGTTTCCAATGGATCTCCTTTAATTGTTGTTAATTAAAGTGCAATATTAGATTTTTTTGTTTTTATTTGCTAAGTAATCGTCTCACAATCAAAGCCTTAATTATTACAAATTAATGATGAACAATTTATACTCACAATCATCATCATCATTACTACTAATCACTTGTATCATCAACAATCAGCCAAATCCATGGACTTCTAATTATGTGATCAACCAACAATCAATCTCTATTTTTTTAATCACAAATTAAATTAAATTTTGTTATAAATAAATAAAATCTATTATTATTATTAATCAATCTCAGTTCTCATGAATCATGTTTACTCAATCTAATTGTTGGACTTGATTATTGTCAATAATCAAGGCAAATGAAATTTCAATCTAAACTTATTATTAATAATTAATAAGTATAGATTTTAATTGATTTTCTATGAGTAAATTGCTATAATCAAATCCGGTTGTGTGATAATCATAAAAGTTTATGTGAAAATTTTAGTCTTTTATTGAAATTTGATGAAATGAATTTGGTTAAATGTTTGAATTGTGATTGACAATAATTAAGAAATATGAGTAAACTGTGATGACAATTAAGAGTAATTATAAATGATTAGGATCATAAAAATCGATGAATGTAATTAGTTCTTTAATTTTTTTTCTTTCTTTTTGGACAATCAGTTTATCGGGTGACGATTCATTGGTTGATAAAATTTCCTCCATTGAAACTTTTTCCAATTTCTCTGAATTTTCATCATTCTCTAAATTCTGATTTAATTTCAAATGATTAACAATTTAATTGTATTCACAATTTGATCTAATACTTACAGTCTCTCCAATGATCACTATGTTTTCACCTCGGATGATTATGGTTCCTAAATCAATCTCAGCGTATTTATTTCCAGAGTAAATCTTTTCAACGGTTCTGTTCAAAACTAAATTAGCTGAAAGAAGGTCAAACAATTAACTGATTGTTCTAATTGTTAGTGACTAACTAAATTACCTTTTTGATCGATGGTTTGTAAAATTCCGAACAATGTCCGATTGTCACTGAGTAGAACCATAATTTTTTCTAAAATTGGAATAAAAAGAAACAAACAATTAACACAAATTACTTTTAATTGTTGACAATTAACCAGTAATCAACTTACTATTAAAAGAGTCAAGTAAACCTTCAATCAAATGTCTGCTCATTATGATTGTGAGATTGACAATTGTTATTAGCCGATCAGAGACTAACTGGTTATGTTTAAATGGTAACAATTTACTAATTACCACTGATTGTTGTTGTTTTTTGAGAGCACACGATGGCAGAGTGATCACAATTAGATCCCTTAGTTAGTTAATTGCAATCAGTGTAAATCTAGGACAATTATTGATTATATGAAACTTGAATAGACAAAATCAAATCATACAATTATAAATAGTTGAAATCTTTACAATTAAAACAATTTATTGTTATTTGACAAGAGTACATTGTTTGTAGATATTTACAATTAGTATCACAAGAGTTACTTAATTGTAACTTGTTGATTGGATTGATCGAGGAAAATGAATATTGCAAATTGTTAAGAAAATACATAAATTTATATGTAAATTGTTAATTTTGATATTGCTTCGGAAAGTTAATTTTTGATTAACCCAAACTTGTTGACTAGCAATATAAGTGGCTAGGACGTTTAATTGATTATCAAGGATGATAAAATCAGCATCTGAACCGAAATTAAGAGTTCCCTTTATATCAGTTAAACCCAATACTTTGGCTGGATGCAGAGTGGCACAGTCAATTGCTTTAACTATCCCACAATTAGTGACTGAATTTAAATTACGTACACATTGGGACATTGTTGCAATCGAGCCACAAAGTGTATCAGTCCCGGCAACGGTAACTTTAGAACCGTGAATTTCAACAAATTGGTGACCTAATTTGTGTTTCTTTCCAGATTCCAAGCCAAGAGCCGAAATCGCATCGGTAACGCAAACAAGGCCATTTGGATGAGTACGATAAGCGATTTTCAGAGCAGCATCATGAGTATGAATACCATCAGCAATTATCCCATAATAAATGTTGACATTATCAGATGATGGCGACAATGACTTAGGATCGGAGGCCAATAGCCCAACCAGACCAGGATCCCGATGATGAAATGGTAACATAGCGTTAAAAGGTGAGTGATAAAATTAGCACCATTGGAAAGTCCAGTGTAACCTTCATCAAGAGTCGCAACTGAATGTCCCATGGAAACCGTTATTCCATTAGCGACTAGACCCTTAATTACCGATCCTTTATCGAGTTCAGGAGCTAATGTTATAATCGAAACATTATCAAGAGAACCATAAACATTGATTAGCTCGGAAAATGATTGAATAGTTTCACCTCGAACCAAATGTTCAGGGTGAGCTCCTCGTTTCTTTAAATTGATAAAAGGTCCTTCCAAGTGAATACCTAAGTGAATGGAAAGGGTTAAGATAAAAAGTTAATTCGATTTCCATAAAGTTAATCATTCCACTAATTACCCAAAACATTGGCTCCATTGGTGACACTTCCATGTCTCCGTTTAATTTTGGGAACTATTTTCCGATACGAATCAATTGATTGGGTAATCAAAGTGGGACAGAAAGAGGTAACACCGGATTCAAGGATTCCACGAGCAACACTGTTAATTGCTGAGTCGATGTCAATCTTATCATCGGAAAAATCGTAACCATAACCACCTAAAAAAAAGCACAATTAAAAAGGGAAATAAATTAATTGATGTCAATCAATCAAATGAGATCATCTTTTCATTAGACAATAACAATCAAAGACTTTCAAGTGATTAGGCTAAAGCAACTTTCCTGTTAATCACTTAGATTATAAAACCAATGTGATGGAAATTTTCACAATCAACTAAATTGTCGTTTCAAAAGAGTTGATCAATAATCTGATTGAGACAAATTTTCTCGGTAACAAAATGATTACCATTAATTTGGAGATCGATATATCCTGGAGCGATTATATTTCCTTGGCAATTAATCACAGCATCGGGTTTACATTTTTCATCGTAAAAAACGGGCTCGGGATTGATTATTTTACCTCCTCTTAACCAGAGATCCTCCGATTTGAGTTGACCATCACGAACAATTAAACAATTGAACAATTTGATAATCTCATCGGTTGAATTTGATTCATCTGAATCCTTCGAGAAAAATTGAAAACAACCAGACATTTCAATCTGCAAATTAATCAACCAAAATGATCAGATAGTCTCACTTGTTTGTAATAGTAATTAATTCAATAGAAACTGTAATCCATTACAAACGATTAACGGATTAATGAAGCTTAAGTAGCCAAATCAATAACAATCAACGAACGAGTAAAAAATTGAAGATAACAATAACAAAGAACAGGTTTAAATAAGTTGATTGTTTTCGACTCTTTTTAATCACTAATCAAGTTAAAGATAGAAAGAAAATAATCAACGAATTAGATACAATTTAAACAGAATTAAGGGAACAAAAACAATTAGAAATCTGCGATTTAAGTGAAAGTTAAACAATTAATTAAACCAAACAATTTATCAGATTCGTTACCAAGCAACAGTCAATCATATGGTTCCAATTGGAAACCCGGTTACATTTAAAGCTCAATTTGAATGGGGAAAAATTTCAGTTGACAAACAATTTAGTCACAATTAAGTTCAATTTTAGTTGACTTTTAACACTTAATTCATTGATTACGGTTAAGAATCTAATTTTATTCATCTAATTGTATTTTATAGTTAAAGTGAATTGTTGTCAACTATCAAAGGCAAGTTACTTTTAAATTTGAAACATTTTAACAATTAATTTGTCAATTTCCTCATCAATTAACCACAATTAACGCCAATGTCTCACCCAATTAGTGTCAATGATTACCAATCATCACGAGAAGTGTCATGTTCAACATCATGTTTAGATGATGTAACTAATCATCCTAGTGATTTATCCTTTGATTCAACTCGATCTAACCAATCACCTTCCTCAATTAGTTCATCATTATCATCGCCCTCGCCTCCAACTAATTTACAATCAAAATCTCATTCACAATCTTCATTATTATCTTATTCTGGTTCTGAATCTGCTGCTAGTTCATCTCATTCTAATTCTGATTTTACTCTATCTGATTCTGTGTCCGATTCATGTTCTAATAATTCATCAGGTTCAGAATTAGAATCAAATTATCAATCAGAAACAGAATGTGATTCATGTTCATGCAATTCGGATACGGAATGTACTTCATCTGAAAGAGATTCTATCAGGGATTCAGAATATTCTCCTTCTTCTTTCATGAAAAGCTCAAGTTCTTGTTATTCCTCAGACAGGATGCCAGGGAATGGAAAATTAGATACAAACGCTGTCGCGAATCGAATTGAAAAATGGCTCAACGATATTCGGACCGCAATCGAGAAACACTCATTTCAACGTCGTATTGTTCAACCATCTAATGGAAACGACGATCAACCAGTTGATCAAGATGAACAATCTGGAGAAAATATCGCAACTTGGTTAACCGATGAAAGAATGACCATCACCATGGGTCAAGTGAAACGAGAGTTTTCTGGTTTAACATCGGACAATTTAGATCCAGTGATAAAATCAGACATCGAGGAATTGGTCAGGAAAATGACTTCATATGAATTGGTAACAATTTGTCAGAAGATTGATTTTTGTATCGTTAAAAGCGGATTAGCTGAGACTGGAATCTTTTTGTACGAGTTAATCCATAAACTCGGCCTTCAGGATACCACAATCACCGAACCCAAAACACGAGTGATGATATCGACGCTTATCGGTTCTTTACATCGATCGATTGGTCCAACAACTCCGTTGCATATTCTAGTTCATTTCATGGGCGATTTAGATGAAACTTTAGAAAAGGTCAAGAAAAATCCCAGAGACTCATCACTAAAATTGGACAATATGATCTCACTTTCGTGTTACCTTGTTGCATCTAAATCGTGTTCCACTAAATTTTTAGAAACAATTTTAACAAAGATCGGTCATTGTAGCGAAGAAAAAATCAAAAAAAACTTGAACCGAGTTCTTCAATTGACTAATTGTGTTCTCGATAAACCAAATCAACTTAGAATCGAAAAAGTTCTAGCCCCATATCGATCCAAAATCGAATGTGATCAAATCAAACCATCGTCATCTAAATCATCCAAAAGCAAAAAGTGACCTGATTCTTAACTCGAATGCTAATAATCTGACCTTGTATTCCAACCAATTTCCTCTTAATTGTTTCCCCAACTTGATTCCTTTACAATTGGACAACTGTCACAATCTGTGACAACAAACAACTGACCTGTGATATTAATAAGAAAAAAATTGATATTATAAATTGTAAACAATTAGAAAGACTAGTTTAATTTTTTTTTCTTCGATGAAAGTGAAATTTAAGGAAGGAAAAGAGAATCATTTTCTTATATGTAACAATCAAATGTAAAAAGACAATTTAAGTTTTCTATTAAACGAGAAAAAGGTCAAAACATTAATGATCGAAGGAGATTAATTATGGATTAATTGTGTCAATGAATTTTCTTTGTGACGATGTAATTGTGTTGTTGTTGTTGGTTTGGCTTTAATCTGGTTGTAATAATTTAACACTCTAATCAATGTCAATTAGTTTATCTTTTAACTGCTCATAATAGTCATTGGTAATCCTCAAAATATCACTACTGAGATCCTTTAAATTGGTGTAACGGGTACAATCAAAATTGAAATAATCTTTAACAGCGTTCAACAGGGTTGTCTTAATTAGGGTACACTTGAAATTTAAATTCTGATCACTACCAAGAAATCCCCAAATCAAAACGGGAAGAATATAATCTAGAATATTGTAGAAATTGGCGAAAAATCCTTTCTCATACATTAATTTTGATCTTTTCATTTTGAGAAGTGTCATCACGGCAGTTCGAAGAGCAGTCTCTCTAAATCCCGATGAAATCCATGAATTTTGTGCCACACTAAGTATAGTTGATGGAGGATCTTCCAGATCATCAAAAGAATCCAATATAATATAATCAAGAACAATATCATAGAAAGATAGACAAGGAATACCTCGAGCTTCCAATTCTCGACGAATATCTTCATGATTATCAGAATGGGTAACATATTCGATTAAGGTATCATAGGCTTTAAGACAATCGGTAACATCGAAAGATCTTCCAGCTGAAATCATTTCTAAAATATCTCTTCCAATACTATTGAAATAGGTTCGATTCTTGTTATCATCTAGAATAGCAGCGAAAGCCAATCGAAGGCAGTGAACTTTGGCTATGAATTCTGAATTACTTGAGCAGTACATTTGTTTACATCGAATCACCCGAGGTGGTTGAACTGATTTAAGATTATCCAAGGCTTCAGTGTACAAACGATAAAAGGAGACAGAATCATCGGCATCATAATAGGCAGAGGGATAAGTGGCTGTTGAACAGAAAGTGTTGGTAGGTGAAGGTGACCGAAGGGTAGCAGCGTCATTTTCATCATCAGCTCCATCGGGTTGAGGAAAAGCGCCAAGAGTTAAATCAAAAGAAAGCTATAGAATAAAAGAACAACAATTAGAAATATGATCTGTAGGCAGAATATTGACCAAATTTTAGAATACAAATTACACTTACTTTTGGTTCGATTGCTGGAATAGTCTGAGTTCCTCTGCTTTCCCTGGAAGCAGAAAGGAAATTTATTTCCTCTTCTGTTTCCTTACTTAGAATGTAAAGAGTAATAGATGAAGCCGCAATACCCAAAGCCAATCCAATAGCAAATGTTAACGGTTTATCAAGTTGATCCATTATCCTTAGATTAGAATAATTTTGTTCAATTATATAAAATATAAAAATACGATAATCTTCATGTTAGATAATGAAAATTGATAAAGCAAAAAAAAAAATAACTACTAAGGGAAACACATTGAAAATGTAAACATGAAACTCAACACTTTCCAAATTAAATTACAGTTTCATGTAAGCTCACAGGTTGAACAGTAAACAAACTAACACATATTCAATTAAGTCTCACTAGTAAAACAATTAATTGTTAAAATTATCAACATAATTAAAAGAAAACAATTAACAACAACCAGAGATCAACGTGCGAGTAACAAATGAGCAGAAACATTTGGAAAAAGCGAATGGCGCCAATTTTGGCTTTTCAAAAATTCCATCGATCAACTTAATCGAATCACAATTAGAATTAATTTTTTTTTCAACAATTAAGTTGGACGAAGAAAAGTTTATTACAAAATTGATTAATCTCCAATCCGAACAATTTAAATCCCGATAAGATTAATTTTAATTGTTTGTTTAACAGATTACCAAATGATCTTGAATAAAATCAGTCTTGCTAATTAATTGAACACTTTAAATTACAATTTACTCCTAATTGCACAATTAGTCTAAGGTGTATATGAATTGATATACAATTGAATTTGCTTTTCAAAATTAATTGATATTCTTGTATGTTATCAGATCTCAACAATCAACAGACAACAATTAAGTGTATTATAGTTAAGAGATGAGGAGAAAAAGTTAAAGATAAAAAAAATAGATTGACAATTTTGTCGAGTACAAATGATGATCAACAATTAAGATGAGAAATAAACACAATTAAATGTTATATTCATGGTTAATCATGATCATCAACCATCAGAGGAATTGAATTTTGTCCAATTTAAACAGTTAAATTGTTATACTCATGATGATGAAGAAAATGATAACAATCAGTATATCCAAGAGAGAGAGAGAAAAAAATGTTACAAGAGAATTAAATTTAATTGAACAATTAGATTATTACGTTGAGAGTTGTAAATTTGTGAGTATTCAAGAAAAAAGAGGTTAGTTGATTAACTAATCAAGAGGAAGAAGGTTCAACTCATAACAACTTAATACACTTGTGACTTTAACTATTTACAATTAACTATCATCAACAATCATCATCATGATCAACACCATAATCGTCATTATATTAATCAGTTGAAGTGTAACGGGTTTCGAGTCTGTATTAAATTTGTTGATTCACTTTTCCATCGTAACAATTTAACTGTTCACGATTAGTAAATATATATTATTATCATTGTTAATTATTTGAAGGTCGATGATTGATTGCAACTGTTTTCATCTAATAGTAATAAGGAAATCTATTGTGTATCTTTGGCAAACCTTTCATTTTGTTGAATTACAATTGATTCCTCACAATTAGTTGATTGTCCAAAAAAAAAAGAGTCACTGGGATTGTGTGTGTGTAAGTGTATTTGTGTCTTGTTTTTTTTGTTGTTGTTATCATAGTATTTTAATTGTGTCCATTATAAGAGTGATTATCATCAATTGATTGTTAACTGTTGCTATCAGCATCTTTTGTTTATTTGGTTGATTAGTTTATTTTGCTTGTTAATTGCTGTTAGACTTTTCTAAATCATTTACACTTTGATATGAAGTTTGATCAGCAAATAAGTTTATTTTGATTACGATTCTCTCAGCAATCGTTGTGTTTTTTAGGTTTTTTTACTTGTTCTCTTTTTAATTTGATTGTGATAATTAACTGTTTCAATCATGGAGTTTGAAGATATTCTGGTTAAGGTTGGTGAATATGGAAGATACCAGAAACTTTTTGTTTACTTTTTTCTGGTTCCTGCCGCGTTTTTAACTCCCTGGTTGACCATGACCACGATTTTCATGGTTTCGAGTCCTAATCATGTGTGTTCAAATTATGTTCATCAAGGTAATTACTCTGATCAACAATTAAAGTTACTCTTTGATCAGGGTAATTTTACTGATACCCAAAAGTGTTTCACCTCAACAATTAACTCAACTAATCAAGTTAACTCATCAATATTATTGGATAATAAATGTGACCATTGGATATTTGATAATACAAATTATGATGAAACTTTTGTGACTCATGTAATTATAATAACTTTTTAATTAACTTTTCTAATTCGTTTTATTGATTTAATTTACATTTGTTGTTAATTTGGATTGTTTATTTTTCCATCTCATAATACAATTAATCACTGATTCAGTGTTCACTGTACAATGAATATACTATTGAAAGGTTAATTTATTATCAGAACAATTAACATTTAAGCTAATCAAATATTTTTAACTTTAAAAGAAAATTCAATTAATCAGTTGATTGTTGTTCGCAGTATTTGGTTACAATTAACTCGTTCTTGTATATTACCTGTTGGCAGATTTAGATTGGTTTGATTTTTTTGTCTAATCAAATCAAGTTAAATTGTCCAGGTTGATTCCAATGATCAATTACCAAAAGGTAATTAGTTAATCCATTGATGTGTATGTCAATATTTTATTAATCAATTGGTACACAATTAATATAATAGGAATGATTATTAATTGACAACAATTTTCCTTAGGAAAAATTAATGATTTTGACTGAGAAATGTGATATTAGTGATTAATTGATTGATTAATGATAATTGTGATTAGTTCGAAGGTTAAATTGATCATTAAATTTAATTGATTAATGAGTTGGCAATTCATTGAGTTTACCTGTAGGTTTGATTCAATTGAGATGTAACTGATTTAACTGACTGACGTGTTGATTGCTCAAGTTAATTGCTCAAAAATGAGTGAAAATTTGAAATCAATTGTTAGTTAAATTACTTTGGAAGACAATTAAGTAAAGTAAATAATGTCAATCAATACACACCCACATGGCATTGGTCAAATTTGATTGAATGGTCATTAAGTTAACTGATTAACTGATTGATCAGTTTACTTTTTCATCAACATTTGTTGACTATTTTTAATTGCTGATTGTGATTAGAGTTTTAATCAACCTGAGTTTATCGACATATCAGCTCATTTAAGTTAATTAATCTCATTGAATTCCAATTACTGTCCTTGTCAATTTCCTTCCTCTGGACAATTAACCAAGATTTTCATTGATCAATCAAATTGATTTCATCTTAATTGTGAATTAAATTTAAAGGGTTCACACTCAAACACATCAAAGTGATTTCCCAGAATAATTTTTCCGGTTAACAATTAACAGAATTGAATGATAATAATTGAGAAAACGAGTAAATCAACTCGAAAGTTAATTGTTGATTGGAAAAATGTTACCAATCGAGTTGTTAATTGTAATCGTACAAATTATGAGAAATCATAGGAAAAAATTAACGTCAACAATTAGTCAATTGATTTAGTTAAATCAGCAATTTTCAATGCGATAGCGTTGGAAAAACGTCTAAGTATTGATTTAATTGGAGAGTGTTAATTAATCAAATGTTCAATTGATTGTCAGCATCCTGGTTGATTATCTCAAGACTCGATGAGACAATTGATAACAATTAATGCGAATAATTTGGAAATAATAATTTAAAGCTCAATGACTAACTAATTGCTAGATTGCGGAATATTATTCTGTCTTTAATTTGATTGTGATGATCAAAGTGTCACAAATTGTTCCAACTCAGTGTTGTTACATAAATGACCAATTAATTACGACAATGGACTAATCATTGATAGCAATTTATCACAAAATCTCAATTAGATTAACACTCAAGGGGTTTGGTAAAAATCGTTAAGCCTTTAATTAAGTGTTTAATCAAACAATTTAGTGTTTTCTCTGAAGAAGCTCAGAGAGTTAATTAACTTTTAATAGACAATTAAGTTGATTTGAAGACACATTGACAGGATACTTGAGATTCTGTTTGATGAGACAATTTAATTGCTGAATAAGTTGATTGGAAAATTACTCAATTAGAGGGAAATTAGAAACAATCAATCGTCTAGGAGTAGAAATCGATTGATTTATGATTGATAACAATTCGAAACATGTGAAAATAAGTAATTAACTTAATTGTTTTTCTTAATTGCAGAATAATTTAGTTTGTGATAATGACCATTGGGTGGGAACGGCGTTGGCGGTCATTAGTTTAGGTCAATTGGTTGGAACCCCGACTTTGGGCTTCATTGCAGATCGGTAAATATTAGAATCAAATTGAATTGTCTAATTACTTGAGGTTAAAATGTTCATTAATCTTTTTGCTTCAATTCTGATTAGATTTGGCAGGAAAATCGCTTACATGATTGGAATCATCTTAAGCTTCATATCAACTTTTTCACCAACATTCACCAAAGGGATTATCCCCTTCATCGGATTACGTTTTGTCCATGGATTAGCGACCAATACCTGTTATCAAATGCCTTTGGTTCTTGGTAATTATATTTTGATCTGAGAAAATAATCCAATTCTTTGAGTTTAATTGGAATTCTCATTTTCTTATTGATTAGCGGTTGAAATTATGGGACCAAGAGGACGAACGAAAATGTCTCTCATCTCGAGTTTTTCTTTTGCCTTTGGATTAGCGACACTTCCGTTAGCGGCTTATTTAACGGCTCATTGGTTCTATATGAGTTTAATTGCTTCCATTGTTATCTCATTTGCTTTAATCATGTCAAGGTAATCGAAAGAAAATCTTAACCTTAATCTGATCTATTCGAAAGATAATACCATGGATGGAAAGTCTAACATTTTTTCGTTAATCTTAAAGATTAATTCCAGAATCACCGAGATGGTTAATCTCAGTCCAACAGTACGGTAAAGCTTATAGTATACTCACGAAAATCGCTAAAACAAACGGGGTCAAAGTTGACGAGAGTTTAATCCTCGATATTAGGGTAATAAGGTTAATTTTCAGATTCTTTGATTTCAAAGCGAAATTAAAATATTTTCATTTTCTTTTCGATTTTCAGGAAGTTGGAAAAAAGTTCGAAAAAGATTCCAAAAACGAGACCCATGAGGTTAAAATTCTGTGTCAACAATTTTCGAATCGTTCGATTCTATTCATTTTGGCCTTAAACGCTATCTCATTATTGGCCTCGGAAGTCGCTTATACTGGTCTTCATTATAATATCAGGAACTTCAAGGGAAATGAATTTCTCAACTATTTCCTTTTGGTTTCGGTTGAACCGGTCGCCTATGTTATCGGCTATTTGTTGATGGACAGTCGACTAGGTCGAAGGTGGACCGCTTCGTTGTGCCTCGCCTGGGCTGGAATTAATCTAACCATTTGTTCAATGATACCTTCAAGTGACCTGGTTAAAGTTGCCGTTTTCTCAATGATGGGTAAAATGGGAGCGACCATTTCCTACATGGTGGTCGGTCTTCATGGCTCTGAAATGTTACCCACCGTTATCCGAAATCAAGGTTTATCGGCTTCCTTTTTTGTACTTTCAGCGGGCTCCATTTTCATTCCTTATATAATTCACCTTGGTAAATATGGAAGTCACATTCCTCTTATTATCATGGGCACCATTGATTTGACCGCTGCCGCTTTTAGCACCATGTTACCTGAGACCAGAAATCGTATTCTACCTCAAACCATTGAAGAATCAGAAAATCTGGTTGTCAATCGTAAATACTGGTCACTAGCACCTAAGAGGTATGGGACATTTTCCCTTCCTGAATCCCGAACCCAGTGATTAGCTAAATCAGTTCATTTGTCACTAATTCAGTTGCTTAACTGATACTTAATTTCATCAATTATTAATCTATTGGGCAGTTAGGACTTAATCTAAATTACAATCAGTCTTAAACTGGTCCTCAAATTATTCAATGGAATGAATTTTATATATTTTAAATTTTTTGTAAAGTTAGAAAATGAAAAATCTTAATCAACGTTAATTGTTGCTAATCAAAAGGAGGAATTACTTTAATCAAAGGTAAAACTAAACTGCTGATGACTTGGATTGATTGATTTGCTTTAAAACAAACTGATTGATTAATAGTTAATCATTTAAATTTAAGGTTAATTAGCAATCATTTTTTTTTTGTCACAAGTAAAAGTTAATTGTAAGTATATTAAGTTAATCAGTTTTAATAGCTGATTGTTTTTGATCATGGTAATGATAATTGTTAATGGAGAAGCTGAATTAGTCTTTAGGACACAATTTAAATTGGACTTTAATTGAATTGGTTAGTTAACTAATTGTTTATTTTTCTTTTTTAACAGTGAACCAAGAAAAGTTAATCAATCAAAGGAATCTGGAGAAACTGTTAAAATTTCTTGATCATCAACAATTAACGTAAACAATTTATTGATTGTAAAAATTAAAATCCCAATGAAAGTCTAATATGTAAAGATGGAAACAATTAACACTAAACAATTAATTTGTAAAACACAACTAATGAATCAAATTTTTCTAATAATAAAAATGAAAACAATCAAATCTAATTGATAAACTGGAACAATTAAAAATTTGCTAAAAATTATTTATTTAAAAACTTTTCATTGCTGAACAATTGGATTCAAATTCAACAATTGCAATTAAATCTTAATCTATGGACATTTCCATGATCATACTAGCAATTAATTCAAGGGAATCAATTAACTAATCAATTTTAACTCAAATTAATTAAAGAAAAAAGTTAATTAGCAAAACTTGATTTCCATTCATCTAAACGAATTCCATTTCTAAGATGATGATTCAAGATCTTTTTTAGTAATCAACTTAATTTAATTTAATTACTTTTCATCAATAACTGACTCTAATTTGATTAGACCATTAATTGTTGTTAATCAATTTAAATTTCATCAATTCAATTTTCTTTGCATTTTCCAAAATTTTATTAGTATGCGGTCCCCAAATCTTTGTTTTGATTTTTTTTTCTTGATTGTTTTTAATTTTTTGGGTTCAATTTAATTTCTTTTGGCAATTTTGGTTAGTATATTGTGATTTTTTTTGACCTATTTGATTGTTTAATGAACGATTCTGTATTATACTGATGTGTTTTCTATTCTCTAATTGCAGAGGTTTCGATAATGTTGACTTCTTTTGCTCGACCTTCAATCCTTACACCTTTACGTAATGGATTAGTACCTGTTATTGGTTCATCTTTATCACGAAATTTGAGTACAACAAATTCAAATATGTGTTACCAGTATGTCCATAAAGGTCTTGATGAACCTCAATGGGAAGATAGGTTTAGATCAGAAACAAGTAAAACCATGGTAGGAGATTTCTTAGCTGCTGGATCGACTTTACTTGGTACAATTTTTCGTGAATCTTGTACAATTAATTATCCCTTTGAAAAGGGACCTTTAAGCCCAAGATTTAGAGGTGAACATGCATTGAGAAGATACCCTTCAGGTGAGGAAAGATGCATCGCCTGTAAACTATGTGAAGCCATTTGTCCAGCCCAAGCGATTACAATTGAAGCGGAAGAAAGGCCTGACGGTAGTCGGCGAACCACTCGTTACGACATTGACATGACCAAATGTATCTACTGTGGATTCTGTCAAGAAGCTTGTCCAGTTGATGCAATTGTCGAAGGCCCTAACTTTGAATATGCCACCGAGACACACGAAGAGCTATTATACAATAAGGAGAAATTGTTGAATAATGGTGACCAATGGGAACCCGAAATAGCGGCCAACATTCAAGCCGATCATTTATACAGATAAATTAACAATCAAATTCCTCTATTACAATTGTAAAGAAATACGTTACTAGTTGAAACTTTGGTTCTTAGAGTGTCAATTAAAATTGAACATAATGTAATTGACATTTTAAAGGAATCATTTATTAGTATTTTGAGTGAGTTAATTTTTTTTTCCAAATCATTAGATTAACATAAAAGAGAGAGAAAAACTGTTAATGATTGCAAAGAATGAATTATGATTGGATTAAACAAGAAACAATTGCTGATCAGATTAAGAGTAAAATTAAATCGTAACAACTTTTGGCACATTATTGTAAAATATTAGCATAGTAATTTCTCGGTGCCTAATTGTAGGTTCGTGATTGTTTATAATTTGATAGTAAATGTAAATTTGAACAGAAAATAATGTGAAAAAATGGTAGACTTTGAAGTTAGAAGCATAATTAAGATACAATTAGTAATTATTTGTAAACAGAGAAAGGAAAGAGATTGAATTTAGTTGATGATATGATTGTTGTAGTTGCCATTTGTTGTTGCAGATCGATGATTAAAATTAGATTGAGTATCCAGTGTGTAGGTAATGTATGTAAATGTGAATATGGTTAATAGACCAGAATTGAGAATCAAAATGATTCACCATGATTAAGGTAAGTTTTTAACCGCAGGATTAAGATCACTAAAAAATGGATGTACCATCGCCTCATCAGCGGCTAATCGTTGTGATGGATTGCAGATTAATAGTTTTTGTAATAAATCACGACCTTTTGAGTTGAGCTTTGGAACCACCGAGGTGAAACTCGTGGTTGGATGGTACATGGGGAATGGCTTGAAATCGGGAAGAGTAGCTACACCAGGCCAAGTTTCTTCGGTCGGAGTACCAAGAAGCTGGAAAGTATCAAGAAATAATGTCAAAAGAATTAGATGAGAAAAGGTAAAAGAGAAAAGAGAAATGAATTACTTTGAATATTCTTTTCAATTGATCTTCCACATCGGAACCAGGGAATAAAGGTCGACCAGCATTGGCCAGTTCGGCGAAAATACAACCCGCTGACCACATATCAATGGAAGTGGTATAAAGTTTAGCTCCGAAAAGGACATCAGGAGGACGATACCAAAGGGTAACCACTTCAGCCGAGTAACACCTAACTGGAATACCAAAAGCTCGGGCTAAACCGAAATCGGCTAATTTAAGTTCACCATTTTTGTTGATTAATAAATTTTGTGGTTTCAAATCACGATGAAGAACATTATTCTTGTGACAAAATTCTAGGCCCCGAAGGAGTTGATAGAAAAACGATCTAACAACATCAGGATCGATCTCACCATTAAGACTATCAAAATATTTCTTCAAATCTTGGTCACAATGTTCAAAGACGAGGGTCAACTTTTTTTCACTATGAAGAACATCACACAATCTAAATCGTGAGAATAAAAAGAAAATAGAAAAGAATAGAATTTAAAATAAAGCCAATCAATTGGTGATAGAAAACAGACCAATGAACAAGAGAAAAGAAAAACAATAATTCACCTCACGATGTTACGATGTCGAAGCTCTTTGAGCAAACAGATTTCTCTTAGAGCGGAACTTGGTACACCTTCGTCATCATCGTCCAGTCGAACGCGTTTTAAGGCCACAATCTCGGAAGTTTCACGATTTTTACCCTTGAAGACGGTTCCATAGGTCCCTTCACCGATTTTCTCCAATTTCTCGTATTTCTGCATCAACAATAATCTATTTCTCCCTCGGGATAATTGGAAATTAACCGAAACACCAATCGAAACAAACCTCAGCTAATCAAAGATAATTGTTCGCAATGTTTGTACATTCACCGATTTCACCCAATTAATTGTAAAATGGAAGAAAAAGAAAACAATAAACAATTAAAGTCTAGAATAGAATAGTAAACATTCAATGTTCCACAAGGAATATTTTCACTTTCTCTTTTCCTCTCCCACTGTTTTTCCCTTTCTCTTCTTTATCTTCTCTTTCTTTTCTCTCTTTCTTTTCTGTCCTCTTCAATATTCTTCCATCTATTAACCTTTTCCTCCAAACTCGTGATTTCCAATCAACAATTTAAACCAATAATTAAACTCTCCGCTTGACCATTGGTCTAAAATGAGGAAAACTCAAAGATCAAAGTTATCGAAAATCAATAAAATCGTAACTGTAAATAACTCTCGTTGTTTACTGTTAGTTGATTGGGAGAAACGGTTAATCAGCAGAACGGAAATAGTTGCCATCCCATTTGAACGATACAATTAAATTGTTCATAATTGAAAGATGTCCAGTGTTGATGAGAAGATTTTTCTGAAATTCCAATTGTAAATTAACTCGACAAAGACAAAAAGGGTTAGTCTTCTGCGCGCCTTTTGAACTTGACTCGAGTTCTTATTGTTTATCGGTTATTATTTTCTGTTGATTGGTTATCGATTCATTTTTATGGGTTTTAATGGTGGCAATTTAATTTCTCAAAGATTAAGAAAGTGATAAATGATTAATAGATTGGTTATGACACAATCTAAAAAGATACAATTGACATTAATAATAAATATAAATTGAATGGACAAGAAGATTATAGTAGTTGAAAGGGAGAAAATTATAAATTGATTTGTTTCTTTTGTTTTTTGATGAACAGGAAAAATTAAGCATTTGTAAGCTTGAGAAAACTTGACTCAGGAAGAAAATTTTTCTGAAAAAAATTTTCTTTAAACAATCATTTCATTGATTTCTTTGATCAGTTTTCGACAATAATCAACAGTGTTGATTGGATTAACAGAGACAAGGTTACTTCGGATTCTAGATTCTTCTTTATAATTATCAATCTTTGCTCGAATTCGGAATTGGAAGGTTCTGAAATTTAGGGTTGCGACATATTCTAGGAATTCCTCGTCATTTTGGCTTTTCATATCGGCCAAATCTTTAGCACTCATTCCCAAAAGTTTTTCGGCTTCTTCATGAAATGCGGTCACCCAAACAGAATTGGTACAATCCGAAATCAATAGATTCAATATCAGCCGATGATCTCCGTGCATCACATCTTTATTACATTTATCGCATTTGTAGAAACCATTATTCATCTCGACGAGTTTCTTTTTACATCCATCAGGACAGGCCATGTAGATTTGAGTTTTTCCAGTTTGAGTAACTGTTGCTTTACAAGTTGTCGTTAAAGTGGCATTCACGGCCGCGACAACGTTGTCCTTTGTGATGGCGTTAAGGTATTGACTATCACCCATATCAGCAGATCCTGATTTTTGGGAAAGTACATTGGGTTCAATGTTAATTCCTCGCCGTTGGTACCATCCTCGAAGTTCGTTAGCTTCAGGTAAATCAGGGTCAACTTGGATAAGTGTTGATCCAATGGTTGATAGACTTTTACCTTGATAATCAGTTAGACGAGCTTTCTTGGCGACGATAACAGATCCACATTGGGCATTGAAGGTTTCAGCATCATTATTCCAAATTGTTAAACGAATTTCAGTCTCAGAATCGTCGACCAATGAAATGTCTCTCTTTCTTAATTCCTTGCCCAAATTTTTTGACATGATGGTTGTCATCTCACCAGGATCTCGACATACACCAAGAATGTCAACAGTTGAATTAGCAGGAACAGCTTCAAGTTGACCAATTTTGACAAAATGAAAATTAATTTGAGGACAACTGGTATCATCATCTGAAGGGATAATAATTGAGTCTGAATGAAGAGTCAACTCATACTCATGGTCAACATCAGACCATTTTTTGTTGGCAGGTTTAACAGAAGCCTTTGCTAAAGTGTAGATTTTTCCGACTTGAATCATATCAAAGTATTTATCACACTCGGTACGAAAGGCTGTAATTCGAATCTCCCCTGATTCATCTTGTAAATTAAATGAGAACAAAGTACCTTCGCCCTTGGCGTTATTCCAACTTTTGAGAGTTCCTTTATTGGTAACACGACCTCGAATAGCCCATTTATTCTGGTAAGGAGTGATCTGATTAATTGGGAAAATAGCCTCTTCTCTAATAGAGGTATCACTCATGCTTATATCAGCTTGATTGGGAACACTACTGAAAGCTTTAGCTCCAGATTTAAATCCATTGTAGCCACCATTTGTTGACCCCCCTGAGGTACTTGAGACACCATTTGCAAATGTGGATGAAAGGGAATCATTGGCTATAGAAGAACCTTCAAAAGGTGTGGGATTACCAATCTTCCGTCCGATATTAGCCCCAGGAGTAATTACTTCAGGCTCAGAGATGAGAAGAATCTTTTTGTTGCTTCCTCCAGCGGCTGGATTACAAACATATTTATTTAACCGTATAACAGTATACCTTTCAAATTCACCAGCTTCAACTCTTTGAGCCATAGCACCAACCATGATACAACATTGATAAGAAAATTTACCATCAGAGAGTAAGAAACGATACCTTTGAACACTATCAGCGGAGACATTTTTTTGAGCCAAAATTTGGACGATTGGACGTTCAACAAAACCACCAGAAAGGATTGTTCCAAGAGCACCTTCAGTTAATCTTGGAGTAGAAGCCATTACAAAGAGAATAAATTTCACAGAAAAACAATAAACAAAAGAAAGAAGGATAATTTTCCCAAATAAGAAAACAAAAAGTCAAACCAGAAGAGAAGAAAAAAAGACAAGGAAAAGAGACAGAGAATAGAAAAGAAAAAAATTGAGGGATGAAGACAAGAGAAAAAAAAGAAAATGAAAGATCGTCACAAAAATGAAGGATTACAAGAGAGAAAAAAAACTCTAATTGATTTGAATTTAATATCAATTTAGAGAAAATGATTTAACCAATTTAAAAATTTGAAACAATCAAAGATTAACAATCAACTTTAATTGAAACAATTAACAAAAAGAATGATGAAATGTTGACTTGCTAAGTGAGAGGAAAGAAGACCAAATGAGCGCGAAGTTGAAGTGAACAGAAATATAAAGAGAAAAGAAAAAAGGTCACGTGACCAAAGTATTTTCTCTTCTCAATTTGATTCGATTCTCTAATATTTTTAATCTCTTCAATGTTAATCATATTTTCAATCTTAATTGTTGACCTTTTCTGTTGTTCCTGTGAATGTTTATCGCCGTAATTTAGCAATTAGAATCAAATTAAGAGACAATCGATCAAATTTAATCTAATTTTCTGCCAAAGATATTGTGTATCTGGTATCGGTATCTAATTGTGATTATGTAAAAGCTTTTTTTCTGTGCATCAAAGTCAATATGGTGGTTAAATTTTTCCCGGTTTAATTGTTTGGATGCGTAATTTAAACCACTAATTAATTGTGTTGTGTTGATTACGATTAAAAAAGCTATCAAATTCTGACTTAAATGGTTCTCAACGGTTTAATTTGATTGAGTTTCTACTCTGGTGAGTTGATAGAATTTTTTTATTCTTTTCTTTTCTGCTTAATTACTCTAATTACTCTAATTGCTTTTGTTTTAAAATTGTTCTCACAGTTGTTTTAATATGGATACGATGTTTAGTCCAATTATATCTGATTAAATTGCATCTCTATCATCTAATGTACAAGATAAATTGTTGAGAAATCAATTGATTTGGGTTTTGTTTACACAAATTTAATTGTTTGTGTGTTTAATTTTTCCAATTTCTAATAATCTTTTTTGTTTAATTCAATAATTTACAATTCAATAAGTTAATGAATAAACCCGTTTGTTAAATTCAAAGATAATTTTAAAACATTGATTTTAAAAATTCAACTAAAAATTAGATGAAAAAAAGATTAGGTTAAATTAAATTTATGTTTCAATTTCTATTTCATTCAATTTCTTGAACTAATCTTTTTACTCATCTATTGATTCACTTTCCTCTTCTAATCTCAATTTTTTTACTCTTCTCTGATTATTGTAGTTTTGATTGAATTTCGGTTTCCCATTACCAGTCGATTTTCCTTCGTTACCCTCACCACCACCACCACCGAAATGTTTCTTGTGAATCTTTTTGAATCGACTTAAATCTACAATCATAAAGATAAAATATCGGAGAAAATAATCCAAGATTATTGATGGAAAATTACAACTGGACCAATCAATAGAAGGCTAAACAAAAGACTTACCTCCAACGTCAACTTTGTTTCCGGTCAATTTTTTACTTCGTTGTAACTGTGAATAATTTTTACGTCTCCTGTGCTCATAATTGGTTCCATGATGCCGTTGATTGGGTTGTTCACTTTCATCAACCTCACCATTACCATCACCTTTACCTACAAACCAATTGCGTTCACGACCATCGCCCGAATCACCGGACTCTTCATACCTTTCACCATCTTCGTATTCAAATCGTCCATGTCTTTTACGGCCAAAAACAACTTGTCCCTCAGCTCCAGCTGATTTAGCTTTTCTTTGTCGAACCGAAGTTTTTCCTTCTTCCTGGACATCATGTGAACTTCTAAAATCGCCATTTCTGTTGGTCGCATGAACCGATCGCTGTCCATTTTCACCGTCACCGTAATCACTTTTCTGCTCCTTGTCTGTCCCTCCGTCACCGCCGTCACTATAATCCTCTAGCTTAGGTAAAGGACCATTAAGTACCATGTCACTATAACCAGCGGACACTTTGTGACTTATTAGATGTAAATTTAATATAAAACAAATTGTAACTGTTAACCTCATGCTCACGAATCTAAACTGTTTTCTCAACTAGTGTCTCATCAACACTTGTCGAAGCACTTTTATTGGTAATTCATTCAGGTCAAGTGAATCCCTATCGATACTTTCGCTATTCACAAAATTTCACCATCCTAATCATTTAGGTCGCATAATTACCGTTTAATTTGATTGTCATTTTTTTCATTCTCTTCTATTTGCTTAGTTTTTCAACTTTTGTCTATTTTTTTCCTCACTAATTCAATGTCTTTTGTTTTTCTTTTAGTTTTTTTTTCTGTTTGGAATCGTTTCTGTCGGATGAACATAAAATTTAATCCCATTTAATTTAGTTTCAATCATTGGTTGTAGAACAAATGTTGGCGCTGATTACCTGATTAACTGGAATTTATCTCGACTCACAATTAATCGCGAGTTCACCTTTTGTTTTTTGCATTCACCTTCATAGTGTCGTCCAAGTGTTACATCGATGACAATGTTTACCTTTCCAATTCATTTAAACGTAATTTTAAATTCTAAATCATCTTGGCCTTGTGATTTGATCCTTTTGATTCAATTTTCTAATTGCTTTTTCTTTCAATCCAGATTATAAAAAAATACGAGCTGAGATAAATTCTATTATATATTGCTGATTAATTGTTTGAAAATCACAATCACAATTTAGAAAAAAATTGACAATTGATTCAATTCAAATTTCGCGTCGCTGGATTACCATTGGTTACATTATATTTCCACCTTGCGGCTCATCTGGATTTTTCCAAATTTCTTTAATTTAATTTCCTCAATCAATTGCTAATTGAAATCACCAAATTGCTAATCTTTTTATTTTAATTTTGGATTACAAAAATCTTCATACAGCGATGTCAACAACAGTAAATAGTAACGATCCTAGAAGACCTGATAAAATAGTCAAGTGAGTATTAGAATATTATTGAAATGAACAATTAACCTTATTTCATTTCTCATTTGTTTACAGATACAAACCAAGTATTCACAGTCCCTTGAATAATGGTGGTGAAGATCCAACCCCTGATTATATGAATGTTTTATCAATGATCTTCAGTATGTTTGGATTAATGATGAAATTAAAATGGTGCTCATGGATCGCTCTGTTTTGTTCAAGCATCAGCTTTGCTAATTCTCGGGTTAACGATGATACCAAACAGATATTAAGTAGCTTCATGTTATCTATCTCAGCTGTTGTAATGTCTTATGTTCAAAATTCCCAACCAATGACATTACCGTTTATGTGATTATTGGCCTCAATCCTGATGTACAAAGATGTAGCCACGCGATTATATGAATTCATTGAAAGATAATTTTTTCCAACCTTTCATTTCAAATACAAATTTTATTACTCTGTAAGTTTCATTGAATTAAGGAAATTAACTTGTTACTATAGTCTGTTTTTCATCCATCAATCAAGAATTGAAATTGGAAATCATTCACTGATTCTGTTAATTATGTACATCAGCGTCTTCAAGCTACGAAGTAATTTAAAAGTTGATTTCTGATTTTTTCAATTCTGATTCGTTTAATTAAAACGGATAACTAGGGTCAACTTTTGTGGTTGTCCCAATAGAGATGATCATTTTAAGGTGTATATTTTAATTACTCTGCATTTCAAATTGATCATTAATTTACAAAGAATGATTTCAAAATTCAATCGATTCCATCAAGGGTGAAACAGGAGAAACTTAAGTCAACAATATCAACAAAGGATTTTGCCAAATGTATAATTTGTGAATCATCAAAATATAATGAATATAATAACAATTGGTTTCAGATTGAAGGATAACGTTCATGTAAATCTTACAAGTTATTAATGATTAGTCTTAGGTAGTAAAGGAAAGACAAGAAAAAGGCGATAATAATTTTGATGATATTATGGTAATAATGTTTGAAGTTTCATTTCCCATTTCAACTATTGTCGGTAATTAATCTTGTCTTTTCCATCGATGATCAATTCAAACACTTGATCGTTACTGTCTATTCCTTAGAATCCAGTAAAAAAGGATAAATCTCTTAAAAATTTAGTAACCAAATCGAAGGTTGTAAAACTAACTCCAACAGCTATTGGACCTTTAACCCAATTTAAACTGAGACCTTTGTATAATCCATGGATTATCCCTTCTTCAACGAAAACCTTATTAAGTACACCGAAAATTGTCATCGAACCGGGTTGAGTTTGCATTCGTCTTCTAACAATGTCCAAAGGATATGAAGCCGATTGTCCAAGTAAACCAGCGATTGCACCAAACACTAAACGCTCCAATGGATGTGGATCAGCTGGTCCATAGTAATCTAAGAAAATTAAGATTAATTTAGCTCAATTAATTTTGCTAATGGAAAATAATCAAAGGAATTACTTACCATGATGTAACCTCTTTAAAGTTTCGTAAGTGAAAAAACTCGTTCCAGCATAAGGTATAACTCCAAATAAGGTTGGAAAATAACCTTTGTAAACAGCGGTCAATCCTTCGCGTTTAATTGTCTTACGAAATACGGCACCAAGTGAATTATATTTTTCTCTATGAGTAACAGCCATTCGAGCTCTGGCCAAATCTAGTGGATAAGTTAAAGAAGTTGAAATTACTCCAGCAAGAGATCCAGCGATATAACTCCGGATAGGATGTTTTCGTCTAGAAAATATGAAAAACAAAAATATCATTAAGTTTCTCCAATAATTAGTCTAGTAATTAACATGATACAAACAATATCAATACAATCTTAATGGTAACATTTTCACGTTAAAGAGAAATAATTGACATTCAATGACTGTAAATATCTGTTGATTAAGGAAATGGTGGTTTACCTAATTTTGATAAAGCTACTCACTTATCTTCATTTGTCTCAACTCCAAGTAATCGCTTTAATTGTTCATGTGATGTATATTGAATGGCAGCATAAGGCAGAACCCGAGCCATGGTGGCTGAATTTCCCCTCCATAGACTGGTTAATCCGGACTCTTTGTAAGATATCACAATAAACTTATAAGCTTCATGAAAACTAAATGGTATATTTTTAATCTGAAAGTTAATCTTTGTCCTGTCAAGTGGAGCAATAATTGTTTTAGCTAATCCACCAGCGACTGCACCGGCGATCAACGATGTGACAACTTTTGATGAATTTGATATTTCCTCTTGTCCACTGGTCAACATAATCTAAACCAAGAAAAAACAAATCAAAATTCATAATTAGAATTGGGTAAATTCAATTGTTTAAAATAAAGGTTGACCCTTGGATCAGAACTTTATTGATGGGAGACACTTGAACAACTAACACTTTATTATTATCAGATAAAGTTACTAATTGTCAATTGTTTCATGAGATATTGTGAAATATACACAATTTGATTAGAATCTTGAATATTGAATTGATAACAAACCTTTTTGGCTTCATTTTGAATGGAATGTGAACTTGACTGACCAACAGATGATTGATTTTCTTGTATCATCTTTAATTTTGAGACCAATGGTTATTGCAAAAGTGATCACAGTGAAGATATAAAATGGTTAAGAATTAATTGTGTCAATGATAATAAATGGCAAGAGCGATTCAGCTTTTGATGAAAATCAAACCAGAAGAATGATAATTGACTGGATCTCTGTAGGTAATAAATGAAAACAAATCAATGTCAAAAATGATCAAGTTAATTAGATTGGAAGATTAAAGATAAAACAGAACTCAATTGGTGATTAACATGGAATCAAAGGAAAATAATGAATTTGAGAAAACACAACAACATAAAGTCTGAAAGTCTTGATAGGTAAAAATAATAGAACAAGTTAAACACTCAGCAATTAACAGTCTGATTTAGATGAGAGTGTACGAGTTTAAACTGAGAGTACTGCGATTAGTCCAATATACTTGATTAAAATAATTAATATAGAGATGAAACAATAGCTGAATACACATAGAGAAAGATAATAAATCAATCTTTGAATGTTAAGGAAAAAAGAAACTCAAAAATTGGACATTTCAACTAAAGTGAATATTGAACATCATCCAATGGACGTTAGTCTGGTTTAGGAAATTTAATTATGAGAATTTAATCTATTAAAATTATAAGAGAATTTCTTATATTCTAAATATAAAAGAAAAGTGTCAATAACAAGTAAATGTAAACATCGACCTTCAAGTTTTCCCTTATTCTATGATATTGAATAAATGGAATACAAAAAGAACTGATCAACATAGGAGATTAAATTTTGTCACATAGAGAAAACAGACTCTTATTGTAATAGTTTAGAGAAAAGGAACAAAACTTACCTGAATTAAATGAACGATGGTTTTAAAGAGTAGACTGTGTAAATTATTGTATGGCAATCAAATGAACAATTAAGTATAAAATCAGTGGCGATTTAAAATCAAATCACATCAATCATCTCATTTTTGATTTTCTTTAGTCAATCAAAACCTTTTCCCTGTTTAACTCTCAGGGCAAAAAAGGTTCTTCGTTCAACTTTAATTCACTAGATTTATTCTTAGAAAATCTCAACTCAAGTTTCACAATAAATTCTCTACGTGAACATTTTAATTAAACAATTAATAAACTAAGAGAAAATTATGATTACAATTAAAATCCAAAATTTTGTTTTCTTTTCTTCCTCAGGTTTGTTTATCTCACCAATTCATCGCCATCTATGGGCCAACAATTTAATCTCTTTGGAGAACAAAAATTTTTTCTTTTTGTCGAATTTTCTTTTTTCATTCAAATTGATTTAAAGTTCATTTTCTTTTCATTGAATTTGTTTTAACTTATTTTAATTGAACACAATTAGCTTTTGGGTTGAAATGGATTTAACTTTAATTATTGGTTCTTAGTGATTGTTAATTTGATTGGAAAATTGTTTTTGGTGAATAATCAACTGTTGCTATGGAAACGTAACAATGAACTCGGCGGGAATTTGATGGAAATTTGTTTCTCTCTTTATTACCAAAATGAATTGTTAACCTGAAAATTGTTTTTAAATTGTTGATGGTGTTTTTAATTGTTTTTCTATTTTTACATTTGTTTTAAATCCATTGTTCAATCTATTTCCATCATGGGAAAATCTGGTTCTGAAAATTTTCGCAAGATTAACCTAAAGAAAAAGGTATTTTGTTCCAGAGGTTTTAAGAAAACCAATGTAAGGCAATTTAAGAGAACAGCTTGGAAACAAAAGTTCAAAGGTAAAACCAATGTTTGTTATCTTTGCGGTGGAGAAGGACATTGGGCTAATGCTTGTCCGAATAAGGATCAAATGAGAGATGCTCTATCCGCTCACCAGCCCTTGAGTAATGATCCCGATGAATTGGATGGTATTTTGGACGATGATTTAGATTTTGCTTCAATGGTGTTACCCATTGTTTCACCCATTCTACCAGAAGATGGTGATTATACTGAAATTATTGACGAAGCTTTGGCAGAATTTGGATTTGAACAATTTAGACACTATCAACGTAAAACAATTGAAAGGATTTTACGTGGTCAGTCAACATTGTTAATCTCCAGTACTGGATCGGGTAAATCATTGTGCTACCAATTGCCCGCTTATGTTCAATGGAAACACAAGAAATATATTACTCTGGTTGTCTCACCATTAATCTCTTTGATGGAAGATCAACTTGTTAATTTACCCAAACCAATGTCGGCAGTTTGTCTCCATAGTGGACTTAAAATGGATAAAAAAGAGAGTAATCTAAATGCTTTAAGAAAAGGAACCGCTCAAGTTTTGTTCATCAGCCCAGAGTTTATCACTGGTGGTTCAAATTTCCGTGACCTTGCAACCCTTCCACTAATAGGATTTGCTTGTATCGATGAAGCTCATTGTTTATCCGAATGGTCTCACAATTTCAGACCTTCATACCTTCAACTGTATCGAGCTCTCGTTGATAAACTTAACATAAAAACCTTCTTGGCATTGACAGCAACAGCAACTTATGAAACGTGTGTACAGATCACGAAAAATCTTGGTATCACAAGGAATGATATTCTTGGTATAACCAAAATCCCTCCAAATCTTATCCTCTCTGTTTCAAGAGACACTGACAAAGATACTGCACTGATAGAGCTTTTGAAGAGTAAAAAAATGCGAAATTTGGAATCAATTATCGTCTATTGCACTCGACGAGATGATACCGTTCGATTGGCACAATATATTCGTACTAGTATGCAAAACATTAAATGTGACAAAAAATCTGATGGTTGGGACGCTAGACCTTATCATGCCGGTTTACCACCCGATGAGAAGAATCGAGTTCAAAATGGTTTTATCAAAGGAAAAGTTCGAGTTGTAGTGGCCACAATTGCTTTTGGAATGGGAATTAATAAATCAAATGTGCGAGCAATAATTCACTACAATTTACCGAAAAGCTTTGAAAGTTATGTTCAAGAAATCGGTCGTGCAGGTCGAGATGATTCTTTGGCATATTGTCACCTTTTCTTGGATCCATTGAAAAAAGATTTATTTGAATTGAAGCGATACATTTTCTCCAATAGTTGTGAACGAACTAGTGTCGAGAAATTGGTCCAGCGACTATTTAAAAAGTGTAAATGTGACACAATAGGTAACCAAGAAGAAGAAGATGACGACGATTCGATAAACGAAGCTGATTGTGATGAAAATATGGACAAAGAAAATTTAAATTCAAGCTCAAAGGTCAATTGTCCAGGACACGAAGTAGCAATTCCAATTGACGATTTAACTATGGATCTTGACATGAAGGAAGAAAATATTCTCACGTTGATCTCTTTCATTGAGCTTAATTATCCAGAGAAACAAATGACTCTTTTACCATCATCTTACTCACATTGTAAATTACTCTCTTACGTTGATGGTTTCAAGGGTTTAAATGAGATGAGTCGCCAATGTCCACCAGTCGCTGTTGCCATGGCATTACGACCAAATAAAAGTGAAGAGACAAATTTATTAGAATTTAATTACATTGAAATTGCCTCAATGTTGGGTATTCCATCAAGTGAGGTTCGCCGGCAGTTGCGATCATTGGAATGGATTCAACTTTCTGATGGTCGAAAAACTCGTGGAAAAGCAAGAATAGAATTAACTAAATTGTCTATTAGAGTAAAAGTTCCCGGTAATTTGAAACAATTTGAACTCGAGTCAATCATTCAATTTCTTTACAATTATGTCTCCTCACAAGAGCGTATTGAAATTAACCGATTAGATTTTATCTATGATACTTTTACCAAATTTTCACTTCCAACTTGTATCGATAAAATTGATCTGAAAAAAAGTAACCAACTCAAGGAAACGCTGAACAAATACTTTTCCCATGGATTCCAAGAAGGCGATTGTGTTTTCAATTTGAAGACAATCTTAAATCCAACTAATTCCAATCAAATTAAACCAACGGAGAAATTACAACCTTGTGACATTGATCAAATTCATCGGGATATTAGACATCTACTCAATATGCACCATGAATACAATTGGACTCCCAGAGCAGTGGCACGAATCCTTCAGGGAATTTCCAGTCCAAGATTTCCCGCTGAAATTTGGGGCAAAGCTTACCAATTCTGGAGAGCTCATGTTAACCTTGATTTTAACATATTATTTCAAATTGCCGATGAAGAGATTAAACGTATTGACGGAAAATGTTAGTCATTAATCATCTTGTTAAATCATGATAATTGCTACAATTATGATCATCATTTTCTATGTTTAATTTGTATATGATTGTGATGATTAATTATCGGCTTATTTATTACCTTGATTTGATTTGCTCACATAAGCACAAAAGTGAAAGAAAACATCATTGTAAATATTGGAACAATTTACTTTTCTCATCACCATCATGATTATAATTATTTGAATGTAAATCTTTTAATTAAACTGCAACTAAATCACTTTATCAACCAATCATATTAATTGTAGTAACTTACAATCAAATGAGTGGAAGAAAACAATTTTCATTCAAAGTTACCAGATTGTTGGCTTGATCGTTTTGTTGATTGGCAATCAGCCAAATTATGTTTCTTTCAATTTATAAATCCAGTTATCATGAGCTCGCAATTCAGTTGAACCATATTAATAACAAACTTATAAACATGGGATTGATTTTGTTTAGACAAAAATAAAGCCAATGAAAATTCAACCATGATCAGGGTATTAATAGTTATTCAAGTGCAGTTGATTGGTGCAAATTTTAAATCACCTTAATCACGATTAAAATTAATCCAACAATTTTCCAAGATTCAATGTTGATGACCCAATTTAATTAACGATTAACTGATCCAACCAACAGATTAAACCATCAACAAAATTTCATCACTTTAAATGTTAATCTCATATTAATAGATTGATCATTTTTTTTTCAACCCTAAATACTAATTGTTGTTCCCAACAATCAAAATGTCAACAGAAAATTAGTTTAACAATTTAAATCATTTGATTATCTTTTCGTATTTTCTTTTACCTGGTCAAGGTAATAAAAGTTGACAAAGATTTTCAATCAATTTTCGTTCAATTTGACGGTTTCATTTGATTACTTTGTGAATTTATTTACAGAATTTATTTAATCACCATTACGATTAACATAATTAAGGTTGGGTTAATCCAGTTTTGGATGTGAAATCATGTCACTTGTTAAGATATTGGCTTGTAACCTAATTGCTGTTACTATTTGAAATGAACGTTCACTTCATCTGTTCATTTTAATGTAAATGATATTTTCAGCCAAAAATATCACCACGGATACCATGAGATCTGCATGGGGATGATATTTGTTTCTTATTTTCACTCATCATCATCCTCTCATCATCGTCATCATCTTTGTCATCCTCATCCTCATCATCTGCGTCTGCATCATCATCTCTCATCCCCATGGTAAATGCACCAACATCCTAATCTTTTCACCAGTATTATTGTTATTTTGAGTCATTTTAATGACTTTCAATTGTTCAATTTTGTTTTTTGTTTTGATTTAAGTTTCAATTTTTCCTTCCACTATCGTTGAATTGATTATTTATTGTGATGTTTAAATTGTTCATCAATTTTGTGCCATCTTCATTGGATTAAAACCTCAACCACTTTCATCATCATAATCAAAGATTCAAGGTTCGTGGTTCTAACCAATTGCTCAGGTTTATATCGTTTATCGTGTGTTAATCAATGGATTAAGATTATTGCTGATGAAAAGCTTCCTGGTGGAGCGGAGACTCGAAGGATGTACATGGAAACGGTTTCGTCCTTTTCGAGTAAGTACCTTGATTCTGACATTCGAATTGTTTGTTTCAAAAAAATGTGTCGAAATGTTTTGCTTATTTGTTTGATCATTTTAATCTGATTGTTTATCATTTGATTGATTAGTATTCAAGTGCTTTCTTACAGTAGACAATTAGTATCATCAATGAGAGGATATAACTGATTCCTAAAGCACCCAAATAGTATAAAAATACAATCATTTTTTTGGTCATAAGAAATGCAGCGATCGCAGGGTGAATCGACTCACCGATTAGCGTAATCGATAAGATTATCGAGACTATTCTGGGTGTTATTATGATATAAGAATTTAGAACACCAAAAGAAGCGGCAAATATCGGTGAGATACCGATTCCAATGAGTGTGAACCCAATCCAGATACAAATTTCATTGTTATTCGCCCAAGGAACGGTAATTAAAAGGCCAGTCAGCGAGATGGTTAAACTAGTCGCTAACAATTTAGACTCTGAAATAATGAAAGTTAGTGGAATAAAAATGAGCCGATAAAATGAGAAACATGACCAGAAAACGGTCGCCAGTAAGACACCCGATTTTTTGTCCATGTGAAGGTCAGATTTTACCGAAAACGAAGTAGCCAATGAATCTATTGATATAATTAAGTTAAATGTTCAAATTGATGTTCATTCAAAGACTCGAGGTAAACTTACTGACAACAGTTTCCAAGCTATAAGCTGAGTGACCAACGATGGCTACCAAAGCAACGGCGATATATGATTTCCAGGTTAGGTCATTTGTCTGTTGAGGGTTTGCGTTAGCTAATTGGTCGTTTCGTTTAACTTGAATTTCAAGACTTTTTTTCCGTTCATTCAAATAAAAGTACATGAACGGTATCGATATAATGATCCCAATTAGGCCACAAATTAAAAACGCATAATGAACAGTAACATCAGCTGATTCATAATTTTGCTTCGAAAAGGTTGATTGAACATCAATTGAATTGACCATCGAACTGTTCATATTGAAACTTGTCTTTTCGTCATTCGATGGTAACAAAAATGGCCTCGTAATAACGGGTGAAATTAAAGCTCCAATACCACCGAATAGGAAAAGCACTTGTATAAAGTTGGCACATTTATCCTTCCAAATGATTGTGATTGAACTCGCACTCACTTAACATATTGAATCAATTAATCACAAAGCCCATTATTTGAGAGACAATCAGGTCACTTACGTATATCGGCTATCCCATAATTAATACCAGCAATTAAGATACAAATTGACATGTATTCAAATTTGACCAGAAAAGGTACAAGGCCGATAAATAGTCCTGAGAAAAAGTTGGTAATCGCCAAAACCAGAGACAATTTAAACTTCGATCCAATGATTCCAGCTTAGGAAATGAGCGAAAATTCAATTAAGTTAGTACTCATATCGAACAAAAAAAAACAATTAGATAAACATCGTTACCAATTAGTGACCCAGACACATGACCAACACTTCTGAACGTTACAAGTAACGATATTTTCGCGAAATCAGTATTCGCAAGTATCTGTAAGTCCAAAAGACTCGAACCAAGTAGAGCTGAAACACATCCGATCGAAAAGTAGGTCAAATAAACGGAAATTGTTTTAAAAAAGCTATAACGATTATCGATGAAGAATTTTAATTGTTTCATTGATCTCAATCAATTGAAAATAAATCAACACAATCTCTCACAGAAATTAAAACCAAATCAACAAATAGCGTTTGCCCGTTCAGTAAACTATCAATATGAAACTAATTGAAAATGTCTCGATACCAAATCAATTACTGATTAACCTAATTGCTGATTATCATCTTGCTTATGTATTTTATTGTTTCTTTGATACATTAACTTATCAACAATATTTGATTGTCTTTTATTACATTTATGTGCACAAGAAATGAGTGTTGATTGCTGATCAGTGAACGTGATTTAATGTTGATCAACCAATAATCAATTACCATAAATTCACATGTAACTGATTAGATTTAATAAGAATGTGAAAATGTACAACTTTTGATTAGCAATTAAACACAAATTCCCAATGATAGCGGTGAAGTTTGAATCGATTGACAATGAGGAAGATTAAATTGTGATGATAAATTGTCTAAATGTGAGCTGGTTTTATCATCTTGTTTACAATTTGCTCACAATTAAAAGTCTCTTACACAAATGAGAATTGTTATCATCAATTGATTGATAATAATAATCAACAGTTTTCATTCATTAATTGTTTTCACGTTTCTTTTTGTTTTCCCTCAAGAAAATCTGAACGATCTAATAAACGACATTGTTATCCAACGAAAAAAACTCGACTCAAGTACTTATCCTTTCTCGGCAGCAAATCTTAATCTTCTCCATAGGATTATCTTCATCATCTTCATCATTATCATCATTATCTTGAGAATTTTTCATCTTCAGTGTCCTCCTTTCAGTTACTCTTCTCTTCATCCAATTTCTGGCTTGTGACACTTTATTTCTTGTTGTTATTTTGTTCTCATCTCGTTTTTTTTTCTGTGCCTTCGAAAATATCTTTTGTGATCTGGTTCAACAATTAAAAAGAAAGCACAAAGAACTATGGATCGAGGTGAGGGAACAAGTTTATCTCTTAAAGCTAAATTAAAAGCCTCAGAGAAATTGGTAACTGAATTAACACAAGAAAATCAAGAGATCAAAAAGGAAGTGAAAATATTGGCACAAGAATTGGAAGAGCTTCATGATACCTTTCGAGAAGATCAAGTCTCTGAATTTCGAGATGTTAAACGAGAATTGGAGGCAACAACCAAGAATTGCCGAGTTTTACAATTTAAATTGAAGAAATCAGAGAGACTCAATGAACAATTGATGGCCGATAAAACGGTTCTAGAGAAAAAGATCAATGATCTTTTAGAAACTTCCAAGGTTTCATTTGATAAACAGCGAATGAGAGATTTGGAGAATGAGCTTTCGATCGCCAAAGAGGTTTCGCTTAAACTTCATTGTGAAATTAATGATGTTAAAAGTGAAAAGAATCGACTTGAATCGGCTTTGAATGAGGCTCGAAATGGATCTTCATCTATTCAATCGTCTTCACCATCAACTCAAGGAACAAGTTCAACATCAGCTAAAGACTATGAGGAAGCTGTTCGTAGTTTATGTGATACCATGGAAAGGGAGAAAGATTTACAGGAACAATTGAAATTTGCTGAAGAAGAGAATAGAACAATTAGGAAAAAATTATCCAATTTAGAGCAAGAAAATGATATATTGATGGCACAAATTAAGCGAATGGCAAATAAACAAAGATCTGGTGGCTGTAAAGACAAAGGAAACGAAGGTGGTAGAGGTTCAGGTGATGATGACAGTGATGAATTGAATGTGGATGAGATGAAATTACAGTTAGAATTTTATGAACAAGAGATTGCAATTCTGAGGAAGAAAAGTGATGAGATTGTTCAAGAGAATGATAATCTAAGTCAAGAAGTTAAATATCTACAAGAGAAGTTGGTCTCTCAGCCGTTAACCAAAGTCGAAATACCCGAGATTCCGCCGGGTTCACCTCCGAATGTAATTTATGAGCATAAGATTCGTATACTTGAAACCGAAGCCAGAGAATTGAGGAAGAAACTGGTTGACAGGGAAAAAGAGGTTGACAATTTGAGGACAGAAGTTGAGGTTCATCGACGAAAAGCATCCAAGGTAATGGTCAGAAGTCGTTCCCTTGAATCTGAGGCCGCAGTTGATTTGAAACGACAATTACAGTTAGTCGAACAAGAAGCTTCCATTTTAAGACAGAAAATCATCACCTTGGAAGGTGAGAATGAAAAATTGTCCGGAGAAAATAAGAGGTTACAGTTGAGAGTATCTAGAAGACCACCGCCAAGTCCAGTTGACCAATTGCAGATCGAAAATATTGAATTGAAAACCAGAATATCGGAACTTGAGAAACGATGTGATTCCTTTAAAGGTGAACTAGTGGCCTCTAAATCATCAACTAATTTGGCGACAATCATTCAAGACTTTAAGAAACCATTGAAAGATATTGCATCGGCTGAGAAGGACATTATCGCTGGACTGAGGAAGCAAATAACCGCCAAGGAGGACGAAGAGGTTCAATTGAAGCGTAAAATCGCAACTCTCGAGACCGAAGTTTCCAAATTGACAATGGACAATCGTAAGGTTAAGGAGCTTCTTAATTATAAGAAAACACCAATGAGAGTAGTTAAAGAATCAGCGACTCGACTCGAATTGAAAGAGATCTGTAGACAAATGGAAGACGAAATTAGTAAACTTCAGGTGACACTTAATTCAAAGGAAAAGATTAATGAGAATCTTGAAGAGGAACTGGCGGAGATTAAGAAGAGTCTTGAGATGGCACAGATCGAATTACGATCCAAAGAGAATAGGTATTCGTCGACATTGACACAATCGGAAGAATCATCAGCCCAATTAACGGACGAACTGGAAAAGGAAAGGGAGAAGGTGAAGAATCTTGAAGAAAAGTTAGATTTACTTTCTAAGAATAAATCGGATGTTACATTTGTGAACAAAGTACAGTCTCTGGAAGGAGAAAAGAAACAATTACTCAAGAATATATGTAACATTGAATCAGAACTTTTGAAAGAAAAGAGTAAATCAAACGAATCGAAGGATAAATTGTCTACTATTACCAGAGAGAAAAGAGAAGCTCTTGAAAATGGAAGAAAATTGGAAGAGGAAAAGAAAAAGATTGAAAAAGAATTGGTTGACGTAAAGAACAAATTAAATCAAGTTCAAAAGGAATTGAATGGATTAGTGAAACAATTAGAAACTAAACAAGAACAATTTGTTAGAGTGAAAGATGAAGCTGATCAGCTAAAAGAACAGGTAAGTTCGAGAACAATTTTGATCAAAAATCGATTTTCTAATTGTCTTTGTGTTCAATTCCATAGCTGGACGAGGAGAGACGAAGTACCAGTTTCACTGTATCACTAAAACCGAAAGCTACTAAACCAACGAAAGAATCGAGTGAATCTGAAGGTCTAATCAAACATATCGCTGATTTAGAATCAAAGAACTCGACTTTAGAAAGAGATTTGGAAAGGTTAATCAGAGAGACTCGAGCCAAGGAATCGTCGATTCGTAAAGAATTGGACAAGCAAATTGATTCTCTAAATGAAGAGTGTAAACACGCCAAGGAAGAATTGGAATCAATCAAAAGTGAAAATGTTAACCTTAAATCGAAGGTCCATCAACTCAATCAACAGATCGAAAAGTTAACGGACGAAGGGAAAGAATCTTCAGAGAAACATCGTAAATTATTGATATCGAGTAAGAAGGAGAAAGATGATCTCATGTCAAGATTATCTGATCAAGAATCACAATTAAGATTGGAACAGAGGAGAAGAGAAAAGGTCGAAAAAGAAAATGATTTAATGCTCAAAAATAAAGAGGAAAATCTCCTACAAGCTCGTGAGAGGATCTATCGTCTTGAGCGGGAACTTAAACGAATGGAAATTCTGTCGGAACAAGAAAGACGAGATAACGAGATAAAAATTTCCAATTTAAATCGTGAAGTGGTCAAGGCCAAACAAGAATATGACGATTTAACCTCAAGATATGAAGTTCTGGAGCAAGAATTTGTTTCCATGAAATCTAAACTTCTCAATGAGAAGGACAATTTAATGGACACATTGAACAGTATTAAGCGTTCATTTGAGGATAAATCGAGTGAACTGAAAGCATTCAAGGATTCGATGAACTCGAAACAAGAGGATTGGATCAAAGAGAAGCTTAACTATCAAGAGAAATTATCAGAATTAGAATTGAGAATGAGAAAGGGAACTGATGGTGATTCGGAGAGATCGAAATTACGAGTCACATTGAATGAAAAAGAAAAACAATTAGACGAATACATGAAGAAAGAGAAAGAATTGAACAAAGAAAATCAACGACTGAAAGAACAGTTAACTGAACCAAGCGAATCAGAATCAAGAAGAGGTTCAACTGGTCTAGTTAATCGAACCAAAATATCGAAGGAGGTTCAAGCCATGAAAAATAAGATGGATCATGCGGAGACCTCACATCGTGGGGAAGTCGCTGCTCTCAGAGCTGAATACGAGGCTCGAATGAAGTTGATGAGAGATGAAATAACGCTCTTATTGAGTGAACGAGACCAATTAAGAGCAAGAGCTTTTCTTGGTGGTTCGTCCGCTCACAAAGACGAGATGGAAGACATGAGAGCTTCGATGGAAACACTCAGATCGCACTTGGAACAAGCTTTACTTGAGAATCGTAACCTCAAGATTGAACATGCGGCTGAAAAATCTTCTTGGCAAATTCAATTGGCTGAACTGAAGACTCGTCTCAATCAGGCTGATGAACAAAGTCTCATGGAAATGAGTCGGGGTTCAACTCGAAATTATGCAAAAACTAGATTGGAATTGGCCTGGGAAAGAGAGACAAGAGAATCAGAAATTACTCAATGATACTCAGCGATTAGTTGAAGATATGAGAAAACGAGTGATCGCTTTGGAAATCGCCAGAGAAAAGGAAAGAACCGAAGCAAGGGAACAATTGAAAGAGATGAAAGTTATCATGGATAAAGAGCAAGAAGATACACAGAAGAGAATTGGTGAGCTTCAATTAGATCTGATTGACCTTCGGGATTCTCACGCTCGAATGAGATCTCAAAATGACCGATTGAAACGTGAACGTTTAGCTCTGGAAAAGGAACGAGAAGAATACAAGCTAAGAATGTTCACCGCAATTTCGATTGAAAACAAAGTTAATGATCTTTGTCACGCTTATGGGGCGATAATGAAAATGTTACCACCGACTGATCCATTAAATGAATCTGAGGAGAAAGCGACGAGCAACAACGATGGATCGACCACCTCGACAACTGAGACATCGAGTGCCATTGGGCTTCAAAGAAGACGATCCAGAAAGCGACCTATTGAGGTGAATATGGAGGAGCTTAGAAAAGCGTTAGAAGATTTCAAGACAAAAATCGACGAACTGAGTAAAATAACCGTTTTCCGTGAAGGTGATCCTTTCCACCGAACAATCTCTTTCCGTCGAGCCATGTCCTCTTCCGACATGAATCCAGATCTTAATCCATATGCAGTTCGTGGTCTGTCTTCTACCTCAGTTGTTCGAGCTCCCCCTCGACCCAAGGCTCTAGCCAAGAAAAGTTTATCCCTTGACCAAACGATGGGTGCCAATGGGTCACAGGAAAGAATATGGGATTCGGGAGATGAGAGTTTGAACACTACTCCAGGTTCTAGTATGACTAACCTTCGATATCCGAGTGTGGCCTTTTACGCTCACAGAAATGGATGTAGTTCAATCTCTGGATATGAATCCGAATCATCTTATGGTCCAGATTCTTCTCGATGGACGCGAGAAGGAAGCTATGGATCTGATGTGTCCGCTCCGGCAGTGATCACTTCTAACTCAAGTCGACCAAAGAAATCGATCTTTGGATTACTCAAGAAAACCCACTCCATTGATAATACAGCAACAGGTTCCACAAGTGACGCTGGGCGAGAAAGTCGGGATAAGAAAGAGTCCAGTCTTAGGTCCAAGATATCGAAAACATTGAAGAAAACTTTAAGCCGAAGCAGTTCAAGTTTAACCAAAGAATCTAAAGATTCAACACACGAGAACGAGCCCGTTTCTGGCCTGCGATCGTTAACATCCAGAACTGATGGAGCATCAGCATTGCCATATCGACGAGCTAATAGTAGCACTCTTGGTCCAACCGTTAAACCACCATTGGCACATGATGTAAGTTAAATTATCGAAATGTACAAACTCGAAAAACAGAATCTAACCGATTGGTTTTTCTTTCTCTTCCCAACTAATAGGTCTCTTCTACAAGTCGTGGTTTACCTCGTCGCGAGAATCCATCGGAAATAAACAACATTCGATCAAGTTTACGAAGTGTCAACTCACTATCACGAAGTACGAGAGTTTAATAAACTTAATTTCGAACTACAATCAACTAGTCCAAGGAAAAGATACTAAAATGTACAATCACCTTCGAAGTCATTAATGGACAAAAAATCAAAAGAAATGAGCTCAACCATCATAATCAACTCGATTCATATCATTGTCATAATTAATCAACTATTTTCTTCCCATTGTAAATTAATAACTTTCCTATGATCATTCAAAGCTTAAATCCCATGAAAGTGCTGAAAATTTCATCGTTTTTTTTGTAAATTTGATGAAACCAAATGAAAACCTCTTTAAATTGTTATGATAAAAAAATGCTTTAAAATGATAAACTTTTTTTGTTCATGTTCATCACCAATTCCGTTAATCACAATCATCATTTATCATCAACCGTTTATCATGAAATCTAATTAAATCATTATCCTTGATTATAGTTAAATCCCATTTTTCACAAGAAAAATTTTATGTTTATTAGTCAAAAACCACGATTGTTATTTAATACACAATTAGATTAAGAAAATATCTCAAACAATCAAGAAAAAATTGAAAATAAATTGCATTTAAATGCTCTCTTTTGATTAAAATCTAAATTGTGAATTTCATTTCAATTGATTTCATGGAAGATGAGAAAATCCAATCACCATGAAACTTGTGAGTAAAGTTGCCAAAACATATTAAGGAATTCATATTGATACAAAAACAATGAACAAACAACTCGCTAATTGTTACAATTAATTTTACTCATCAATTGCTCTTATGGAGGTGAAATATTATCATTTCAAATAAACTGAATTCTTAATTGTTATAAGAATTAAAAATAAAACATATGAGCCTCAATTGTCCTTGGAATCTTTGTATTAATCTGAATACATATTATTCACTTGTGAGATTTAGATCAGGGTTGAAATGGTGATTAATGTACTAGAATGAAATTGTTAATCTAAAAATAACAATTTACTAATCATTCCATAAGGTTTAATCACTTCTACCACCCTCAATGATTATTCATCCAGAGAGTTAATGAATCATCTTCATCTTAATCTTGCCAAAGGTGTTAAGGATTATCTAGATTATGAAGGAGGATTAAGGCGTCAACTCGGATTTATGATAATCGAGATGAGGTTCAGGTTATTTTGTTTTTGTTTCCATCTCAGTGGTAAACAAAATATTATAATTTCCAAGATGATAACAATTTGGACTAATTTAGCTTCAGAAAATCAGAGAAAATTAATCACCAAAGTTAATTTTAATTGTCATTTGTTGTTGTGTTTAAGTTGCGTCAAACTTTTAGTCTCTTACATTAATTCAGTATATAAGCTTGGAAATTTAATAACATCGTATCAGTTGATTGAATTTGATTGTTGACTAAACTCTACTGAATTTAAATTAAGTTAATTGTTACTTTAACTGTGATTATCTAATCATCTTCATTATGGCTAATCGAGGTGCTTGCTATGGATCTGCTGCTCAAGTTCAATGTAAAGTAAGTGCCGAGCTAATCACAATTTAGATTGTTATTAATTTTCTCTAGTGTTTGTGGATTATGATCAATCATTTGGTAAATTTGATTTTCTTTACAATTAGTTGACCAATAAACGTGATAATGAACTGGAATCAGAAATTCTCATGTGGATGTCCGATATAATTGGTGAACCTTTACCTCAGGGTGAAATTGGTGATGTCCTTCGTAATGGTGTTTATCTTTGCAAGTAAATTTCTTTGACCAGATTGATTGTTACAATTAACTGATTTGGAAAATTTTTCTCATTCAAAATTTAGACTAATGAACCGATTAGATCCAAGTACATGTACTAAAATCAATGTGACCAATGCTCCATTTAAAATAATGGAAAACATTGACCACTTTCTGAGAGCAGCTCGTAAATATGGAGTAGCCGAAATTGACCTTTTCCAATCGGTTGACTTAGTAGAGAAACGGAATATTCCCTGTGTGGTTCAGTGCATCATGGCCTTAGGTCGATGTGTAAGTATCCAAGCAACAACCGAACAAACAAATCAAACAAATAATCGACATTTTCCTCTTTTCGTGTTACATTTTCTTTACAGGGTTACCTACACCCCGAGTTTCGAGGACCCTATTTAGGACCTAAACCCGCTGAGGAGTCTCGAAGAGAGTTCAGTGAGGAAACAATTAACGCCGGTAAAACTGTTATCAACCTACAGTATGGTTCCAATAAAGGTGCTACTCAACAAGGTCTAAATTTTGGTAATTTCCGACACATGTAATGACACAATTAACTTTTTTCCTTTTCTCATTTCATTGTAATCATAATACAGCCAAAGACTTTGAGTTTGCAACCACTTTTTAAATCATCCACGAAGTCAATGATATGCAAATAAAGATAACTTTTGATATCCAATCAGTTGACCATTTTAAGACTACACCAATTAAATTAGTGGACAGACTTATCATCATATCTTTGGGTTAACTGTATCTCTCATTGATTATATTCAACTGCGTTAATGATTTAGAAAGTGGTTGCAAACTCAAAGTCTTTGGCTGTATAATTGTGAAAAAAGAGTTAAATTATTTCTCATAACCTCAACAATTAACTTTCTGTATCAATGTGATATTGTATCAACCAATTAATTGTAATTAAAAGTTAAACATCGAACCAAAAGATTAACTTTTTTTCGCGAGAAAAAAAAATTGAACACATCGTTGGGTTATCGATGGTGTTACTGATATTTAGAGTTGATTGTGTTGATTTTAATGATGAATTTGATGATTGTGTTTATTGGAAATCAGCCAAATTATGTTTTCTTGTTGATAATCAAGGAAAAATTTTCTAAATTCATGTTGATTATCCTGAGCTCGCAAATCATTTCAACCATACACATCAACTTATAATAAACTTAAAGGGATTGATTTCTGGTTCCTTGTATATTTAGCCAATGAGCACCTCAACTAATTCATTTACTAAATTATTAATAACTACTAACTGAATATTTTAAACTTAATTACAATCAGAAGAACCCAGAATCTTGGTGACCCATTTTTTGTTGTTGTTTTTCATCCCACAAAATTTGGTTACTGTTACTAATTTAGTTGTGGTCTTGATGAATATGAAATCTGAGTGATGAAAGATTCAGATTTATTCAGATTTCTATCATCATTATCATCATGGTTACGATGAATATATTCATTAGTATGCCAAAAATTTGCCACCAATTTTTTACCAATTCAAGTTATAATTCAACTATTGATGATCAACTAAAATGACTCCATGATGATCAATTGAATCAACAATCAGTTCAATGTTAATCTATCATCAAATTGTCCCATCAAAGTTGAAAACCATCAATAGATGAGTTGAATCAATTTCTCAATTCCTAATGATTTTTCATTCATTGATTGCCATCAACTTTATATTACAATTAAACTGGTGTATATTAACATTAGCTTTCGATGATGAGGGAAAAAAAGTTCAATGTTTATGTACAATTAAAATCAAAGCGGATTCATGATGATTTTGAGGCGTAAATTTATTTACAGAATTTACAATTACCACTGATTATGATTAACATATATTAAGGTTGGGTTAATCTTGTTTTGGAAGTGAAATCATGTCACTTGTTAAGATATTGGCTTGTAACCTAATTGCTGTTACTATTTGAAATCAGTAGCAGTTAGTTAATATTAACCCATGTAAATGATATTTTCAGCCAAAAATATCCCACCCTCGCCCCAACCACCACAGAGACAGTGTGTATGTGTATGTGTATGTGTATGGTGGGTAAACTTTGGTGGGAGGGACGAGTCATGATAATCAAGATTAAACAAGTTACGACTGAGTTTTTTTACTCCAAGTTAACTCAAAGTGGCTCATATTAACTTTTCTCTGTGTCTTGATTGTTGTTCATTAAATCAAATCAACTTATCACAATCAGTTTGAAATTAGCTATTCAACACACACAGTCAATTGTTGTTAATCATCTTAATCGTATCTCAATTTAGTTATTGAAAATGTCTCTTGCTGCTCAAGTCTCCGCTAAGGTAAGTTAATCAAATTTGACAAAAAAAACGTTCCATTATCTAATCTAATCAACGTATCCGTGTTGATTTAATTGTTTGTATTGTTCAGGGTCTGTTAGTTTAATTGCACACGACAACTAATTGTCATCATGATAATCATTTAAGTTCCAACCTACAATCACATCATCATCATCATCATTCTTAGTCTTCATTATCATCGTAAAGTTTTTCTCCATCTTAATCTTAATCCTAATTTCGATTGAGCGATTTTAATTGTTCTATTGCCTTTGTAAAAACTTTTTTAGTTGTGATGCTTCAACTAATCATCGATTAGTTTAATCATTGGATTAACTTTTTCTCGGTTTAATTGTTTAATTGAATCAACAGCTCGCTGGTAAACGAGATACCCAATTGGAATCAGAAATCCTTCAATGGATCGCGGCCATTGTTGGCGAACCTCTTCCCGCTGGGTCATTCGAGGATGTACTCAAAGACGGAATCATCCTTTGCAAGTAAGTAGTAAATTGTCACAATTAATTGATCATGTTAGTAATTAGCTTATAGTAGACTATCAACATCGTAGTTAAATCTCTGCCATTCGAGTTAATTGAATGTTTTTTTCCGTCTATTAAAAGATGATGATTCTTGGCTCGTATTTTATTATTCATTAGTTGCCAATTTGCTGTCGATGTTTGTTGTTTATTTTTGATCGATTTCTATGATTGTGTTTATTGATTGTCGATTTTTTTTCTATCTAATAGATTGATGAACAAACTTGCACCAGGATCATGTAAGAAAATCGCAACTTCTGGACCAAGTTTCAAATTGATGGAAAACATCAATACCTTTCAAACAGCAGCTCGAAACTATGGAGTACCCGAGATCGATGTTTTCCAAACTGTCGATTTGTTTGAGAAGCGAAACATCCCTCAAGTCACCCAATGTCTTTTAGCTTTAGGAAGAACTGTAAGTTTTAACTTTGGTCCAAAAAAATAGTTCGAAGATAATTTGATCGTTTACTGATTTTCCATCTCTTCTCATAGTGTTACCTTCACTCCGACTTCAATGGACCTTATTTAGGACCTAAGCCCTCGGAAGAGTGCAAACGGGACTTCAGTGAAGAGCAACTCCGTGCCAGTGATGGAATCATTAGTTTGCAATATGGTTCAAACAAAGGTGCCAATCAAAGTGGACAGAACTTTGGTAATTCAAGGCACATGTAAATGAAGATGAGCAACACAATTAAAGTTAATTAGTCTCATCTAAAAGTAACCAAAAATGCAGCTAAATCCCAAAGAATCAAATTAAAATCCTAATTCATCAACTCTTTTTTTTCTGAAATCGATACTTTGATTTCTGAAATGACCTCTGGCCTTTTCTTAAAGTAAATCAAATTGTTTGATTGCCAATAGATGAGTTAATATCCATTATTGAATATCATTAAACCAGAAACGTTGATTCTCAATGATTTCTGTGAATCTTGCTGATTGATTGATTGATTGATTGATTGTTTGACTTTGAATTGAATTAAAGATAAAACTAAAATAAACAACCAACCGTTATAATCTTAAATCATTTCAAGCCAAGTATCATTCTTGGTTACAATTAATTATTATTAACGAACCCTTTTCACCAATTAAAAGTAACATTCACCTTCAATTTGTGGTGATCAATCATTAGTCGATTACTGATTACAATTGTAATTAACAAACGATTATTTCTCAAATCATGTTGAATTTTGGTTAAGGAAAATGTCACCGATTTTCAGGTTCATATTCAGATCAGATTCTGGAAATGATTCAATTTTTCTTCTCCTCCATGAGTCTTTATTGTACAGAACGATTGAGTTAATTGTACATTGGTATGAAAATGTAACTCTATTGATTGATTAGTTTAATTATCTTTTCAAAAATAACATTTTCTCCTTGTATCTTGAATCCATGAAACATGAGATGAACAATTTCAACGCAATTGCGAAAGGATCTTTCGGTTTCATTTTAGATAAAATTTTACTTGTAACCGATTCATCTGAGGTGAAAACAGGAATTAAAATTGATTTAAGCAATTCAACTGATTCTTCACTCAAATCACTGAATTGGAAGGTTTTTAAAACGGTAATTGGAATAGCGTCAAGTTTCAATAGTTCAACGATTAACTTTGATAAGTTACTTTTCTCAATGGACGATAAACGGTCCAGTTCATTGAGACGATCTCGAAGTGAATAGAGTAAAGATAATTTAAATTTACGATCACAACAGGTTAATTGTTTGAACAGGTAAATGTAAAATGGATTAAACTTTTTCTCCTTCAAAGCGACAAGGAGACAAACGTTGATTACTTCGGAAAATTGTTTACCTCCAACTTTCACCAATCTATGGGTACATTCAATGTAATCTTCACAATTAAGCAACGATTTAAGAATTAATTTACGAAGAGGTGTAACTAATCGTAGCTTGGAACATAACTTTTCACATAAATCGGGTTCGGAGGATTTTCCATCTGATTCTTGACTTTCTTGTGTTGAAGGTGTTGATTGAGTTACTTTCGATGTTGATGATGATTGTGATTCTTTGTCGATTTCAGACTTTGAAGATGATTCCAATAGTAATCCACCATTAATCCACCAACGATTACCTTGAATTACTTCATTGTATCTTCCAGGAATACAAGAGACCGAAGTCTTGGTTCTTAATCCATTCTTAATTGTGGTACGAAGGGTTGTAGTGTCAATTGAAGAAATTGGATTATCTTCGTTTAAACTGTTCAATTTGTTTACATTGTTATTCTTAATTGCTGCTAATGCTTCAAGCATGAAAACAATTCGCTTGTCTTGAGTTTCATATTGAGCTGCATGAGATTGAATATCGAGAATCATTTTCTTCAATTTAACTGGATCACCTCGACGAAGGATAAACCCGATCATTTTCAGAGTGGTCAAAATTACTTGGATACATTTAGCATTGAATCGGTTGGTCAGTTTTTCCATGATATCATATATAAGGTTTGAATCGATAATACCAGTTGCATGTAAATAGCAAAGGAAGGCAACCAAATTATCAATTATTTTAGATTCTTCATCTTCCTTACTATCAGTTAATTGGTTTAACATGATGTCCAATTGTTTGATAAATTGATGGATTATATGTCCACCGATTTCATCGCCAACATTAGTATTGAGAACAGCGATTAACATGGCATATTCACTGATTAATCTCTGAGGGGTTAGAAAGGCTTCTTGGATTAGTTGATTGTTGATACATTTCGTTAAACATAATGTGACCTGAAATAAACTATAATCTTTGAGTATTTCTTCAATACTTGAAGAGATTGTCATCAAATTAGAAGATGATAAACGATTCAAAAGGCCACGGACTCTTTTCATTGCTCTTTCATCGATCTCCTCATTGGAAAACGTTTCGAATTTTATTTTCGGCTTTTCCATTTTGATGATGTTTCCTTTTCTATCTTTTAATCTTCCATAAATATCTTCTTTCAGTTCATTACTTTCCTCTTCACTTTTTTCTTCATCTTGACTTTCTTCCTCTTCCATAGAGTCCATTCCATCATCACTGTCCATTTTTTCTTCATCTTCCTCAGAGAAATCATCTTCTTCCACTGGTTCTTTTTGAAACTTCTTTCTCTTCTTTGAACGATCCTCTGATCCTTTTTCTTCTGGTTCCTTTTTCTCAACTTGATCAATAATCGACCAAACATCACTTAAACCGAATTCATCAAAACACCGAGCGGTAGCATTTTTCTTCTTCTTGAATCCTAATTTTTTCTCCAATTTTCTAATTGTTTCATTATCTTGGTCAATACCATCTCGAAGTGAGGCCATCCTTGGATTCACGGAAGATAAATTGCCTGAGATTTAAAACGTTTCTGCTTTCGGCCCATTTCAATGTGATAATCCAACAAAACCTAAAACAAAGGAAAACAAAACAACAATCAGTACACAATTAGTACACAAAAAGATACGAAACTTACCCTTGACAATTAACAGATACAAAATACTAAACAAAACTAAATTAATTCACAAATTGATCAAGAAATTAAATGTAACAATTTGATTGAAACCAAAACAAAAACTCAACGTGAGTGAAAATCATATGATTCCGTTGCTAGGTAACCAAAATCATGTGTTTACTTTTTTGAATTTTTTTTCCAATGTTTTTGTTTACTTTTTGTTTAATTGTCTTTAATTGCTGTTGTCTTTTTGTTTTGTTAATTAACTGATTAGATGAATTTTTATTTTGCTTATGTTATTTATGTTTTTCTCTGTGGTCTCCTGTTGGTTCTTCATTGGGATGTGAAAGTTGGTGAAGATGAAACAAAAGGTTGGTTTGAATCTTCAACTCTAATTGTTATCGCTCATCCTGACGATGAGACAATGTTTTTTGGTCCATTACTGGTCAGTCTGATCTCAAATAGTCCTGATAAGATATTCATCTTGTGCTTGACCTCTGGTGATTTCTATGGTCTAGGTGCTATCCGTTCAATAGAGTTGATTACTGCTGTCCAGCAAATCGGTCTACCAAAAGTTAACCTTTTCTTGACTGACCAATTTAGAGATGGTTTTGATCAACATTGGAATTCAAGTTTAATCTCTTTGATTGTGGAAGAGAAGATTAGAAATCATAACATTACTCATGTAATTACATTCGATGAATTTGGAGTTAGTCATCATCCTAATCACAGAGATACACATTCATTTATTAAGGTTTTCTCTTCATCGTCAGGTCAACTTGCGACCTCAGTTAAATTTTTTCTCCTTGAAAGTGTTTCCCTTCATAGGAAATATTTATCATTTTTGGATATTCCAATTTCATTAATCGATATTGAAATTAATGATTGGCTATCGAACCACAAATATCCCAATCAGAGGAAATGGTTTTTCGGCCTAACACCTTCAAAGTATCTCAAGTTGGTTCGAGCTCTTTATGCCCATGAAAGTCAAATGGTCTGGTTTCGAAAAGTTTACTCGATATTATCAAGATACATGTTCATGAATACCCTGACTGATTACAATAGATGACGATAATAAATTATCAAAGACATTCTGCTTGGATAATTAACTTAATGTGGTTGTAAATTATTTATTACATTTTCACTTCGAGATTGTCTCAATGAATTAACGTTACAACTGGACCAACTGAAACTCGACTCTATCTCCATTGAAGTTTCTAAAAATCTACCGCTGATTTTGTGGATGATTATAATTAGAAGGCTTCGTTATCTTTGTAATGTTAAAAATTAGTTAATTGCACAACTTCTTACTTCCATTGATGAATAAATCTATTGGAAATCAAAAAGAAAGTTAAAGGATTCAATCAATTTTAACACTTTTATGAATATTTTTTATTTTGAATAAAGTAAATGATTGATTGTCAGAGATTAAATGATTGACCATTTCATACAATTACTTGGATACATGTTCGATTAACTTAAATGGTGCAGAAAATATTGATTAAATTACGAAACTTTTGAAACGTGCTTTTGATGATTATGTTTGAAATTTCGATTTCAAATCCATTAGCGTGGGTAGAGACACAATTAGTGTGAGTGCGAATGTAGATATTGACGTTATGAAGTTCGGAGTAATAACGAACAGACCTGCGAAAGTAAATCCGATGTCCTGTTTGGACATACGATAAATGAATAGATTAACCTGAAGATGGGCGATGAAAAGATTAGTAATCAATTAGATTAGTGTATTAACAAATTGTTATTTTTATTTACCTTTTTCTTGACCAATTCACTTTGACATTTGTATGAATAATCATTTAAATCCTCTAATCGCTCATACGAAAGCTTATTAACCACAATCAAGTTAATTGCTACGTAAAAATGAGCACTGAATTAACACTCAGATAAATTATTTCCACAGTGACATTTTCTTTTGCGATTAATATTTTAAGCGAATCAGCGACAACATAAAGAGTATAAGATAGAAACCAGAAGGTCAAATATCGTCGAAGGAACCTTTCGCTGAACTTTACCGCTCGAATCAATATGCTGTAAAACCTTCGACATTTTTCCAGTTCATCGTGGAATAGATTCTCGTTCGATATATCCAGGCTACTCATTCGAGAATTGAACAAGATGAAACCCGCTTGGAGATAGATGCTCATTTCAATGGCTATATAAAGTACTAAATACTCAGCAATTATAACGATATTACCAAGAACAACGTATATCCAATCTTGACTCATCCACTGTGATCTCAAGAAGCCAAAGGTTAACAGTAAAGACCAGAACAAGTACATTAGTGCTATGACTATCGATCTATTTTTTCGCCTTCTGTCGATGAGATTAACGATATCTTCTTTGTTCTCTAGTCTTAGTATCCTTAGAATTTCATTGAAATTAATGAGCATTTTCCATGGAAATGAACAAAGCATCAATGCATGAAATGTGTTGACAACAATAAAGAAAACTAAGAAGATGCATCCAGCTCGAGACAACTTAATCGCTTGATAACAATTGAAAATCACTCTGAATATTAGACTTCCAGAATAAATAAACGCCCCGAACGATAATATTGTAACGATGGTTTTAATTACTTTTGGCTTTGATATGATACTCTTATTGATGATTGGCTGTCGTTCATTTAAACGCAGCATTTTCACCTCAAACTCAAAGATAATAAAATGATTTGAATTTTCTTTCATTCAAACCAATTGATCTGATTCAGGGAGATTTCATTTCTTTGGGAACTATTAATTGATATATTTTCGTTTAATTCTCGTCCAGTCGCATGATTATCATCAATATCTCTGTATGATTGTTCAATTTCAAAGGCTGCTATTTGATTGATGGCAGAATCGCAGTCAATTTTAATCAATCATCAGATTTTCTCCACGTAGATTAAAATTTAAAATTAAGGCTCCTAGTGAGAATTAAAATAAAAAGTGTAAGCAATTTAATTAAATCGTCATCTCCTTACCACAATTTAAGGTAAGATAATTTACCATTTCTAACTGCAACACCTTCTAGATTTAAAGATTGTCCATCATAATCAATCCTTGATTACTTAATCAATTACTTTATAATATTTTACTTTTACGACCTTAACCGTAGATGCATCTATTTGATAGGACTACAATAATCAATAGTTAAATGACATGAAATTAAACAGATCTTAAGATTTTTTTGCGTCAGGCGATTCGCTTAAGCCAAGTACCTGTTTCGACATTCAAATCCACTTTTCTCTAATCAAAAACACGACTGAAGCAAAAAAGACACTTGAAAGGTAATAGGTAACTTGAAAGAAATTACAAATTTTGAAAATTCTGATTAGTTTAAAATCAATTTATTGGACCCTGTGCTTGATTAGATACTTTTAATGTTGACAATTATGTTTACGATTTCGATTTCAAATCTATTAATGTGGGTAGAGATACAATTAGTGTTAGTATGAACGTGAATATTGATGTGATGAAGTTCGGTGTGATAACGAATAGACCTGCAAAGTAAATCCGATGTCCTGTTTGGACATACGATAAATGAATAGATTAACCTGGAGATGAACAATGAAAAGATTAGTAATCAATTAGATTAGTGTATTAACAAATTATTATTTTTATTTACCTTTTTCTTGACCAATTCACTTTGACATTTGTATGAATAATCATTTAAATCCTCTAATCGCTCATACGAAAGCTTGTTAACCGCAATTAAATTGTTTGTAATGTAAAGAACTACAATTATATTGAATGCTAAATAGAACATTTCGATTTGAATTTTACCGGCCAATATAAAGATTTTAATTGCATCACCGAAACCTTGAATGACAAATTGGATATAAAATAGTATCAGATATTTTCGAAAAAACTTTTCAACAAGTTGTGTCATGCGAATCAATGAACTGTACATTTTACGCCATTTTTCCAGCTCATTATAAAAAAGAACTTCATCTAATCGGCTCAAATCAGGTATTCTATTATTGAACAACATGAAAGCTCCTTGTAGGTAAATGCTCATCTCAATAAGGAAACTATTCAATAGAAAATCATGGGCAAAACAATATTACCAAAGAATACTAATAATGAAGGAAACTCAATTTCCATGGTAATTGATTGGGTAAATCTAAAATGATTGAAGAACACTACTAATGAAATATACAGAATTGCAAGGAAAAATGTTTTGAACTTTATTCTTTTTCGAACATAATTCGCAAGTCCTTCATCTTCTTCTAATCGTAGATTTCCGAAAATCTCAATGAATTTCTTCATGTATTCCCATGAAAATGAATAAACTATCCAAGCTTTCGCAGCGATCGCAACAACGGTAGAAATCATCAAATAACAACGGAACTTTATCAATTTTTCTTCATAGTAACAATCGAACATTATTTTCGATGAAAACATCACGATAAACGGTAACAGTCCAAAAGTTAACGATAAAAGTACAATTCTGATCACTTTAGTCTTTGAAAAAATACTTTCGCTAATCAAGTTTCTATCATACAGATGATCCATAATTTTATCAATATAATTTACACTACAAAGAATTATGGTTCAACTAATTCCAATATCAAGGTTGAATATAATAATAATTGATTCTCAGAAGATCTGATTGCTGTTATGAATAACATATTGGTTAATTGCTGATATCATGTTGACCACGATCGGTTTTTGTAAACAATCAATAAATTTCAGGTGAATAAGTTTAAGAACAAGTTTAATCATCATTTTATGATTGAATGATCAGAGATAGAGTTCAAATTGAATCTACACAATTGTTACAAAAGTTTGACAATTTAAACGTCAAAATTACCTTGATTGATCATGTTAAGAATTGAATCTCGATAATTAAGAAGAGGTAGAGATTTGATTGTTGTTTTGTTCGGATAAAGTTGAAAGATGACAATAAGAAATAATTAATCAAACCAGCTGATTGTTGGAAATAATAAAAAATTGAAAAGTTAGAAATTAACTCAACGGATAATTAAGAAAGCAGTTTAGGCTACTTTAGATATTTTAAGCTCTTCGATTGGAGATTCTTGGCCATTTTGACGAGACAAATAATTCCATAAGATCTGAGGAATACGATAACCATTAGATAATTGATGTTGATCATTTTTCTCAGAATTTTCTTCATCCGAATCATTTCGATTTTTTTTCTTCTTTTTCTTTAAACTTTTCTTTGACTTTCGCCTTTTCGCCAATAATTGACCAGCAATTGATTTCGAATCTTCTCCATGATCATCCTTGAATCGTTTCTTCCAGCCTTTATCCCGAAGTAGATCATGTTTCTCCTGAGTATCTCCCCATTCCTCTTTATGGTATAAATTTTTCCATCCATGTTTCTTATGACCTTTGTCTTCAACCCAATCGATAGCAGTTAGTTCACCATCTTTGTTTCTAACAATTCTCTTGACAATCAATCTACCTGGTTTTTTACTTCTAACAACAGTAGTCTTTTCTTTATCGGAATCAGAATCAGAATCAGAATCATCACCTTCAGGTTCCTCTTCGGCTTCAACATTTCCACTTTTAAGAGTTGAAAAGGTTGTCTCACCTTCGTCACTTTCGTCACCTTCATCGCCATCACGATATATCAGAACTGCTCCTTTAGGTAATTGTTGACCTAATTTACCATCAACAATTGTTGATCCTTGATTCTTTTTACTCTTGATAACTTTAACTATCTCTCCGCCATCATTAAGATTTTCTGATTGTCCATCATGTATACCAAACGAATGTAATACCTGTCTAGCAATCGAACTGCCGATATCACCGTCTAACGGGATAAACTGTGGTCTTTGATTATCACCGGATTGAAATAAATTTCCAACATTCGATAAATCAATTGGAGCCAATGAATTGATGGACGTTGATTGAGTTAATAAACTTGGATCAATCAAGTATTGCACCGGTGATTCTGGTATGAAAGGTCCATTCTGATGACCATTGGTAGTAACTTCGGTTGACAGAATCCCTTGAGTACAATTAGTATAACCAATTAACAGAGTAACACTGATGAGAATAGCTTTTGGTAATATCAGCTATTAACAGAGAGCAATGAAAAAAGCACAATTAGTAAAATTAACAGTCACAATCAACAATTTCTTACCTGATTAACTATTGAGATGAGATTTGATAGCGATATCATTAGGATACTCTAACGTTGCTGGTTAATTGTGATTAGTTGATTCAAGTTGTCACGATAAAATAATCTAATCAAATGAAGCCAATTTACAGTTAACTTATCTTCTTATTTTAATTGTTATTTCCTCATCTTCAAATTATCAGGTCGATTGAATTAATCTCTTCATCCATTTAATTGTTTGGCTAACCATTTACATCTTGTGATTATTTAGATTTGATTAAATGTAAATACTGTTACGATTTCAATGACAACAATCAGTGCATTTAGATAATAATCAACTTTCAAATGAACAATTAAATCGTTTGCAATTAAACCTCTCATTCTCAATCTCAATTGTAATCAGTATCATTTGTTAATCAAATAGTACAAAGTCACCGGAAATATATAACATTGACAATTAGCAATCTAATTTAATTTCGTTTAATTTTTTTTATTCAAATTCTAATCTGATTAACTAATTGAGTTACAGTTGATTGTAAGATGACATGTTTTCATTGGAAAAGTTATTAGATTGAAACAGTTAGATTGTAATAATTAACTAACAATTGGAAAGTTTTCAATTCCATAATATTGATTAAATGATAAAGTAAAATTGGTCAATCGGTCAACTGACCATAATGATCAATAAACTGTTGTTTATTTATCAATCAATTATTTGTTACATTTAATTGTTACATTTAATTGTTACTCAGAATCATAAATGAATTACAATCGATTGAATCTTTTACCAAGTAAGATGTTGAAATTTTTATCCTCTCGACCAATGGTCATCTTGATCTGTTTTATTGGTTTCTCCTTACAACTGACCGATGTTGTCTATGAATACCTTAAGTTTAAGGTTCGTCATGAAGTGATCTATGTTCATCCCGATGAGGTTGAGTTACCCGAAGTGGACATTTCGATGACCCTTAGTCCACTTATCAATATGAGTAAACTTTACAATCGAGTTCCCGAAAAGTTAAGGAAATTGTGTCGAGAGATATTGAAAACGCCGAAACTTGAATTGAATTCATTACAAGAATTTAATCAAAAATGTCTCCATGAAATTAAAGTTTCTCCCGATGTATTAACTGTCCATTTATCACAAATATTGACCATCGGAGATGTTGAAGCAACTCTAGTGGATCTGAGTTCAAATATTACCTCAATATCGGTCCAGGGTTCCGATGAAATGACGGAGAAGCACAAATATTGCTCGGTTGGAAAACACTTCAATGGTTACAGTTATTTCTTGAGAATTTCTTGTCGCAATCAAACTAAACCAATTGTTATAAGTTCTACAAGAAACTTTATGGGGAACAATCCGATCATGTGTTTTACCCATAACATAAATCGACGATTTGGCTTTAGATTATCTCCTGCCAATAGTAATATCGAAAGTCGTGGAAGTAAATACAAAATTGTTGAACCAACTCAACACATGATTCATTCCCATTTTCGTAGATCGATCAGTACTCTTTTACCTTGGCCTTGGTCAACACGATGTGTTCATCATAATCGATCTTCAGTCTTCATGAGCTGTATGAATAAACAATTAGCTGATCACAATAGTGTTTATACCGATGCAGTCTTACCCTTTGGAGAGTACCATCAATCTGAATATCGATTTACCAATTACTTTGATAATAGTAAATTATTTGAACAAATGGCGATAAAATGTCAACAATTAATAAAAGTACCTGAGTGCTATAGTATCAAATATGAAACTTTTACTCAACAGTATTCAGTCGAGGGAGGAAATGGTTCACTCATTTGCGTCGAGCCGACATTAGATCCTGACCTGGAGATTCTTGTTTACCCTAAATTGACTTTAAGCGAACTGTTGATTTACGTCAGCAGTATTTCAGGGGTTTGGTTCGGATTTTCGATTTATGGAACGTTACAAAGTAATAATAACTATGTGTGTTTACGATCTCATTGTAATCGCAAGGTAAAAACTGGCGAAGAAACAAAAGAAACTACTGATCCACAATGTACCTCAAATCAAAATGATTAACTAACGATTAAACTATTGATATGAATTTGAAAGAAAAAAACAAAATGGTTTCAGCCGATCCTGCAGAGTATTAGTTACGTAATTTCCAGAGTTCAATCACTTTGAATTTCTATCAAAATAACTAGAGATTTATGACCGATTTCTTATTGATAGTTACATGTAACTATGGAATAGATTATCATACACCTTAATCAACCTTGGAAAGGATCGAGTTTAATTTCAAGGTTAGTGATGAGAAAACTTTTTTTTGGAACCTGAAACTTGAAATCAAGTTTTTGAAGAGAATTTCGACTTGCCGGTAAAGTTTATTTTCTTAAATTAACTTGGTCACTATTCTCTGATCACAGAAGTGATGGCTTCAATTCGCAATTGCTTTATTCTTCTATCGTTGAATTTACTCTACCTAAACCATATACAGTCTTTATCATGTTCAAAAAAACTCGAGTAAGTGAAAGATATGATTTTATCTCATCTGAGTTTCGAAATCACAGATTTTTATTGAAAAATAGTATCTAATCCATAATTATACAATTTTTTCTTATCCAGTGCTAAACAATCAATTGAAAACTGTGATCAAAGTTTGAACATTACTAAGTTGAGGTTTCTACAAAGAACCAATCCATTTGATTTATTAAACCCGAAATTGCAAAAGACGTCGAAACCCGAATCCATAAATGTAAGTAATAGATAAGTTTTCCACCATATTAAATAAACAGAACTTAAATGTTTCGCTTTCATTTTTTGATAAAGAAATCGAAAAATGATACACAATCATGTAATTCGGGCCTCAGTGGATCTTCTTGTCGTGATGAACGTAAAGTTAAATCAAGTCGAGTTTATTCTGATATTGTTGCTGATGATAAATCTAATGGCAAGTGTGGTGGTGTTTTGAATTCACCAAACGGAATTGTGACCTCGCCGAATTATCCTAATCCATTCAATGTTCCTGGTGAATGTCTTTGGAAGATTAGAACATCAGATGGATCTCGTTTGGTTGTTAATCTAATTGATTTGGAATTAGATTCTTCTCTTAATTGTACTCAAAATGTGTTAATCATTTACGATGGACCAACTGATCAAGACTCTCAACTATTAGTTGCTTGTAATCAGAAACAACTTGATAATAATTTGATTACTTCAAGAGGCAACGAGTTGACAATCAAGTTAATCACAAATGAATCAACAAGTTATGTCAAAGGTTTTAAATTTTCTTATCAAATTGATTGTAATAATTTCATTGAGGGCATCAGTGGATCAATAAAGAGTCCAATCAACCAGAGCTCAAAGAGTCTTAATTGCTCTTGGACAATTAAAGTACCAAAAGGAAACAATATAAGTTTGGTTATTGAAAATTTTAAATCAGTTGATTCATCATGTTCATCAAGTTACTTATCATTTATTGGTAATCAATCAACCAAAACCTTCTGTCAATCAGTTGATTACACAGATTTCGATCAAATTTTAATCACTGAAAATCAAGTACAGGTTAACTTTGTTAATCTTAATCCTGATAATCAATCATATTTCCGATTAGAGTGGAAACTAGTTGGATGTGGAGGTGACATTCATGAAAGTGAAGGTGAATTGGTTTCTCCAAGTTATCCTGATTCTTATCCAAACGGACTCAATTGTCTGTGGACTATTCATGGTAAACCAAGTCATAAGGTCGAAATCTACATTTACGAATATCATATTGAGAGAAATGACTCTTTGCAGATATTTGATGGACCGAATACAAGATCACCTCGAATTTTAAATTTTTTCGATCGTCTCTATGAACCAAACAAAATCGTAACAACCAAAAATCAAGTAACAATATTTTTTGAAGTTGATGAGCATTTCAATGGAAAAGGATTTAGATTATCATACAAAATAAAAAGAAGTTACCGATGTGACAATGACCACCATTCAATCAAAGGTTCAATTTCTTCGCCAAGTTACCCGAATCGTTTTGTTAAAGAGAATTCATGTAAATGGTCGATTGACACAATAAAAAGTTACCCTGTGATCACAATCGAAGATCTGGACATTCCCTGGTCACTCAACTGTACTGATCATTATTTGAAGTTCATAACTCCTCAGAAAACGGAACTTGCTCGATTTTGTGGTAATTCATTCCCTAATTATCCAATCATGTACAATTCAAGCTACACAATTTTAATTGATTACTATTCGAAGAGTCAACATAACGGACGAGGATTCAAGTTCAATTACGGAATAAACTGTGATTTGACCCGTTACATATTCAACTTTGATCATGAATTCGAAAACTTATATTACCCAGCAAATGTTGTTGGCTCTTCATGTAGTTATCATTTTGTATCTGACGATCCATCGGCTCAAACGCGAATACAATTTGTTGATTTTTCCATCAATTCAAATTCTGGAAGTTACCTTGAGATACAAGAACAAACATCGAATGATTCATTACAGGTAATTCGATACAATAACTCTTCTCTTCCGTTGCCTCGGACTTATGGAGCACCGTTTCATATCCATACTAAAGGTCAAGTTATGTTCAATTTCAAATACGATAAAGATTTAAACAAATGTTCATATGAACTGAATAGTTGGGAAGGCACATTAAATTCACCAGGATATCCGAATGATTATCCTCCTTCTCGAACTTGTGTTTGGAAAATTAATCTTGCTCCAGGTAATTTTATTTCTTTGAAGTTTCATTCATTTGATATTCAATATGATCAATTCTGTGCTTTGGATCATTTGGAGATTCGAGAAGAAAATGAATCAGGTAAACTCATTGGCCGATTTTGTGGATCAAATTTACCTCAATTAAACTCGACTCAATATTATCCAAGTCTATGGATTAGATTTAAATCTCATGCTAATGGTTCAGCTTCTGGATTCAAAGCTTCATACAAAACAATCAAAGATGTGAAAATTAGCTCGGATTCTGGTAAAATTGGATCATTTGCTTATCCAAGATTATTTTCATCGGAAAACAATCAAAGTTGGACAATTAAGACCAGTGACTTGAATAAGATTAAGTTTAAATTGGAATCAATTGATATTCTCGATGATTCGTTTGACAGCTCATGTACTAATTCAAGTGTCACAATTTATGATGGTCCATCAGAGAACAGCTCGATTCTCGGTCAGTTTTGTGGTTATCGTGCTGATGACAATCCAATTTACACAACTTCTTCAGTTGCTTATGTCCATTTCAAGCCAAACTTTCAAATTTCTAGGTTCTTGTTGAGCTGGACATCGTTCCAAAGTGACATTGCACCTCCACTTATTGCTGATTTTAATCACCCATGTAAATACACTGCGAGTCTTAAAATGAACCAAAATACAACGTTACTCTCAAGTTTTTATCCAGATGGTGTCAATTGTAGTTGGACCATTTCGAGTCCTATTGGAACTCAATTACAAGTCGAAATCAATGAGATGGATATTAAGTCCCCGTCACATGAAAAATGTACTAATAAGAACGGAGTCTCTTTTTATGATTATTGTTTCGACCATCAAAAAGTTATGAAAATCAATAGAATAGTCTGCGATTCAAAAGAAAAACTATTCACTCTCCAGGGCAATCAATCGTTGATCACATTCTTCAACTATAGCGGCTCATCAACCGAACTAAAAGGGTTCAACATAACAGTGAGACCGATTTGTGGTGGTACATTTTATGGACCAACAGGTAATATCGATTCGTCTTTACTTGGACCATTCGAAACTTGTTCATGGAAAATCGTTGTACCAAAAGGTCAACGAGTTGAAATTAAATTCAAATCTTTTAACTTGGGTTCGTATGACGACCATTGTTCTAATGGTTATTTAAGTATTCGCAATGGTGACTCACCTAACTCTCGATTCATTGGACACTATTGTGGGTCTAACTTACCTAAGAAAATAATATCAGCTTCGAATCAACTTTTCATATCAACTTATGTTCCTGCATCAGAACAATTTGTAAGTCCACAATCTGAATACTTAATAACAATTTGTTTCATGAATCGATTTTATCTCTTGCAGGAATTTTCTTTGTCTTATCGACAAGTCTCAACTCCATGTGAACTTTACGTCGAACTAAACCAATCAAGTCCATCGGCTATACTTCAGCTCCCTGGATACCCTCACCCTCCTGTCGAATATTCTGAGTGTTATTGGGTCATTAAAGCACCAATCAACAGAGTTATTAGAATTGATTTCGAAATACCAGATCACGATGTTGGATGCAATTTGAATACGACTCATATTGATATTCACGATGGTTATACTCAAGTTGCTCCTAAACTTGGTCGATTCTGTCCAATAGCTCGAACAACAAGTGTCATTTCATCAGATAATCGGATGTTCATTCACTTTCTTTCTAAAGGAGGGGCTGGTTCAAGTTCGTTCAAGGCAACAGTTAATCTTCATATTTGTGGTGGTAGTTTTGTTGTTCATGAGATAAGCGTAATCCAAAGTTTATCTTATCCTAAGCCATATGATTCTAACCTAACATGTAATTATTATATTTACTCAGCAAAAATGTCGGAAATGTTGACTTATCAATTTGAAACATTCGATTTACCTTCAAATGAGAACTGTAGCTCAGGTGATTACTTAGCAATTCATGAATTTGACTCATCGGGTAAACTTCTCAGTAAAGTATGTGGTACACAAGAATCTGAGGGAGATATCATGAGACCTAATGTCAATCAACTATTCATGGTCTTCAAATCAGATTCCGTGATCGCTGGTAAAGGTTTCTGGGTTTGGTTCGATTATACTGTGGATGGTAAGTTTATTAATATCAGAATTACTCCATTTTCTAATCCCGTTATTGTCTTTATTTTCTGATATTATCAGCGGATTGTGATGTATTTTGGTCAGAAGACTCAGGAGTTATTAGCTCTCCTCGATTCCCTGGCATCTATCCAGGTCCTAGAAATTGCACATTTGCTTTCATCGGTCAACCTGATAAAAGAATCACTCTCAACTTTACAAATTACAATCTAAAATCAGCTGATAACTTATGCCTTGATAAAATACTAATCGATTACAATCCTGATATATTGATAAAATCCAAGTCATTTTTCAGCTTGGCAATGACACCAAACAATTTTACACTTCCTTGTGAATCAAAGCCCACTAATTATGTAATTGAATCTCCAAACAACGTACTTGTAGTTTACTTTGAAACTCATTCTGGTCTAGATTCTGGTCAAGGTTTTAGAGCTGAATACAGTAAAGATAGACCAACAGGTAAAGTTACTCGAAGGTCTAACATAAGAGCCTTATAATGAAATTATCGAATCGTTATATTCAATGATATAGAATGTGGTGGAATAATTAACTCCGATTCAACTTCGATCATTTCGAAAACTTTTCCCAGCCATTGATGATTCTAGAATTTCATGTGTTTGGTTTATTGAAGCTGCAACAGATGAGAATTTAGGCTGTAAGTATTAATACATATGAAGATTCGAACCTTTAATTGGATTCCAATGAACTTGTTTCTATTCTGATACCAGCAAACGATAAAGTTACACCTTGGATAACATTTGAGAAGATTGAGGTATTGGGATCAGCTGAAAATGATTCAATTTGCTCTGATGGAAAAATTACACTTGGATTTGCTCAAGGTTTGTTTTCAATCGAAATCAATATTTACTAATTTTTATTACAATAATACTTTAATTTCAGGTTCACTTTTACCAATCGCAAATCTTGAATTGTGTGGAAACAGTTCTGAGGTGATAACAGCTATTTATCCTGTTTCATTTTCATACTATAATCTCCTCAGTGCCTCTTTCAATCGTACTCGAGGTTATCGCGGGTTCGAAGCCACTTATCACATGAGTAAATGTGGTGGATCCTTGAGTTCAGGTGAAAGTAATGTAACATCACCAGGTTGGCCTGATGAAAACTATCCGCTTGATACAGTTTGCGTTTGGACTCTTATCAATCAAGATTATGGTGAAACTAATACACAAATACAGCTCGACTTTAGATCATTTGAACTTGAAGACGACTGCTCGAAAGATTATTTAGAAATCTATGAGTTTGATGCACGAGGATTGAATAAACTCGGTCGATATTGTTCCAAAAACAAACCACCATTCATATGGACATATAAAAGTGGCATTTCAATCGTATTCAAGAGTGACAAAGACACACCAAGAAAAGGGTTCATGTTTAACATAAAAACGATAAAAAGCACTTGTGGTGGATACAGAACAAGTGGTCACGAAAACTACGCACGAGCTCTTTCCCCTTACAAAGCTGATCAACATTGTGAATCAATATTAGAAGTCGATCCCATGTCCCAACTTAATTTGACTTTTGTCAATCGATTTGAAATCGAAGACTCAGTTAATTGTTCTAAAGATTATCTCGATATCAATGAATGGAGAAACAACTCTTGGCATCATTTCGGTCGATATTGTGGGTACAATTCACCAGGGTCGATCATCTTCAAGGAGAATAGAGGTCAACTTATATTCCATTCAGACGGAGATGATCGTCGGGGAGATGGATTCGATTACTATGTAACGAAATATTGTCAATTAACCATTGATAAAAGAGGAAATGGAACTATCGAAAGTCCTGATTATCCAAATTACTACGGTATCAATTATTGCGAATGGACTTTTAAGGGAGAAGAACCAAATGATACGATCCATGTGCATTTTAAGCATTTCGACATTGATTCTGAAGAGTCCTGTGATGGTAATTATCTAGAGCTGGTGAAGAAAAGTGCCACAGTTAAAGGAAATCTGGTTCGGAGATATTGTTCTAAGAACTCCCCTAAACATATATCGTCTAAAGGAAGTTTAAAGATTATTTCGATGTCAAATAAGGCTAGTTTGTCGAAGGGATTTACCTTCGATTATCGAATAATTCAATCTCAATAATTCAACTTTGCTATCTATCTAATAAATTTGACAGTTATTAGCATAAAAATCTGTGAATATAGTTCTTTTAAAGTTCTTACACACTAAATTTACTAGAAGAAACAAGCTAATAATGTTACATATAACATTTTAGAAGGATCTGGACTTTCGAAGTATCGATGTCAGTAGTGGTGCCTCGGCCTCTCAACCACTCAGAAGAATTTGAAAAAAGTCTAGTAAAAATGTGACCTGACAAATAGAACCTACCCTTAATCTTTAAATCATTTATGTAATACGTCTCTCTTTCAATTTACAGTTGTGATTTCACTTTGAGCAATTTATTGAAACATCATGGTGCTAACGATTCAACAGATCTGGTATCAGCTAAGCAAAAGACTGGTGAGCAATAAGTCAACTGAGCAAATGACACCTGCGCAAAAATCAATTGAGCAAAATTGAGGGCGCTTCGATCTCAATCAAATTAACATGGAAAAACTCATAGGGATACTATAGTAGTTTAATTACAGAGATGAAAATGGTACTTTATTATAATTCATGATAAATTAGGATATAAAAGTATCTTCTGCGCACAAGTATAAACAACGCGCACCCTTTTTTTCCGCTTCAGAAACTTTGGCCTTAATCGACAATTGAAATTCGATTAGAATCTGATAATTTTGTGTAGTATTTTATCTTATCAATGAATTCGAACGGAGTCAAATGGCCTAAAGAATACTCTGCGGTCAAGTTTTGAATTCGACGATTTATGTTCAGAGTTTTCCGCTCAGTAACGTTAATTGTTGCACCGAACGAGGCCATAAAAAGATTAGTTTCAAAAATGTTTTGGTGTTGAATTATTATCTCAATGAATATCCAAAGATTCGCGTGATTGCTTCCCATACTCTTATTTGTAGCAAAATGCCTTGTCAACCTTGTCTCCTCAAAAAGTTGATATTGGGCCGAAGTGTTTTTATAACGCTGCAATTTTTACTCTTGGTAAATTTAAATTAGGCTACATAAATACTTACCATAGACCTTCCATGGTATGAATGGCTACCAAAAGTTCACGCAGGTCTCGATTTATTGACCTTTGGAGGTTACGACCAAAGAAACCTCGATATCAAACCAGTGAATGGTTTGATTTTGGTCGGCGACTTCAATATTGAGAATACATTTTTTAGTGAAGATGGTGCTCCGAATTCGAAGCGTTTGAACTTCATGTTAAGGGATTTCGGTTTAAAACCTATTCATGATAAGCCAACATATGTGCCCAGTGCTTCTTCAGTTTTTCGGACAACATAACCCAAATTGAACCAGATTTGACACTTCCCCTGCTGCCGTCCGACCACATCCCTCTCCATGCTACTTTCACCATCACCCAAACAAGGAGAAAATTAGCCAGATCGTTGGAAAGAAAAAAACGCCTGGAAGGAACCTTATTTGATGAACGCGTGGTTACTGCAAAAACTTACATCGCCGACAATTTTGACAATTAATTTTTGTGCCTCTGTTTTCAATTATCTTCATTTATTCTATTACCTTATTCAATTCTTTCAACTGTTCCAACTATTAAGTTGAATAAATTCGATTTTGTTAACTTGATTCTTATTGATTTTCTTAATTCGAGACGATGAACTAACAGGGTAATCACCTTTTAACCTAAATTGTCGGCCAGTTATCATTACCAATAAGCTGCCATTGGACTTGTAAATAATGCTGATATGGCAGCTTATTGGTAGCTTCTTAATACACTACCAATAAGCTGTCATTGTCTTGTTAATAATCGCAAAAAACATCGGTAAAGATAGCTGAATTGCCCTGTATTGTAATACTTATTGTAATCCCTAATAATTTTTATTTTATGCACTAATTAATACTTGTTGATTATATGCTTCCTACAGAAATGTTTAAAACAATTATTCCTCGGAAACATTATAATTTTATTATACTTTTTATTGTTTGACTAATCGGAAATGATGTAGATAACTATTGCTGCAAGAATGATGATGTTGATAATGGTGATTCAAACTTCAATAAGATAACTGGTTTTTATTGGTTATTTTTGTTCCATCTCTTAATTACGATGCATTCTAGACCTGAACCTTTGGATTCTAATGCCAATAATAATCAGTTCAATCAAATCAACTAAATCAAAGCAATCCATCAATTATGATCAAACCTGCTGAAAAACCACGTGACCATTGAGCCTTTCAACGTGGCAATGAAGATGTAATTGACTGTTTGCTAAATATCATAGATTCGTTAGATTGGGTAATATCTAGTTAGACCCAGAATACGAAAGAGCTGGATTTCACTGAATGCCCAAGTATTGTTCACAGAGTGCCTGTAAGCCCGGTACCAAATGGTGAACAGGTTGAGTTTTTGTTCAGCAGTAAGTACGCTTGCGTAAGAACAACTTCCTGCAATCTTCAATGGATGAAAAAATAATTGCTACTTAAGCGCATTAGGCATACATTTTTGTTAGCGAGAAGCAAGTACTTCTAGCCCCGCATTAAACCAAGAATGAAAAAGCTTAGTTACAGCCGTCCTGACGGCCTCAACCGATTGATAGCGTTTCCCGCGTAGGAATTTTTCAAATTTTTGAACAAACATGAGATGGGGCTCGGTCAGGTGAATATGGGGGGTTTTCTAATTGTAAACCAGCCTAATTCCTTGATAAAATCCATCGTAGCCTTGACTTTATAGGATTTCGCATTGTCTTGGAAGAAAAGTGGTTTCTTTCCCCGCGGGAGTCTGACCAGTGGTTCGACTTCTTACAATTGACTTCTATATAGTTCAGCATTAACTGTTGTACCTTGAAAAAGACAAAAAGTAGTGATTATACCATCTGCTGACCAAAAAATACTAGCCATAATCTTTGGGTGTCTTTTATCGCTAGTTGACCATTCGGATAGTTCTTTCGGGTCAGACACTCACTCTAGGGAATCAGTTCTCGATTCAGGGGATAGCACAGAACCTAACCTTCCAGCTCAACACGTTTGCTTTTTGGACTTTTTGGGACAAATCATGAGGTACTTTCCTTTAGGTCAACTTTCTCATGCCTAACAAGTCCTTAACAATATGATGCATTGTACCATATGATACCTTAAACATTGCTGCAAGATTATCAATTGAACCTTACCTAATTTTTGTCACAACTTAATCATCAATTTGATCATCATCTTAATCACCAAGTTTTAATTAAACTAAAATCATTTAATCATCTTCATCACCATAACAAATAATTATTAGATGAATACGACTTGTTCATCTAATTCACAATTAATAAATTATCATTTTAGTCAGTGTTGATTTACCTTCACTTATATTTTTGAATTTTTTTATATTCCCGTTGCTAAGGGGGAAGGGGAAAAGGAAGAGGCTCCTCCTTTAACACAACATCTTGGTCCTTACCGAATTTTCTTTTTCTGTAGATACTGAAAAGTTTAATGGAAGCCCTCGAGGCCTTAAATTTGTGTGCAAAGTATCAAATTAAATCATTAATGATCAAAACATTCATAAAATTTAATTAATTAGACTTTCAAAATTTTCGCGCCAAAAAGATTCTCTGAAAATTTTTGATCCAGTCATCTTATTATTAACTACTATTAATAGTATAGAAATTATCTTACACCTTGTGTAACCTTGGAAAGGATCGAGTTTAATTTCATGGTTAGTGATGAGAAAACTTTTTTGTGGAACCTGAAACTTGAAATCAAGTTTTTGAAGAGAATTTCGACTTGCCGGTAAAGTTTATTTTCTTAAATTAACTTGGTCACTATTCTCTGATCATAGAAGTGATGGCTTCAATTCGCAATTGCTTTATTCTTCTATCGTTAAATTTACTCTACCTAAACCATACAAAGTCTTTATCATGTTCAAAAAAACTCGAGTAAGTGAAAGATATGATTTTATCTCATCTGAGTTTCGAAATCCTATTTTTTCATTGAAAAATAGTATCTAATCAATAATTATACAATTTTTTCTTATCCAGTGCTAAACAATCAATTGAAAACTGCGATCAAAGTTTGAACATTACTAAGTTGAGGTTTCTACAAAGAACCAATCCATTTGATTTATTAAACCCGAAATTGCAAAAGACGTCGAAACCCGAATCCATAAATGTAAGTAATAGATAAGTTTTCCACTATGTTAAATAAACAGAACTTAAATGTTTCGCTTTCATTTTTTGATGAAGAAATCGAAAAATGATACACAATCATGTAATTCGGGCCTCAGTGGATCTTCTTGTCGTGATGAACGTAAAGTTAAATCAAGTCGGTTCTATTCTGATGCTAATATTGCTGATGGTAAATCTAATGGCAAGTGTGGTGGTGTTTTGAATTCACCAAACGGAATTGTGACCTCGCCGAATTATCCTAATCCATTCAATGTTCCTGGTGAATGTCTTTGGAAGATTAAAACATCGGATGGATCTCGTTTGGTTGTTAATCTAACTGATTTGGAATTAGATTCTTCTCTTAATTGTACTCAAAATGTGTTAATCATTTACGATGGACCAACTGATCAAGACTCTCAACTATTAGTTGCTTGCAATCAGAAACAGCTTGATAATAATTTAATTACTTCAAGAGGCAACGAGTTGACAATCAAGTTGATCACAAATGAATCAACAAGTTATGTCAAAGGTTTTAAATTTTCTTATCAAATTGATTGTAATAATTTCATTGAAGGTATAAGTGGATCAATAGAGAGTCCAATCAACCAGAGCTCAAAGGTTCTTAATTGCTCTTGGACAATTAAAGTACCAAAAGGAAACAATATAAGTTTGGTTATTGAAAAGTTTAAATCAGTTGATTCATCATGTTCATCAAGTTACTTATCATTTATTGGTAATCAATCAACCAAAACCTTCTGTCAATCAGTTGATTACACAGATTGCGACCCAATTTTAATCACTGAAAATCAAGTACAGGTTAACTTTGTTAATCTTAATCCTGATAATCAATCATATTTCCGATTAGAGTGGAAACTAGTTGGATGTGGAGGTGACATTCATGAAAGTGAAGGTGAATTGTTCTCTCCAAATTATCCTGATTCTTATCCAAACGGACTTAATTGTCTGTGGACTATTCATGGTAAACCAAGTGATATCATCAAAATCTTCATAAATGAATATCATATTGAGGAAGGTGACTCATTGCAGATATTTGATGGACCGAGCACAAGGTCACATCGCCTTGTTTACTTAGCTGGTCGTCTCCTAAAGAGATTGAAAATCACGTCAATCAGAAATCAAGTTACGATATTTTTTCAAGTCGATGATATGTTCAATGGAAAAGGACTTAGATTATTTTTTTCGACTACAACAAATGATTGTCATATTATCTATCCGTCAACTGAGAGTTCAATTTCATCACCTAGTTATCCGAATCGATTTTCTGGACCGATCAATTGTAATTGGTATCCACAAGACGATTTCAGGAATACATTCATCAAAATTACGTTTGAAGATCTCGATATACCCTGGTCAGTCAATTGTACCGAACACTATGTGAGTCTTTTGAATATGCGAGGTTTGGAACTTGGTCGATTCTGTGGTAACTCATTACCAAATACTTCATTTAGATCTATTTTCGATAATGCAATAAAAATTGTATACTTTTCAAAAAGCTGGCACAAAGGACGAGGTTTTAAGGCCAATATTCAGCCAATCTGTCGCTCAAAAGAGTACATTTATGGTTCTTTAACGGAACTGAGTCATTCTGCTCATCAACCGAAATCAGAAAATAATGAAAACTTTTTGTGTATCTATGACTTTGTTTCCATTGGCTCGTTCAACAAGAGCCTTTTAACGTTTGTCGATTTTGCTATAAAATCGCAATCTGGAAGTTACATAGAGTTGCAAGACGAAGGCTCGAATTATCCAACAAGAACCATTCGATACAATAGCTCTTCTTCTGTGTTACCATCTCACATTTTAGGTAAATCATTTAAGGTCTCTGTTAGAGGTCATGTTTTGTTCAAAGTTTTGTACTCTCAGTATGTTGATTCATGTTCATATGAACTAAACAGTTGGGAAGGAACAATTAGTTCACCAGAATATCCAAACGATTATCCTCCCTCTCGAACTTGTGTTTGGAAAATTAATCTTGCTCCAGGCAATCTAATCTCATTGAAGTTTCATTCATTTGATATTCAATATGATCAATTCTGTGCTTTGGATCATTTGGAGATTCGAGAAGAAAATGAATCAGGTAAACTCATTGGCCGATTTTGTGGATCAAATTTACCTCAATTAAACTCGACTCAATATTATCCAAGTCTATGGATTAGATTTAAATCTCATGCTAATGGTTCAGCTTCTGGATTCAAAGCTTCATACAAAACAATCAAAGATGTGAAAATTAACTCGGACTCTGGTAAAATTGGGTCATTTGCTTATCCAAGATTATTTTCATCAGAAAACAATCAAAGTTGGACAATTAAGACCAGTGACTTTAATAAGATTAAGTTTAAATTGGAATCAATTGATATTCTTGACGATTCGTTCAACGGCTCATGTACTAATTCAAGTGTCACAATTTATGATGGTCCATCAGAGAACAGCTCGATTCTCGGTCAGTTTTGTGGTTATCGTGCTGATGACAATCCAATTTACACAACTCCTTCAATCGCCTATGTCCATTTCAAGCCAAACTTTTACATTTCTAGATTCTTATTGAGCTGGACATCGTTCCAAAGTGACATTGCACCTCCACTTATTGCTGATTTTAATCACCCATGTAAATACACTGCGAGTCTTAAAATGAACCAAAATACAACGTTACTCTCAAGTTTTTATCCAGATGGTGTCAATTGTAGTTGGGCCATTTCAAGTCCCATTGGAACTCAATTACAAGTCGAAATCAATGAGATGGATGTTAAGTCCTCGTCACATGAAAAATGTACTAATAAGAACGGAGTCTCTTTTTATGATTATAGTTTCGACCATCAAAAAGCTTGGAAAATCAATAGAATAGTTTGCGATTCAAAAGAAAAACTATTCACTCTCCATGGTAATCAATCGTTGATCACATTCTTCAACTATGGCGGCTTATCAACCGAACTAAAAGGGTTCAACATTACAGTGAGACCGATTTGTGGTGGTACATTTTATGAACCAACTGGTAATATTGATTCATCTTTACTTGGACCATTCGAAACTTGTTCATGGAAAATCGTTGTACCAAAAGGTCAACGAGTTGAAATTAAATTCAAATCTTTTAACTTGGGTTCGTATGACGACCATTGTTCTAATGGTTATTTAAGTATTCGCAATGGTGACTCACCTAACTCTCGATTCATTGGACACTATTGTGGGTCTAACTTACCTAAGAAAATAATATCAGCTTCGAATCAACTTTTCATATCAACTTATGTTCCTGCATCAGAACAATTTGTAAGTCCACAATCTGAATACTTAATAACAATTTGTTTCATGAATCGATTTTATCTCTTGCAGGAATTTTCTTTGTCTTATCGACAAGTCTCAACTCCATGTGAACTTTACGTCGAACTAAACCAATCAAGTCCATCGGCTATACTTCAGCTCCCTGGATACCCTCACCCTCCTGTCGAATATTCTGAGTGTTATTGGGTCATTAAAGCACCAATCAACAGAGTTATTAGAATTGATTTCGAAATACCAGATCACGATGTTGGATGCAATTTAAATACAACTCATATTGATATTCACGATGGTTCTACTCAAGTTGCTCCTAAACTTGGTCGATTCTGTCCAATAGCTCGAACAACAAGTGTCGTTTCATCAGATAATCGGATGTTCATTCACTTTCTTTCCAAAGGAGGGGCTGGCTCTAGTTCGTTCAAGGCAACAGTGAATCTTCATGTTTGCGGTGGTAATTTTGTTGTTCATGAGATAAGCACAATCCAAAGTTTATCTTATCCTAAGCCATATGATTCCAACCTAACATGTAATTATTACATTTACTCAGCAAAAATGTCTGAAATGTTGACTTATCAATTTGAAACATTCGATTTACCTTCAAATGAGAACTGTAGCTCAGGTGATTACTTGGCAATTCAGGAATTTGACCCATCGGGTAAACTTCTCAGTAAAGTATGTGGTACACAAGAATCTGAGGGAGATATCATGAGACCTAATGTCAATCAACTATTCATGGTCTTCAAATCAGATTCCGTGATTGCTGGTAAAGGTTTTTGGGTTTGGTTCGATTATACTGTGGATGGTAAGTTTATTAATATCAGAACTGCTCCATTTCCTAATCCCGTTATTGTCTTTATTTTCTGATATTATCAGCGGACTGTGATGTATTTTGGTCAGAAGACTCAGGAGTTATTAGCTCTCCTCGATTCCCTGGCATCTATCCAGGTCCTAGAAATTGCACATTTGCTTTCATCGGTCAACCTGATAAAAGAATCACTCTCAACTTTACAAATTACAATCTAAAATCAGCTGATAGTTTATGTCTTGATAAAATACTAATTGATTACAATCCTGATATATTGATAAAATCCAAGTCATTTTTCAGCTTGGCAATGACATCAAACAATTTTACACTTCCTTGTGAATCAAAACCCACTAATTATGTAATTGAATCTCCAAACAACGTACTTGTAGTTTACTTTGAAACTCATTCTGGTCTAGATTCTGGTCAAGGTTTTAGAGCTGAATACAGTAAAGATAGACCAACAGGTAAAGTTACTCGAAGGTCTAATATAAGAGCCTTATAATGAAATTATCGAATCGTTATATTCAATGATATAGAATGTGGTGGAATAATTAACTCCGATTCAACTTCGATCATTTCGAAAAACTTTTCCCAGCCCATTGATGATTCTAGAATTTCATGTGTTTGGTTTATTGAAGCTGCAACAGATGAGAATTTAGGCTGTAAGTATTAATACATATGAAGATTCGAACCTTTAATTGGATTCCAATGAACTTGTTTCTATTCTGATACCAGCAAACGATAAAGTTACACCTTGGATAACATTTGAGAAGATTGAGGTATTGGGATCAGCTGAAAATGATTCAATTTGCTCTGATGGAAAAATTACACTTGGATTTGCTCAAGGTTTGTTTTCAATCGAAATCAATATTTACTAATTTTTATTACAATAATACTTTAATTTCAGGTTCACTTTTACCAATCGCAAATCTTGAATTGTGTGGAAACAGTTCTGAGGTGATAACAGCTATTTATCCTGTTTCATTTTCATACTATAATCTCCTCAGTGCCTCTTTCAATCGTACTCGAGGTTATCGCGGGTTCGAAGCCACTTATCACATGAGTAAATGTGGTGGATCCTTGAGTTCAGGTGAAAGTAATGTAACATCACCAGGTTGGCCTGATGAAAACTATCCGATTGATACAGTTTGCGTTTGGACTCTTATCAATCAAGATTATGGTGAAACTAATACACAAATACAGCTCGACTTTAGATCATTTGAACTTGAAGACGACTGCTCGAAAGATTATTTAGAAATCTATGAGTTTGATGCACGAGGATTGAATAAACTCGGTCGATATTGTTCCAAAAACAAACCACCATTCATATGGACATATAAAAGTGGCATTTCAATCGTATTCAAGAGTGACAAAGACACACCAAGAAAAGGGTTCATGTTTAACATAAAAACGATAAAAAGCACTTGTGGTGGATACAGAACAAGTGGTCACGAAAACTACGCACGAGCTCTTTCCCCTTACAAAGCTGATCAACATTGTGAATCAATATTAGAAGTCGATCCCATGTCCCAACTTAATTTGACTTTTGTCAATCGATTCGAAATCGAAGACTCAGTTAATTGTTCTAAAGATTATCTCGATATTAATGAATGGAGAAACAACTCTTGGCATCATTTCGGTCGATATTGTGGGTACAATTCACCAGGATCGATCATCTTCAAGGAGAATAGAGGTCAACTTATATTCCATTCAGACGGAGATGATCGTCGGGGAGATGGATTCGATTATATTGTTACAAAATATTGTCAATTAACCATTGATAAAAGAGGAAATGGGACAATTGAAAGTCCTGATTATCCAAATTACTACGGTATCAATTATTGCGAATGGACTTTTAAGGGAGAAGAACCAAATGATACGATCCATGTGCATTTTAAGCATTTCGACATTGATTCTGAAGAGTCCTGTGATGGTAATTATCTAGAGCTGGTGAAGAAAAGTGCCACAGTTAAAGGAAATCTGGTTCGGAGATATTGTTCTAAGAACTCCCCTAAACATATATCGTCTAAAGGAAGTTTAAAGATTATTTCGATGTCAAATAAGGCTAGTTTGTCGAAGGGATTTACCTTCGATTATCGAATAATTCAATCTCAATAATTCAACTTTGCTATCTATCTAATAAATTTGACAGTTATTAGAATAAAAATCTGTGAATATAGTTCTTTTAAAGTTCTTACACACTAAATTTACTAGAAGAAACAAGCTAAATAACGTTACATATAACATTTTAGAAGGATCTGGACTCTCGAAGTATCGATGTCAGTAGTGGTGCCTCGGCCTCTCAACCACTCAGAAGAGCTTGAAAAAAGTCTAGTAAAAATGTGACCTGACAAATAGGGACCTACCCTTAATCTTTAAATCATTTATGTAATACGTCTCTCTTTCAATTTACAGTTGTGATTTCACTTAGAGCAATTTATTGAAACACTATGGTGCTAACGATTCAAAATTGGTAACTGCAGGGGAAGTACTGTAGCTCCTCCGGATAGGAAAGTTGTGCCAGATAAACCTTCAAATCCTTTGCTCTCTTAGTATTGACGTTGATATTAGATAATAGATTGTTGATCATCGTAACCAATGGTATAACCCGAGAAATAGTGACATAATTTCCGCCGCTAATATCTAATGTCATCTGGTAAAAAGGTCTGAGAATAAGTTTAATCTCATTCAGAACATCAACTTCCTTGTAATTAAGATCCTCATGAGAACACTTTCTTAAGGCGATTGAAAAGTAATCATGTAAGAGAAGAAACCTTTCGATCATGATGAATGTGGAATTCCACCTTGTTTGCATATCTTGTTTCAATGTGAGTAGGGGCAAAGCATCCGCCTCTAGCCCAAATCAACTTTGTACCTTCCCCCCTTTTACCTTTCCTTTCTCTTTCTTTCCCTCATCTCACCTATTCCCTTCCCCCTTCCCCTTCACCCTTTTCTTAATTTTGTTGATTTTCCTCTCTCTCTCAACCTTGTTTGAATTATTTTTCCCTCTCTCTTACCCAACCTCATTTTTCTCTCCATCCTCTCTCTTTTCCATCCTTATATTTCTCTCTCTTTAAGCATAATTATCTTTCTCTCTCTTTAATCATTAAAAATTTTGTTCATTCTTAGGATAATTATATTTAATGATTGTTTATAAAATAATTATCTTCCCTCTTCATGATGAACAATTTTTTTTAATTATCAAAGAGAGAGAAAGCAAAGAGAGAGAAAGAAAGAGAGAGATAGAGTAAGAGACAGAGATAAAAACAAAATAATCTTACTGTTGTTGTGTGTTGTGTGTTGTGTGTTGTGTGTTGTGTGTTGTGTGTTGTGTGTTGTGTGTTGTGTGTTGTGTGTTCTTTAATTTCATAAATCAAATTCTTAAAACAATGTACAAATACACTTAACAAAATGCACAAAAAATATTAATGCACAATGCAAAAACACATATATTGATGTTTATTTAAAATAAATCAAATATACAAACAATATATAAAGAAATTTTCCTTAAGAAATAAACTTGATGAGTATACAACAAAAATGTTTTGTTTACCAAATCAACAGTGAATGTTGTTTGGTAAAGAGAAAACATTTTTGTTTTTATACTCATCAAGTTTATTTCTTTCTCTCTCTTTCTCTCTTTCTCTCTCTTTGATAATTAAAAAAATTTGTTCATCATGAAGAGGGAAGATAATTATTTTATAAACAATCATTAAATATAATTATCGTAAGGATGAACAAAATTTTTAATGATTAAAGAGAGAGAAAGATAATTATGCTTAAAATAAAACAATCAATGAATGGGAAAGAGAGAGGATGGAGAGGAAAATGAGGTTGGGTAAGAGAGAGAGAAAAATAATTGAAAATAAGGTTGGGATGGAAAGAGAGGAAAAAATGAAAAAAACAAAATTAAGAAAAGGGGGAAGGGAATAGGTGAGATGAGGGAAAGAAAGAGAAAGGAAAGGTAAAAGGGGGGAAGGGACAAAGTTGATTTGGGCCAGAGGCGGATGCTTTGCCCCTACTAATGTGAGTTGACTGCTGTGATCTTTTAGTCTCATAAAGTTTATTCATTCTTTGAGTAATAGCTTTCCTTCCGGGTGGAGTGTAATTAGCATTGAGATATTTAACACAGTCCTTAAAACTATTGCTTTCACATATATTGAATGGTCTAACATCATCGATAATCCACCATAGCAACTTCTCATCTATCAATGTTTTGATATCACCACCTTGAAAAAATAATAAAAATAAGATCACATTAGGTTTACAATCACTATTATAACAATTTAATAACTTACCTTGAGTCAAAATGACCTTCTTTAATAATAAGTCTATTTGCTGTTGCTTACCCTTTCTACCTTTAAAATGAGCTAAACATATATCAGGATGATGCTTATCTATATGATGTAGCATATTTGCGGTATTACCAGAAGTTTTAACTTCACAATGATACACTTTACAAATCACTTTTCCATCCTTAGCATCAAAAAAGTCCCACGAAGGTGAGCGTTTGGGCATAATCAATCAAATTAAACACAAAAAACTAATGAAAATAACTCAATCATCACAGAAAAAATGTGAAAAAAACGATGTTGACTCAACAAAAAAACATGTGAAAATCGAGTTTATTAGTAAAACAAGCATCGGGAGCAGGGTTGTGGCGATTCATTGGATTATCGTCATCTCTTTTTAATGAAGATGAAGTGAAGATGGAATGTAAAAATGCACCAAATTCGATAGTTCAGAACCTCCAAACAGTGGTTAGACATTTACCACTTCAATTTCACATTCCTCTAAATCAGCCGATGTCTTCGCCCACCGAATAAAATAGCAAATGACATTTACTCAGCACTTAATCCTCAAGTTTGAGATGCTAATTCGAATTTTAATAACCAGCCAATTACATCTTCATTGCCACCTTTGAAAGGCTCAATCGTCACGTGATTTTCAGCAGGTTTGATCATAATTGATGGATTAATTTGATTTGGTTGATTTGATTGATTGAACTGATTATTATTGGTCGAAGAATCCAAAGGTTCAGGTCTAGAATGCATTGTAATTAAGAGATGAGAACAAAAATAACCGATAAAAAACCAGTTATCTTATTCAAGTTTTAATCATCATCATCAACATCATCATTCTTGCATAAAAAGCCATCTCCATGATTTCCGATTAGTCAAACAATAAAAAGTATAATAAAATTATAATGTTTCCGGGAAATAATTTTTTTAAACATTTCCGTAGGAAGTATATTATCACCAAGTATTAATTAAGGAATAAAAAAGTGGATACAATAAAAATAATTAGCGATTACAATAAGTATTACAATATAAAAATTGATTAAAAGCTATGAGAAAAAGAGTTAATTAAGGATTACAAAATTCTAAAATACAAAGATTTTGAAAAGAAAGATAATCCAAAATGGCTAAAAACTCCACCCCCTTCATTTTGGAAATCCCCGGAAATCACCCCCAACATTCCAGATCGCAAAACAATGGTATCCGAGATCATGTTCCAAAATCCTCTTTCTGTTGGCGCCCGTGCGTGCTGACAGCTCAAAAAGGAGCAAAAATCGCTATTTACGAGGAGCATATGTGGAAGTTTTAGGCCTTCCTTTATGTTTTTGGGTCTAATCTAACTCACTTTTGTCAACCATTCTTTCATCCCAAGATGCTTGAATTGCGCTCGGAATCGTAAAAGTGGGCTCACGGAATTACAACATTTGTGTTTCGTCAATCCATAGCAGCCCAAGGGAATCTTTTCTGGTAACGCGTAACAGCGACTGCGGTTGGATTTAGACCCTCCACAAGCGTTTTTTCTAAACTTATCTTGCGCAAATCTCCTACGACGAAATACATGTTGTTTGAGATATTTTAAATACTCGTCCCTCGTTCCACAATAAACATATCGGAATAAAACCGGGTGAGGGATCCGTATACTCTTGAGCTTCCTTCTCCTGTTCAGTCAAAGTTAAACCTTGCTTGTTGGCTGACGATTCCTTGATCCAAGCATTTTGCTCATCTAGTGTCATCTCTAGTATATCATCTAAATTTTTACAATTTTTAACCTATTCTCAAACGCAGCTGGCCGACCATATTCTATCCCTCTCCTTATTCGTCCATCTGGAAAACGGACATAATTCGGTGTATCCACATGACAACTGTGCATTAGAACATCGTCTACCTCTACTCGTTGTTGTACCGTACAGTTTCCGAATTTCGTTTCTGTTTTTTCCTTTTCGCTTCATACCTGATACGATTGGTAGTGTTGATTCCTCATAAATAGAAGTATCACTATGAGTTGCAACTTCACCACTGCGACTATCGCTTCCATTTTCACCATCATTATCATCACCACCATTACGATTATTACCACTAGAACTCCAAGATCCCCTATTACCATTACGATTAGATCCAAATCCCTCTTAAGTGCTTCCATCATAATCAGAATTCACGAGAAAACATGAGCGCTCGCATTACTACTCCTACTACGTACTACTCCCGGAGATTCAGCTCAATTCATAACTACTGTCCGAATCAGAATCACTCATCAAACCCAGCGTATTATCTGCTTTACCTGTTGTCTTCGTTCGACACCTTTCGCAGAAAAAAACAGAAAATAAAGAAAATTTAAAATTTATGCTTATTTAAAAATAATTTATATCCGAAACGATAGGTGGCGGCACGGAATCCATCAAGAAATACCTCTAATAAAAAATTTTTTTGTCTGAATTTTACAAAAATGTGCCAAAAAGTTTTTAGGGAGCTAGATAGGGGCTATCAAGAACAAATGCACAAAATAACGAAAAATTAAAAACACTCACCTGAAGCGATTACAAGAGCCATGTAAAATAAACCATTATTTTAATCGTCATGCTAAGTACAATGCAAATACAGTGGGTCACACACTTATTTTGTGAAGAAAATCGCTGTCGCCATCTATTTTATTCATTTTAGTTACTCAATGTTTTCATTGTTTACATTTTCTTGATCACAAAAACCAGCTTTTAGAAAGCAATTTGTTATTGTTCCCATTTTGATATTTTCATATGATTGCGACAACATTTTCAGCGCTTCCGGTAAAGTGATTGTTTTAATAGCTTCATCAAATGTTGAGTCTCCTTCGACTTGTGGCAGTATTTTGGACATTAGAAGCTCTCGATAGTTGCGTTTGAGATTAGCGATAATACCAGCGTCAGCAGGTTGGAGTCTTGATGTAGTATTTTTTGGCAACTTAATTACACTTATTTGCTCATATTCAGATGTAAGCTTATGAGATGGACACTGGCCAACAAACAAAATTATTTTTCTGTTTTCAGACTTCAATTTTTCATTCCATTCAGCTAACCATCTATTGAAAATTTCTGTCTCCATCCATCCATGACCAGAACAAACATATTCAATGTTCAGTGATTTTAAATCGATTATGCAAGTTTTCAACCACCTTGGTTTTTTACTCTTACCAATTACGAGAAGGGGTTGTTTCCAACCCGACTTATTGACACAAACTAAGATACTTAATTTAATCTTATCAATTTTGTTACCATGAGAATCTAACCCTTTCCTAACAAACGAGTATCGAGGTTGAGCTTTCCAATTGAATCCGGCTTCATCTGCATTGTAAATGTCTTCATCTGCATAACCATTAATAAGGTTAGGTAATTTCTCCAACCACTCAATTACTTGATCCTCATCAACACCATTGCTCTCTCCATGAAACATCTTGAACACCAAATTATGTCTCTTGTTGAACTTTGTCAAGCAACCTTTACTCGCAAAGAAATACCTAATTTCGATACCTAATTCATTTGCTAGTTTTTTTGCCTTCGCTTTGATTAGATTACCTGATAAAGGTACTGCTTTTGAGGCCATTGAGTCACAAAAAGTCACCAAAAGGTTATCTAACATACCAAACTCGTTCTGGTTTAACCACCTTTTCCTCGAATGTAGATGAACTTGATCTTTCAGATCGAGTAGATTTTCCTTATGTTTTTTATATAAGAGACACACTGTTGACTAACACCGAATCTTGTTGCGATTACTTCCTGAGATTCATTTCCGATTTGATTTAAAACATTCAATTTATCACTAATTGTTGAAGGCATTGTTGTCTGATTGATGAACTAATCAACATGTTACCCATAGACTTCTGATTAATCTTATGTAATCTAATTAATTATTGATCAATAGATGGCGACTTAAGTCAACTTCACAAAATAAGTGAATACAAAATAAGTAAGTGACCCACTGTATGTAAAAAGTTAATTAAAAATATTTCTGCAAACACAAATAAAAAATGAAATAATAACAAAAAAGAAAACAGTTTACTGGATTGTTTTGATTTACCATATTTTTCCCACGAGCTCCATCTACTTCATATTAATATCATCATCCCGGTAATTTCTTACATACAAAATTTAGAAATCATTGGTCCGTTGGTCCATATTAGGATTCCATTGATATTATTATATGTATTATATGTATTAATCCTCACAGAAGTCTTTTCTATCTCCTTCAAGCTAATTTCTGTATGAAACAACCAATTCTCAGTTAAAATCTTCACTCAGCCTGAATCTACAGTCCAGTTAACATCAATCAGTTCAACTTTAAACAATTTAACATCAATTTTACATCGAATCAAATTCATTTGTGATCATCTATTTAATATAATAATTTAACCTAGTTTTCGTTCATCTCTAACCAAACGATTTACCATGAGTCTCAGCAAAATATTAACTATTAATGTTAAAGTTCCAACCTTCAATGGATTCGAACCACCGATGGAAGATTGGATAAGTGACTACGAACAAATCACAAATATTATTGGTTGGCCCGATGAAGATCGTCTCGTTGGTTTTCCCTATTTTTTAACTGGAGTTGCGCAACTTTTGATCAAAGAAGAGTATTCTTACGAATATGACTTTCCGCACAGTTGGTCAGAAGCTAAAGAAAGATTGATCAAAGACTTTACTCCAATAACCAACAACGATCGAAATAGTGAACTTCTGGATAAACCCAAATCTCCTTTCTCGGTTTCACCCGATAAAATTTGCCATAACATTGTAAAAGCACTACGAGCAAAAGGTGCGTCTGGATCTGCTACTATTGAAGTGATTTTGGACAAAGCAAGTACACTGGATGAGACCGCTAGCCATCTCAACACTCCTCTCCAACCGAAGAACGAACCAAGCAAAGAACTTAAAATTATACATGTGTATGTTACTTCTGCAAAGAGCCTGGTCACATCCGACAGAACTGCCGACAACTCAAATATGAATGTACAGCAGCTATCCTCAGTCCGACTTGCGAAAGTTCATCTTCATTATCTAATTGGCGTTCAACCTCTTCTAAGACTAAAAGCTTTAAGAAATCAGCGACTTTGCGACAGTTGCAGGTGCAATGCTAGCTATAGCTAAGAGTAGCCCGCTATTCACATCTGCTAATGGAATATCTTCTATTTCTGAGTCATCAACATGGTTTGTTAACGACTCTAGGAAAATATTTCAATCCCGATCATCTTAGGATTAGGCTGAGCTCGCACAGCGCGTCATACTCCGTCCTCGTGCATACCCTGCTCTTTCTCTGCATCCTTCTCTTCAAGCTTGCCATCTATTTCGATAACATTCTGCCCCTCCGGAACAATTCCTTGCATTAGATTGTTGTAGCGCGCTATCTTCTCAGCTCGTTTTTTTGCTGGAGGCGCTTGCATTAGCTCCTTTACAAGGCTCATTACATTGAAGGCTGTACATTTGTGAGCTGTAAATTTTTGCTTGACAATATTGATCCAGTCACAACGATAGCTAGAAATAAAATGACAAGAGATAGTGCAAATTCGATCAGCGAAATTGCTCCCTGAAAGATCTCAAACATTTTTCTTTTTCACCGTATGCTAGTCTATCATTAAACCGAACAAGCTATAGAAGATGAGTTTATCAATTATTATAGTCATATTAAGATTTTGTTTTTCCCGTATCCTCGCCTATCATTAAACCTCACTGATTAGTTGATCAATCACAATTTCAAGGTCATTTTACGGTCAATATATGATATTTAACCATAACTCATGATATAATATAATACTATACATCTCGAACATGGTGAAATGAATACATGTCATAATCAAATGACATTACTTACATTTTTTATGGAGAGATAGAAAAAAATTTGTTTTAAATAAGAAATAACAAGCTTAGAGATTGAATAGCAATTGAAGGTCAAATTGAAAATTGAATTTGTCGAAAATAAACTCTATTATAAGTCTTAACTGATTGAATCAATATTACTGTTTCTCTATTAACAACAGTATTAGTAAACATGTCTTCACTGGCTCCTGAATGACCTTCTATTTATAACTTATAGATTAAGGTAGTCAAACGGCATGCGCGTCTCCACTGACTCAGAGTTACGAACTTCGTCTTCGTGTTAATAATCTCTTAATAATATCTTAATATAACTTCTAAGGAGAAAGATGATGATAAACAAAATGATGAAATTTGAATCGATTCACTTGAATACTCTTATGAAATACGAAAAACAAGGAATATATCAAATTGAACGTAAAAGAGACGAGATGAGTTGGACAATTTCTGAATTAGTTCGATTGGATGACCTTGTTTTGGAAATTATGACTTGGGGTTAACTCAACCAAGACAAGTCTTCACTGACTCAATCTATTGATTGTACACTGATAAATAAGCTGGGTAAGTGCTAAGGGGAAGGTGAAGGAAGGTGAATGAGTCTTCACTGACTCGAATTCAACAATTTTATCACTAAGATTAAGGTGAAAGGCAAAATTCCTAATCACTATTTGTATTTCAATCGTGTTGGATATCTGGTTGGTAACACCTAGAAATAATATTGATTTTATCAAGAATTTGAGAGAAAAAGTTAATAATCATTTGGTTAAGGAGGTTAAATGTCCAAAATCGAATACCAATTACGAAAATTTCTAACACCAATTGTTAAGAAAACCCAGGACAACTTTTGGAATTACTCGTCTTGGTGATAACAAGAAAGCAAATCGCTGTTAATCACAGTCTCCAAATGTCGTAATTGTTACTATTAAGTAACCACTAAATTGTTGAGCCGGTTCACTTTTGACCCTCACACAGGCCTACAAATGTTGAATAGTTTTTCAATTCCAATACTTTATTTGCTTTTGGCACATAAATTTACCAATAAAACAATTTTCACCTGTTAGGTGAGAGTAGCTTACTAACTACAGATAATGTATTTCTCTTTTTTGCCCGTCAGAATACAAAGGATGGTGATAAGATAAAACTTAAGAGTTTTACTGTAATAAAAATTATTGGTTATTACCGGAAAATGTTATTCTAATAATTGAAAGTTTTATAAAAATTGTAACATTGTAAATTTATAATTTGTAAATTTTGATGAGCAGTTTGCAACTTATCTGGGTGATTCGCTGTAACCGTTAATTTTGTGAATTTGTTCATCTCCTTTGGGGTACCACATATGTCATAGTCGGCTGATACTAACTTCGGCCTCCAAACATGGCCATAGTAATGAGTGTATTTAGTGGCAAAAATTGACAGAATCAAATAACATTTTCTAAATACTGAACTTGGTGAAATTGGTTTAAGTTGACTGTAATGATCTTGATTGTTTTTATTGCGTTGTTTTGATGAGATGAAAAACCCTGGACCTGTATTTTTTAGTTGTAAATTTTCCATTTTCTTTTGGAAAGCGATTAGCTTTGGATCTGGAGGAGCATTTGTTGCATTCCAATCGTCTTCTTCCATCCTAATTGTAAAATAAAGAAAAGAAAGAAGAAAACTTCAATTATTCATCTACCCCAAATCAAAGGAGTTTTAAATAATAAGTATTAAATTACCCATCACCGGGTTAATTAAAATTTCATCATTAGAACTTTGAAAACCCAATCACCGGGTGAAAAGAACATTTTTATTTAGTTAATTGTATTCCCATCACCGAGTGAATTATCATTAGTAATTTTATCTCCATCACCGGAGAAAATCGCAAAAATGCCCCAGCACCGGAGCTTAATTTTAATTGTATTGTCGTAGATTAAAATGAGAGACTGAGAACACTTGGTCATTCACTTTAATATTCGGATGTTTGAAACCGTTCGAGTTTGAATATTCCTCAACAATTCTCAGGATGTTACTTCCCGTTGCCTTAAGATTGATAAAAATAACCAAATGACAATTTATAATTCATAACTAAAAATCAAATATTTATTGTGATTAAATGACTACCTCTTGAACTGACAAAACCAAATTAACTGCGAGTCTGAAAACGGTAAATATGAAGGTGATTAAACATAAGAGTAAATATGGGGAACACAAATGGGAACACAAAAAAAACAAGGTAACTTAATTGGAATTAATTAATTAAGACAAGGTTATCATGAGATACAATAATTTCTCTAAGAGAAATTTAACACAAATTAATCTTAGATTAATAAAAATATTGATCTAATTTTCCTAAGGAAAATTCTCTCTTTTATATCCATTTTACAAAGGATATTATTAATAACTAATTACCATTGGTTAATTGTTACAATTTAAGGGGAGAGAGACCCAATTACTCATTTGGTAAATTAAGATTACGGTTGACTATTAATTAATGGTGGTTAATACATATGAATTAAAATTAAAAATTAATTAAGAATAGTTAATTAAGTTGATATTAATTAATTGGTTATTTCCTTTTGAAAATAACTTTCTGATTAGTTTCTC